TTTTTCAAAAGTAACCGGCAATATTTATCTTTCAAAATCTATTTACGAATAAGGTATTTAATTGTTCGTTTTAAAACTTTTAGTCATTTAAGCGTGAGTGAGCAACGGAACGGAAATTAGGAGACTGACTTTAAAAAAAAATTGATTATAAATGACTATTGGTACAACAAGCATTAAGATATCGTGCCTAGGTGGTAAAGTATTAAAACTAATAACAAAAAAAATGTCCTCAAGGTGTAACGAGATATGTATGAGGACATCCGACAATTGGTCCAATGAGAATGACTTATATACTTTATTTCTGGTTTCCCCTAGATAGGTAAAGAGCTTATAATTTACGCAAGAGTTTCTCAGAACCTTTAAGAAACACTAGGATTGACAGTACAGCAACAGCTTTCGCTGGGTGGCAGTATGCAGAAATGACGTAACCTTTGTCACGTATTATACAAGTCGTACAGATCCCTATCACTCGGTCCACAATGAAAAAGAATTCTTACGATTTGTGTGTAACTTCCAAAAGTTACGGTGAAAGTTACATACCTATTATATACATTTATTATATACTGATACTATCAGGTGGTTCGTGTGCATTTCTAATTACTACTAAATGTATGATGACATCATTCTATTCTTGGGTTTGTATGATATAATAATATTAGTACGTGTATAAATACAATCATGTCTGATCTAATATACCTATAGATATAAAGTAACTAACGCAGAGGTGTTATCTATGGAAAGTACGTAGGGGAAAGGAAGGCAAAATGGACCATGTGGGTAAAACGGCCCACCTAGATAACTATGAAAGTACTACCGCCATCTCTGAACGAAATATGTTAATAGTTGTCTATTCCTACACTCCACCATCAGTCACTGAATTCGACGCAGCAACAGCACGTGCGCTGATTAATCAAGGTAAGTTTGTTTTTTTGGGTTTTGATGTAAAATTTGCAATTTTTAATTTGCCTACGGATTGGTTTGGTTTATGACAGTGTATTCTAATAGTGTTTATATGCAAAGTAACATGTGATTAACCTAATAGTTGACTATAGAGACAATTACATTACGACATTTATTAAAAATTAAGATTATTTTTGTTTAGGCATAAAAGGAGGGACGAACTTAGGCAAAACAGACCAGGGTACCGTTTTGCTTCCACGAAAAAAACAGAAGAGAGTTAAAGAGACCTAGAAAGAAGAAAACTGAAACTGGTTCATCTCCAGTTTCACTTTTCTTCTTTCTACTATTGTGAACTAATAAAGTCAAAGAAAGGCAAAGCAAGAAAAAAGAGTGACATTAAAAGATCTAAACAGAAGAGAAGTTATATGATCACTAATGATAAAGAAGCTGATGCCGAATGCGTTTCACCACATCAACAGCCTATGATAGTCCACTGCTATATGGATATGTCCAGCAGTGGACTATCATAGGACCATCACCTATAGGACAAGGCCTATGGGCCTCTCCTCTGAAAGGAGGTTTTGGCCTATTATACCACGCTGGCCAGACGGTTTGGCATAGGATTTGTTTCAAGTTTTCCTTCTCTTTGCAGTGCTGTTGTCTTGCGTAGTTATCTCCTTTAGTCGACTTTTACGACACCCACGGGTACGGCGGGTACGACGATTAAATATTTATTTTCATGATTCTTTGTGTCTCATGAAAGCACAGTGCAGCTTATAACTCCGCACAACTTGGCGAGATAGACCAATATAATTTACTATGGAAATGTATATCTTAAAAAGATCTATAAATTATCTTTTAATTATTACAAAAAAGTAATAGGTTATATACAAAGCTTTTTTAAACAATACATTAGTATTCCTTAACTAAATGGACTAAAATTGCTTCTTACAGCATATTAACAAAATGAATATTTTAGAAGATATTAGAGGTTTAAACTGCGGGAGCAAAGCAGCCCTCGCCGCGTGGGGCCGTACGTCTGTCCCGGGAGCGGGCCTATAAATAATGCATACTAGCTATTGTCCGCGGCTCCACTGCGTGTATCTCGGTTAGCGCGGTAAAAAGTAGCCTTCCTCAAGAGTCAAACTATCTGCATACGAAATTTTATCTAAATCGGTTCAGCGGTTATTGATTACCCGTAAAAACTTTTATCCTCCTTTTCACCCCTTCAAAGAGTGGTTTCTGGGATAAAAACTATCATATGTCCTTTCCCGGATCTCATACCATCGCTGTTCCAAATTTCATCTAAACCGGTTCAGCGGTATAGCGTGAAGAGGTACCAGACAGACACATTCGCATTTATAATGTTTTTATAGATAAAGATGTCCTTTATTATAGTCCTATCATAATAGTAGTATAATTAATTACTCCACACTGACACCACATTAGTAGTGTTAGCAGTATCTATATTGCACCCGTGCGAAACCGCGGTGGATCACTAGTTAATATAAAATTGCTGTTGTTGTTCTGAGTCTAGGTGTTCGTTGTGTCCGTTTCATGAATATTTGTAAGTCCCCCGCGATACAGGATATGTATCTCCCTCCGTAACAGAACGATATGTTTGGGAGTTGTCTTAAAAAAATGAAAAAGAAACCTTTCGTTGACATATTTAATATTAAGCACAGATCAAAATGTAAAATAAAACAGGTAAAATAAAAAGGTAAGTATTGTCATATCTTTTTGTTTTATAAAAAACAAACAATCAATTTAATAATCAGATTATGTTATTAATTAAAAGTTTGTTAAGTCACGGGGTAGCTATTGGAATCTGAGATGGAAGAATTACGTAAATATACAGGAAAAAATCTACAATAAGAAACAACAGTAACATAATAATACATCTCAAAAGTATTTTTAAACTACCCACGATGAAGTAGAGCGAACATTACACAACGAAAGTTTAAAATATTGGAGCACAGAACGGATGTTTATTCACTGTTCTATGTACTGGAGCCCAATAGTTCAAAAGATACAGATAAACACGATAATTAAGTTTACTAACTTGTTTGTGTTTACTTTCTATTGATATGTAAAGTGTAGAAGTCAAAAAACGCACAATACTGTAGTATAAATATAAAATATGATTCTAAAACGAAACGCTTCATAAAATTGATAAATAATTGAAATGTTTGGTTTGTGATTTATCGTAATTTAGCAAGTTACGTTTATATTATAAATAAGTAATTGCTACGAAATACATCTTTATCACCACCAAAGAATATGATAAAAATAACATGGTTTTTATGTTGTTATATTATAACGAGTTATAAAAATAGGTATATAGGTATAGTTTGTAGGTAAATATAACTAGCAGTTACTCTGCTCTTCATATGCTAGGTTTTATACACATTAAACAAAAGAAAAATATTTTCTAAATAATTTTTCTTCCCTAAATTTTAATCATTTAATAGTTATTCTGTTTTTTTATGTTTGTTGTTTTATAATGAGCGCTATCGCAACTCTTTACTTATTATTTTAGTTAGACAGTGGTGCTAATTCTGTTGTTGAAACAACTAAACTTTAGAGTTATAGCTAAGTAAATACAGTTTTACTCAGTTGACCTACTCGGTAACCCGCGGTAAACCTTTTACGTTACCTAACTAAACACTGTCTATGAAGCTTTTTCTTTTACCTGTAAAAACCGCCTCGGGCCTTCCCGCCGTGTGTCGGAATTGAACCTGCTAAAACCATTCTATTCTCCCGGAGGCAACTGTGTTGCGACGCCCAATGCAGCGCGGCTTTAATGCGACATGCACTATACAAAATCACTAAAAGAATATTTTGATGTGTCGTGCCGCGCCATTCATTGACGCGCAGCGCTGCTTAAATGCGGTTTGACCTTAAGAGATCCGGAGATATAGCGTATGCTACGCTGGCTTAAGTCTGACTATTGTTTTTCGAAAATGGCTATGGCAAACAAATCTATTTTTTGGCAAAAAAATGCAAATAATTAGCAAAAAATATGATACAAAGCCTGTTTTGATAAGTGTAAGAGGTCCGAAGATTCAAGGTAGGCTACGCTGGCATAAGTCTCAACTCAGCAGGACCATTGTTTTTCGGAAATGGCTATGGCACAAAATCTATTCTTCGGCAAAAAAATAGCAAAAAGCAAAAAAAATGGTGTAAGTTTTATTACGGCCCTATGACTTGGACATCTAAACACTGTTTACATCGATATTAATTCTAGGCCGAGGCATATATGTCGGATGGCTAATGATAGATGGACGAAAAAAATCACGGAGTTGATCCCTAGAAACAGAAAAAGATCACAAGGATGAAAAGGAAACGTTGGGCAGATGTATTCCTAGAAAGACAAGGACATACTTGGATGACCAAAGTCAAAGACAGTACTGGAAGGAAATAGGGGAGGCCTAATACTTAGTCAAAATTTTGTGAATTATTTTTTTAAATAAAATGGATAAATTAATATTAATTCAATATACATGCACGCTATGTTAAACATAGAATTAATGTTTGAAATGATATGATACAGAATGAATAATTTTTTCAAAAATAATTAAATTTAAAAAAAATACATAGAATTATACATATTATTGATAGTGATGATGGAAGATTTCACTAAATGTTATTTATTATTTAGCAGAATTAATTAATTATTATAGAATTCATTACAGTGTTATTTATTTTATTTAGCACAATTAATTAATCATTATACAATTCATTGGAAGATTATTCAATATTTAGAACAAATAACTAGTTATTATCAAATTTATTTAATATTTAGCACATGCAATTAACTTTTATCGGTACAATACATCTACATTCACATCAAGTATTGTTAAAATAATTTAGTAGTAGAATAAATGGCCTTTTTATTTTATTTTTTTATTTTCAGAATACAAAACGTTGTTTGGCAGGACTACACTCATTTCAATTGTTTGTTATTTAGTTTAGAGAGTTTTTGAACAACAGAATTAGCACTCTTATTTTATTTTTGTTTACAAACAAAAAGAGATTTTTCACTAACAAAATAATAAATATATATAGTGTAATATGCCTTTTAAAGCTAACACTGGTATTTAAAAACTTTGTTTAAAAGCTTGTTCTAAATCTTTTATAAGATCGTCGGTGTCTTCCAATCCAACCGACAATCTTATAAGAGAGTCGGTGATACCAAGTTCTTTTCGCTGTACCTCTGACACCGACGCGTGCGTCATTAGAGATCTAAAATAAATCATATTGATTAGACTTACGTATGTTACATCAAATATTAGTATACATATAAGGAAAAACTCACGGTAATTCTGCTAAACTTTCATATCCTCCTAAACTTTCAGCCAAAATGAAAATTTTTAGAGACTTCAAAAGTTTTCTAGATTCTTCTAATCCACCTTTATGCACGAAGCTGAAGACGCCTGAGTGACCACACGTCTGTTTTTTAGCAATTTCATATTGCGGGTGATCCTGTAGACCTAAAGAATGCATTATCATGTTATGAAGTTTGAATTGATTTGTAGTGTTTTACAAGTGACAGAAGACCCCTCGATTGCACACGTTATAAAAAACACACTAAAACAAATAAAATGTTAATTAATTGACTTCATCATCATCTCAGCCAAAAGACCGGTCCTGGGGTATCCGCGACCTTAACCAGATCGTCGGATTACCTCCCCACTTCCGTCTTTCGGTATGCGGTCACCACGCGAGAACTCTGGTCACATCGGCCATCTTTTCTTTATGTTTTGACTTACCTGGATGCATTACTTCCGCAACTTGTGGGTGTTGTTTTAACCATTTAGCGATAATTAGGGATGATTTTTTATGTTGCTCCATTCGTAATGCCAACGTTTTTAAGCTTCTGTTTACTAGGTAACAATCTATCGGTGATGGGACAGCACCTAAAGCTGAAATATTAAAATAGTGATTAGGTTTGCTTTGTAAATTTCAGATTGCAGGTAGGCCGTACTCTTACTCGTACTACGAAAGTGATTGAATTAAAAAAATACGAAGTATTTTAAAAATAGGTGTTGAAATTAATTACGTACTTATGATGTACATATTTAAAAATAATTTCTGATCAAGTTCTTTTTATCCTTATTTCAATGATTAGAAATAAAGTAATATGATTTCATATTATTTATCATTTATTCATTATTCATCATTTATTTACAATTATACCGCGGCACGTCGTGGCATGCCACGGAATGTCGTGTCATGCGATTTCATTCTACGGATTATCATACCACCGCGTCCCGCGAGTCACATAGGTAACAGGGTTATGACCCCCGCGCCTCCCCCGGTACCAGGGGCGGAAGCTTTTGGGCTCCAGCAACGTCACTCACTCAATGAAAAGCAACAACAAAGCTACTTAACAATGGTTATCCCTGAGGCCGCAGTATTACTCCGGTCGAGCTGGCCCATTTATTCCGAAGCATGGCTCTATCACGGAAGAAGGTTTTTTCTTTAACGTATCAGTTTATATATGTATCTCCATCTTCAGACAGAACTGCTATTAATACTAAATCTCGGTCAATCATATTCAACCAGTTTTGCTCTTAGTGGATCCAAAGTTCGTATGTCGTTATGATTGACCGAGATTTAGTATTAATAGTAGTTCTGGCTGAAGATGGAGATACATGAAGCGGACTGAAATCGCCGCACAGCATGGCACGGCAGGGCGTTCTTGTGGTTTTCTAATAGATTTTGTCTAGTGTCTCATAGTGTTACCGATTCCGTAAAGTAACGGTTACAGTATTTAATTGCATATAATTTCGTTCAGTCACATACATCTTATTAAATACTTAACTTATTGTTAGAAAATAATCAAGAGTGCATGTTAAAAATACGAAATACACATGAAATTCATTATGATTAGCTATTTAGCTCTCTCTGTGAAGCTGTAATGCTCCTGAAAGAGACCGCTGAACGGGATCGAGAGAGGGCTGATCCCGAACGTAGAAGACTTCGGTGACGATACCAGCCGTCGATGGGGCCGCGGGCCGCCAGAGAGTGGGGACGTCTGGTGGCTGATTGATTGCTGCGGTAGGGGATAGATTGGCAGCCTGATTGCATTAAGATGCAATCAAGCCGCCACGCTGCGATTGAGGGGGGAAGTGCCCTGGGATAGGGCCTGGTAATCACCAGGCCCTAATCAGGCATTGATTAGGTCTAGGGATTAGGCATGGTGTCAATGCGGGGAGGATCTGAAATAACATGGTCCGGGTCCTCCCAGAGCAGGATACCTGACGCCGGCCCTCGGGGTGGTTTTTATTGGAATCACCACATAGTCCTGGCTCCTGAGTTCCCGAGGAGCAGGAGATCCGAAGGGATTTTCATTTTATTTGATATTAAAAAAAAAAACTGCCAGTTGTTTGACTAGATACTGCATTACTTTTTAACCCACTGCAAAAACACAAAAGAGGAAGTTCTCAATTCGACTGTATTTTTTGATTTCGACTGTATCGACTGAAATCTAAAGGGTACAGTCTCGATGTGGTCTCATTACCACCAAATCAGGATCTGATGATGGGATCCTAGAGATATCGAGGGAAAGCCTCAAATTTTACAGCCCCGTCTACGTATTTCAGCTTGTTTCTCTAGCTATACAGCTATTTGCTTTTGGTATTCCTTATCTCATGTTGCCAAGATGATGATAGAAGGGTCCTTGACCTTTAGGAGTAACAGGATAACTCTTTCAATAATATAATCATGTATTGACCTTGAGTCATTCGTTCAAGATACTTGTTTGGTGTTTGTTTTGGGTTACAGAGATATGTGTACAAGAAAGTAATAAATGAGATTACAAAACATTTAGACGAAAAAAAAGTTAATTACGCAATTATTTTCATGTTTGTTATCTCAAAACTCTTTCATTTGTTAACCGATTTCGAATATTCATTTTTTATTTGGAAGGGTATATTTCCCCTTTGGTTCCATTCAATTGTAATTGAAAAAATGCTACTCCTAGTGGTAAAAATTAAGTAATGTGGAAAACAATATATTTTTTAATACCCAATTTAAATAAAGTAACGGACTTATTTAACTATTAATAAATATAACCATTATAGTATGTAGTGTTTGAAATATCGTATCTACTCATTACAAACGTATCTTACACTAAAAATCGATCATTAATCAAAATAAAAAAATAAACATTAAAAAAAAAGTTGAACTGACTTCAAAGAATACTAACAAAGCACTAAAAATTTAGAAATAATTACAAAATCTAATTGAAAAACCAAAATAATTACGACCCTCAATATAGGAGGAAACATTATAATAGCAATATATAGGTACCTTCTAAGCAGTTTATTTGAAGTCGGTGCCAAGCGCGATGCACAATAAGTAATGCTCAGCTTCATATCAGCTCAATAACTTCGACTTCAAACAGACTAGAATTTTATTTTTAGTGCTCTTTATTAGTTTTGTTTGAAATCGGTTCAACTTTAAAAAAAAATATCTTCAAAAAAAAAAGTGTTGGTGGCCATTATTTCTTATTTCGTGTTTTCTTAGTGGGTGCTTACAACATAAAAAGCTGCAGAAAATTCAAGTTTGTAGCTCCAGTGGTTTGTGTTTAGGCTTTGTGTTCATGAATTAGCCAGTCAGTCAGTCAGATCAAGTAATTTCATATGTATAGATCTTCGATCAAATAAACTTCATACTAATTTGTTTGATTAAAAGTATAGGTCATGCATTTGTCGCAGCAATTGCAGTGTTAAATAAGTTATAATATTTTTTACTTACAGTTTTGAAGAAATCGTAATCTCTTAGCTAAATCATCATCGTTAAGTATCGCCGCACCCATAATTACATCGGAATGCCCATTCATATACTTTGTTGCCGAATACATCACAATATCGATACCAAAGTCCAGAGGTTTTTGTAAGTAGGGCGTTAGAAAAGTGTTATCCGCAACAGTTACAATTCCGCGGCTTTTGGCCACTTTAGCCACTGCAGCCAGATCGATCACTTTCAACAACGGATTTGAGGGTGTCTCTATCCAAATCATCTAAAATATAATCACAGTATAAAGATAATAACTTAACTCATCTTACACATGGCCATCCGATTCCAAATTAGGCAGAGCCTGTACTTTAACCAGACTGCTGATAAACATTCTTATATATTACACCATTATCACACAATTACTTGTCCTTGGTCACCTCGCTTCACCTGGGAATCGAACCCATAAGGTAACCCATAACCTCTATCTTAACAATTGGATCATGAATCACTAGACCATCAGCCCATTTAAATAGTAACAATAAATAGTCTTAAATTATCAGCCACTATGACGTCAATCAAGAATACGTAATAAAAAAGAAATTTTAAAAGAATCATTTTTAGGTACGCTTGTAAAGAAGAACGGCAGATCCAGTACTCCTACTAATAAATGATGGTTATGAGATTTATACTAAAAGTGAATCATCCTTACAATTTTTATGGAATTTTCATATTCTTAGAACTTTGCTAAAAGTATATAAATTATTTTCAAAAAATTGTTAAAAGTGTTTGTTGTGTCAAGTGTTGTCAACAAAACGCATTTCTACGTTTTCTAAGCTTGCCATGCATAAAATATTAATTAAATGAAAAAACCCGGACAAGTGCGAGTCGGACTCGCAAACCAAGGGGTTGTGGTACATATTATGAACTGAACTATTTATAATATGTACATATTATATTGTGTGCGAAATTCAGTTTCCAAAACCTATAATTACTAATATTCTTGAGTTATATAAGAGAAATTGTACCTCGATGATTGATTACGTACTTTAAGACTATAACTTTACGACTATATTTTTTATGATTTATTTACAAATGTATTGTTTTCAGATTTTGCCCTGTACTTGTAGTACGAGTATAAGACGAGTGCCGTGTGGTTCTGTGGCGGAGTAGAAAAAGGCCAACCCTTCCTCTGGGTTTGGTAAAAGGCGACTAAGGGATTTTCGGAGTGTTTGTCATCAGACAGTATATAGACAGTCTATGCTGTACTTGTCCTGGTGGCCTCTCCGACTGCTGGATATTGGTACATACCACAGTCTTAGTCCTGTCCCCCATTCGAGTACTGCGGTACCCCCTTTTTTTCTTTCCCTTCCCTTCCCTATAAATGACAACATTCCCAAGGAGGGTTGGCGACAGGCAGGCGGCCGGCATAGAATTAATTAGCCAATTAGTAATTAGTGCAAGGGCGTACCCTGTAATCGACGCGCGGCAGCAGCACCCAGCTACGCGAATAAGTGGGCAAGGGTTTTTGCACCACCCGAGGCCGGTGCAACGCAAGAAGTAAGCCTGAGAGGTTAGGTTGAGGTATGCAAGTTGGAATGTTGGGACTATAACTGGAAGAGCGGGAGAGCTAGCAGATGTGTTGAAAAGAAGAAGAATAAACGTGGCATGCTTGCAAGAAACAAAGTGGAAGTGGATGAAAGCAAATGAAATCTTTATTTGCTAACCAAGTGTATATTAATGGTCTTATAATAGTAATTTGTCTCAACTTAGTAACCTTTTCCAGGCATTGCAAACTTGAAAGAAAATACAGAAGAATAAATTATTATACACGTACAGGCATTTTAGAATAAGAATAAGTTAGTGACAATAGTACAGTATAACAATTGAACAAAAAATGAAAAATACAAAGGCACATTTTACATCGACACATATTCTTCTACTGTCCCTGGCATTATTGTGTTTCAAAACCGATTTTTCTTTTTTATAATTTGTGTTAATTTAATTCATGATGTTTTTCGTGTATTAAGATACGTAATTTGTTATATGTTTTTTTTTGCTTCAATGTATTATTTAACTAAATAGAAACATTTTTAAAATTAAAAATGCCTTTAGATTTTTAATGAATAGTCTAGTCATCTTAGATTCAGTTTTTATGTGGATATGTAATTTGTTGTATATTTTTACAGCCATGTAGTAGGGGCTCTGGTTTAGCATTTTAATACTTGATAGTGGTAGGTATAGTCTGTCGCTATGGCGTGTGTAAATTGTGATTGTCTTTTACTCTTGTGAAGTGATTCATGTTCTTGGATACAAATACGCAAATGTCAAATATGTATAATGATGGTAGTGTGAGGATGTTATATTTAATGAAGTAGGGCCTACAACTGTCACGATTTCCAAATTATCCGATAATTCTAATTTTTTTTTGCAGTATAAATAAATCCTGAAAGTGTACACAGGAGTATGCGTATGCGTAGTATGCTGACAGTGCGGTTTTTTCGTTTGTGCTGCATTTAAGTTAGAATAGAGCGTATGTAAATCGAGATAGTTTATTTTTAGTATATTCGATATGTGCTTTCTAGTTGATGTGCGTGTCTATAGTTATACCAAGTAATTTGAATGTACATACAGTTTAAAATTTACAAATATTCGTTCTCAGTAGGTGCGTACGTACAACACAAATAGTATCGACTGTCAAAATTTCAAATTTGAAGGCCAAGTGGTTTAGGCTCTCCGTAGATAAATCAGTCAGTCAGGGCAAGTAATTCTAGTAATATGCATGTAGAAAAAGGATATAAGTCAGGGTATGATTATGATAGGTATCCCTGAAAGTGAAGAATTTTTGATAGGTGGAAATTTTAATGGGCATGTGGGAACAACGAAGTATGATTATGAAAGAGTGGTTCCAAAAACGGCACGAACATCTGATCACGTGTAAAAGTGGTAACCACGCGACACAAATTGACTACTTTCTCATAAAAAGATGTAAGTTGGTTTGGTGGAGTGATGAGGTACAGAAAGCTCTAAAAAAATGAGATTGCCTTTAAAGCGTGGAAAAATGAGAAATGGGTGTGAGAGAAAGAAGGAAGTCAAAATGAATGAATATAAAGAGTGGAAAAATAAGGCAAAAAAAAACGGTAGCCAGAGCTCAAGCTTAATACAATTTGTATAAACACCTACATAAACCTAGAGGTAAAAAAGAACTCCGCATTACAAAAAACAGGGAAGAAAGAGCAAAAGACCTAAAGCATGTAAGATGTATAAAATATGAAGAGGGGAGAGTGTTGGTTAAAGATGAAGACAAAAGATCAATGGAAAACTTAATTTAAAAAGTGAGAAGAAAAGAGTAATGAATGAATGGAGTGGAGTGGTGAAAGATGTGGTGTGAATGTCGGACTGGTGAATAAGATTTGTATAAATGAAGTCAGATTGGCAGTACGATGTACGAAAAATGAAAAAGCAGTTGGCCCCGACAGTATACCAGTGGAAGTTTGGAAGTTACTGAAAGAAGACAGATATAAGTAGCCGACTCTATTCTTCAAGATTGCGAAAAATATTGCGAGTCATCTTGTGTTGCGCCAAACGCGTACAACTGATGACTCCTACACGGACGAACCGGTTAGCAAACGAAGCCGGCCGGTACTACCGCAGGCGTCGCGGTCAGAATCGAGACTCTGCTCTCCTTCATGCCTCGTCCCAGCGTTGCTCCTCTAAGTAGCTGAGTTGACTATTATTAGTATTTATTACACTATAATAATGTTATGAAGTTTCGTCATTTTTTAAATAATCCGTGCGCATACAACATGTCATATATTTTATCATTCAAAAAAGGGTCATTTAGAGAATCCATTTAATGAAAAACCCTCTTCTTCTTCTTTTACGATTTTTCGTAATAAATACTTTCGTTTAGCTCTTATAGAACATCATCTACATGAAAAACTTATAAATAGCAAAGGTTTTATTCTTGTTAACTATTCTTTGAGGTTGCATATTAATTTATCCATTATTAAAAAGATCTATCCGATTTCCCTATTTCATTGCATGAAATTGCACAACATCTAACAAGTCGATTTTATTCATGCCAGAACATATTTATAAATTATAAAATCATTCAAGATTTACTGACGGTTTTAAATATAAATAGGAAAATCAGTTACAAAACCATCATCTGTTTCGATAAAATATTACGCTGTGAATATCTGGTCACTGATCACTGGTCTAATTCGAAGCGAGTTTAAATATATCCTATAAAGGTTTTCAATACCGAATCAATTATTGGAACGAAGTTCCTTATCGCGCGTTGTGAAAGGGGGCTAGACGGAAAAAAATCTTACGAAAATTGGTCACGACACTTTTTATTTTGAATTGTCACTTGTCAGTCATTCAGCGCCATCTATCGAATAGTAAAATTAAAATTTATGTTCTTAGGTTGAGCAAAAAATATTGTATTCGACATCATTTCTCAAGGAGATTTTACCAATGTATAAATTGTTTTAATTAGAAACCAATTGAAAAATATGTAGGTAATAGCCGCTTTCATAGATGGCGTTGTAATTAAAATCGTGTCTAATCAGTTTTACTCGATCGTAACAACTTCGTTCCTATCGGGTGTCCCACGACACCACACGGCTTTTTTTATAAGTCGAATATCATATCAAGTTAAGTATTAAACAGATACATAACGTGACCTTAAATTTTACTTAAATTATGTTAATTTCATTCCTGAATAAGTAATAGTTTGATCCATTTTCGGATAGGAAAATAAATACCCAGGCCTTAATTATACTCATCAGTAATTTAAAACTAATATTAAAACTTGTTACTAAGTATTTAAAGGGAAACATTTTTACTACCGACCTTGGTATTGTTTTTAACAGCTTTTTCTACGTTTTCAATATTTGTAAAAGTTGCAAATGTAACTTCAAACCCCATCCTTACCACAACTTTGCTGAAAGATATATAAAAAAAATATATTTGTATGTACATGGGAGAATCCATGAAAACTTTACGTTTTACGTTTAGACGGAAAATAAATATTAGATGTACGAGTATAGTCATATCCTACTCATTTCATTTAACGTTTATAAATGCTAAGAGCAAAATGATTATTAAATAAAAGAAACAGGATTTAAAAACCTTCTATTATGTTTCAAACATCTGATTTCCATAAAATGACAAAGTTCCATCACAATTCGTTAAGCATTACGACGATAATTGTGTAATTGGCCTGGAGGCCAGGATTCACAATTTTTAGAAAAAAACCGAGCACCAAACATGTCGTAAATATAAAGGATCATAACAAATCCGCAGTTTTTAAATAATGTTGGTCTGATATTAATAACGTTTACTTAGATGTAACTTTTTTGCGCATAACATACATGTCAGTCATAAACTATCTAACTATATATTTACTAATGAAAAATGATCTTGTAGCTACTAATCGTGTAGCTACTTAAATTATTTCACCTGAAAAGTCGATTGATACCGCCATATACATCATCACAGCAAAGTATGTGGTCACCGCTATCGAATAAGGAATAAATTGTCGTTGCTGCTCCAAGACCTGAAGAGAAAGCAAGAGCGTGTTTCCCGCCATCTAAAGCCGCGAGGCATTCTTCTAAAATATTCCTGGTAGGATTTCCAGTCCTGCTATACACAAATTTCTAAAAGAAATGTATACTGTTATACTGTTATTTCTAGTTCTCTAAAAAGGTTTGATGTAGTATAAATATTATAAATACTCACGGAAGGTTCAGCAGGCCCCGGTTGTTGAAAAGTAGATGAGGTAACTATACCTGGTACCACGCATCTAGAAGTCCACTTCTCTGGTTCTTGTCCAGCGTGAATAGCAGTAGTGGCAAAGCCGGGGTTTTGCGTAAGGAATCCTTCATATTCCATCTAACAAGATAAATTATTATTATTATTGATGTAAACGGTAGCAGTAAGCTCAATATTCTCAAGAAAGATAAAAGGCTAGTATGATTTATTCTGTTAACAATAAGATTCCCGATTTAGTAGATGTACCGGTAAGAAATTACGTTACGATAGGTACATAGTATGATGATATGATATATTGATAAAGCAGTTGTTGAACAAGTATCCACCAAGCGCGGTTTTGAAATAGATGGATTGTAAGTTAGATTTCACCCGATGCACTACGTCAATGAATGCTTGGATCTGTTGCAACGGGAGCATTACATGATCATAATGACCAAGCGGGTTTAGGTTTCGTTCCTTCATCTATTCGTAGAGATACTTTGTATTCAGGTTCCTTGATTTGCAAGTGCAGATAATGATTACTATCCAAATATTTGTTAGATTCCAAGTAGCAAATTGTAACATTAATATCTGTTTTGGTATATAACTGAATATGTTCATCATCCATTTATAAGGAAACTGAATCTATTACATCATCATTAACAGCCTTTAATAGTCGTCCGCTGGACATAGGCAAGTAAGAAAAGAGGTTTTGGCCTACTATACCACGCTGGCCAGCCGGGTTGGTTTAGGGTTTGTGTCAAGTTGTTGAGACGCTCTCGGATTACCTTTATGTCCGCCGCGCCACGTGACCCCAGTAGGGGTCACGTGGCGCGGCGATGTCTACGTTTTCCGCAGTGGGCTGTTGCGCGAAACTAAACAGGGGCCTACTAGAGGAGGCAGCCATTATTCACTCTTGGCTGTCGCCGCAGGCTCCGACTTAGAAGGTCGACATGGGGGCTGGTCCTTTAGTGACGCGATTACGCAGATTTGCGATGCGGCCATGCCCCGCATCCGATGTCGTCGGCCTCCAAGGAAGGAGGTCTACTGGTGGTCCCAGGAGTTGGCGGACCTTCGCGTGGCCTGTACTCGTGCCCGGAGGTCCTACACCCGCAGTCGGCGGCGTCACCGCGGCGACGGTAAGCAGGACCAGCTTCATGAGGGGTACCGAGAGGCGTGGAAAACTCTGAAGGTGGCCATTAGCCCCGCTAAAGAAGTGAAAAGAAAGGAGATGCTGGAGGGTCTCGATCGTGACCCCTGGGGTCGCCCTTATCGCGCGGTGCGACAAAAGCTCCGCGCTTCGGCCTCCCTCCCCCTTACGGAGACTCTCCAGCAAAGCTTGATGCAGGAAGCACACACGCCCGCCGATGGCCTCCTTGGCCAGAGACGGCGGGGAGAACGTAGATGATATTCCACCCGTCCTAAACAGAGAATGTACCCGTAGGTGGTGCCCGTGCACCTACGGGTACATTCTACGCGGGTAGAATGTACCCGTACCCGAACCCGAAACGCAACGCGGGTAGGCGCTAGAAGGGGTTCGGATGTCTTACTAAGAGCAGATCCTAGATCCCTCCTACTACAGGCGCAGAGTGGCACATCGTGTGGTTTTAGTCGAAGCACGAACAATTTCTAACCGTCATAAACACGAAATCATAGAACGTTTTGCAGTTTTTGCTCTTAGACGTAATAGTGGTTTATGGAATCTTTCAATAATCTTAAAAAAAATAAGTAAGTACCTACAATACGTTACACTTTATGCTGGTTGTAACATGATTATTTTTGTCAGTTTAATGCTCTACTTATTTAAAACAATGCTGTGGGTACAGATACCAACACATAAATATTTACAGCTAATCATAAAGCAACTTATATACAAAATAGTTGTTGCCTCACGTCAATGTAGAATATTTTGTCAATAGATTAAATTATTCCTCAGTATCAGAACTTTTTTGGAGTCCCTATATTCTTTGCTTTACTGCTAACAAAGTGTTTGCAATATTTCATTACGGTTGGCTGAATATTTGTCATTAAATCCAGCCATATATACCCAAGGTAGTCCCTGGGTCCGTTTTTGTACCCCTTTTTCGTGCTGAAATACCTTCGGATACCGGACAGCCGGTGGGGAGATTTGGTCGGGCCGGCTAAAACCGCACGGCGCCGTTTCGAGTAGTAGCAGGGTAAACACGTTTAAGCTAGAAATAAAATCCCGTGTACCCGTTTCTGTACCCCTGACATTTGTCAGGTATTTTATTGTGGTGGTGTATGCGAAAATTGATGTCTGGTAGAGTACTTAGTTAAGGCTAGAAAGCATGAAACGAACAAATATCCTTGCATTTTCAGACGTAATAATGAAGTTATTGTTAAATACAAATTAATTATTTTCTTCTTATTCTTCTTTTAATTCAGTGGCTCCATCGGATTTCGATTTAAAGATGTTTTTTTCTTTACAGGTCGATGACAATGGACCGCCATGAATAATTACCGACCGTGACACATTCTCTATTCTTATCAATTTATCTTGCACACAGTTATTTGTAAACTTGTATTAGCACTTACCGATAATTTTAAATGATATAGACTATAGGTTTAACGATAAGTTGTATTTTATTTCACGCAAATAATTTGGAGAGCTTGTCATTAAAACAATAAGTCAAGAGTTAAGCAGTCAAGCATAGACAAAACACTTTAAATCGAAAGCAACCAACGAGTATTACTGTGCTATGTGCAACCAACTATTTTAATGGCGCGTCAATGCGCCATAGATAATGTAGTTGGCAGCATCTATCAATTTTCCGTGTGGTGACGGATTAAGAATACGGAGTGTCACCACCCCTATTCATCCCGTGGGTGTCGTAAGCGGCGATTAAGGGAGCAAAATACGCAGGACAACAGTACTGCAAAGAGAAGGAAAACTTGAGAAAACCCTATACTAACCCGTCTGGCCAGCGTGGTATAGTAGGCCAAAACCTCCTTTCTAAGGAGAGGCGTTTGTCCAGCAGTGGACTATTAAAGGCTGTTTTAAAAACAGCCTTTAATAGTCCACAAACAATACAACAAAAACAGTGTTTTTGTTGTATCAATTGCACAGACGTCCCCCCCTTTAAAAATAAATAGGTATGTATAAATGGTTTAGCGATACAAAAATAGAGCATACCCCGAAGAAAAAAAATTTGAATACCAACTTGCAACAAAATAAAATACTAACAAGGCTATTGAATGTATACAAATAACTGACTGCTGATCTGTATATCATGGAGGTTTTAGAAGAACATGTTGTGTCATTTGCCCCCTTTATTGGCGACGACTTCATTCTAATGCAGGATTATGCTCGAGCTCACAGTGCTCGCTCAGTACAGGCATACCTAAACAACAATGGCAGACGTACCAAGATATCATTGACAAATCATTGATGGAAACCATAATCAGAGCAAGGGGGAGGGGAGGACACTCGATATTAAACATTCATTTAGGTAATTAATATCATGTTTACTTTAGTTTTTTTCCATTAAACTTTAAGTATGGTGTTGCAAATTAATGTCAAAACATGTTAATTGTTGTTTCATGTTTAGTTATTTTTTGTTTAAAATAAAATTAACTAATTTATATTCCCCCTTTTTTATTCCGCTAATTCTGCCGGGGTGTGTATATACGAGTCGTACAGATCCCTATCACTCGGTCCACAATGAAAAAGAAATCTTAGGACTTTTGAGTAACTTCCAAAAGTTACGGTGAATGTTACATCCTCATTCTATCAGATTGTTCGTGTGCATTTCCAATTACTACTAAATGTTATGATGACATCGTTCTATTCTTGGGTTTGTATGAAATAATAATATTAGTACGTGTAAAGATACAATCATATCTAATCTAATATACAGAGATAAACTATATAACGCAGAGGTGTTATCTATGGAAATGTGAGATAACAAACAACCTTATTATTATACTTATTAAAGAGATATTTTAATGTATTACCTAAACAATTCAGATGTCTATTCTTAGATATTAATAAAATGTTGATATCAAGCTGAGTCAGCCCTGAAATCCTTAATCGTCACCTTTTTCTGATGAAAGGCCATATAGGTATTACCACGCTGCGGGCCGTACACTTAAAAAGTTGATAATTTTGTAACACATTTGGAATAGGGTTTGTATCAAGTTTTCCTTGTCTTTGCAGAGTTGTTGTCCTGCGTTGTTTGCTCTCTTAGTCGGATTTTTCGACACCCACCTTAATCCGTCACCACACGGATAAGTTATATTATGTTTATACCTATCTATAACGTATTTATTTTCTTTTAATTTGTATTCTTAAAATTAATAAGTATTAATTTTAAGAATACAAATTATACTTAACTATTATTATTATATTACTGAAACTATTCGGAAATCGCAAAAAATCCCAAATTAAATTTCTGTAATCGTATCGGAAGCTGGTTTAATATTATTTATATGTATAATATCCGTATCCATATACGAAATTGATCCTTGGTGCGGATCATTTGTGAACAGTGTTAAAACAACTTTCGTTGACAAATATAGCACATCTCAAAATGTAAAATAAAACAGGTAATAAAAATAGGTAAGTATTGTAATTTTTTTATAGAAAAAAAAAAACAATCACAATTATAATAATCAGATTTACTTAATGTTATTAATAAAATAAGTCTTGGGGTAGCCATTGTAATATATTGGAATCTGAGATGGATAATTACGCTATAAGAAACAACAGTAACATAATATGTACATACCTCAAAAGTATTTTTAGACTACCCACGGTGAGGTAGAGCGGCCAAAACACAATGAGAGTTTAAAATACTGGAGCAACAATAGTTCAAAAGATACAGATAAACACAATAATTGTGTTTACTAACACAAGCTTGACTTTTCTATTGATATGTAAAGTGTAGGAGTCAAAAAACGCATAACACCTAAAGTATAAATATAAAATTAGATTCTAAAACGTAAAGATGAACGCTACATAAAATTGATAAGTAATTCAAATGCTTGGTTTGTGATTTATCGTAATTTAGTAAGTTACTTTTATTTTGTATAAATAAGAAATTACTATGAGATACATCTTTATCACCATCAAAGAATATGATAAAAATAACAATTTTTAAATTGTAATATTATAACGGGTTGTATAAATAGGTATCTATATAATATAGAGTACGTTCAGTGTGAGATTTTACGGTTTGTAGGTAAATATAACTAGTAGCTACTCTGCTCTTCATATGTTAGGTTTTATTGAATCAAAATAATAATTTACTTCAATTTTTTTCCTGATTTTTAAATCATTTAAATAGATATTCAGCATTTCGAAACAAATCCAAAAAATCTAACATCTTAAAAATCTGTCCAGCCGTTCTTGAGTTATAAATGGTGTAAATAACCCAACTTTCTTTTATATTAAGATGAGCACTATCTTTCTACTCTTCACTTATTATTTTAGTTAGTTAGTTAATTTTATAAAGAAGTCGACGTAACTGGTTGTAAAGAGTTAACTATAAAAACTCACACTACTGGTACACACTATAACAAAGTCACAGCACTCACAGCTCAAAAAGTACGTAATTATTTAAATTATCACATATTAGTGGCTACACTTATTGTGGCCACCAACAATACGTGATAGAATTCTTAAGCTTGAGAGTTTACAAAGAAAATTTGCTCAAGCCAAGATGACAATAATGCTATAATAGATATTTACTTTCTACGTTGACATTAAATGTCGAAATGTACGAAATATATAATAAAATGTATACATAATAAAACTAAGTAAGCTAACTTATATTGGAGTACATCCAAAACAATAAAGGAACATTATTGATTTATGATTATAAACAACAAGAGATTTTTCACCAATAAAATTAAAAAAATATATATCGTTTAACATGACTATTCAAGCTAACACTATTATTTAAAAGTTTGCTTAAAAGCTTGTTCTAAATCATTTACTAGATCTTCGGCGTCTTCCAGTCCAACCGACAATCTAATAAGAGAGTCGGTGATACCAAGTTCTTTTCGCTGTACGTCTGGCACCGACGCATGCGTCATTAGAGATCTAAAATAAATCATAGTAATTAGACTTACATATATTTTACATCAAATGTTAGTATACATATAACAATAAATAAATGAGAAAAACTCACGGTAATTCTGCTAAACTTTCATATCCTCCTAAACTTTCAGCCAAAATGAAAATTTTTAGAGACTTCAATAACTTTCTTGATTCCTCTAAGCCACCTCTATGTACGAAGCTGAAGACACCGGAGTGACCGGACATCTGTTTTTTAGCAATTTCATGTTGTGGGTGATCCTCTAGACCTAAAAATGCATTGTCCACACATTATGTCTTTTTTGTAGTGATTTTGAATTGATCAGTGTGGTGTATAATAAAACAGAGACCCCTCGTTTACATCTTACATTATAGAAAACGATAAATAATAAACTTTACTTCAGAAAAACATTTGTTCCATAGTGTAGCGTAGTGTGTGTAGCAGACTAGAAAATTAATTATTTCCTAGTGTTAGTAATACTACTAATTAAACTTTTCATAATGGGAGAGCTCAAGTTCTCCGAAACAATTCCCAGGATACTGTCACGACTATCTCTAACTCTACTCAATAGTAAAGCTGTTTTCCTAAAATAAATAATATATTAATATTCTTACATACCTGGATGCAATACTTTTGAAACTTGCGGATGTTGCTGTAACCATTTAGCGATAATTAGCGATGATTTTTTATGTTGCTCCATTCGTAATGCCAACGTTTTTAAGCTTCTGTTGACTAAATAACAATCCATTGGTGATGGGACAGCACCTAAAGCTGAAATATTAAAATAGTGATTAGGTTTGCTTCTTAAATTCGAGATTGCGGGTAGGCCGTAGGTACTACAACCGCTTAATTACCTGTTTTCTTTTCTATGTAAGAAATAATTTAGTAATGTATTAAATTTTACCTCTCATTTTTGATCAACGCTTTTTTCTCACATTATTTACTGAACTACTAGTCTGCTACTATTTAAAGAAAATGTTAATGTAAACTCGACAATTATTGAATTTAAAAACACAGAGTATTTCAAAAGTTGGTGTTGAAATGAATTGCGTGTGATGTATTTCCTAAATAAAGTAATCCTGCACCTAAGATAATGTTTTTTTCCTTTTAATAAAATATTATACAGATAAGAAAAATTTACAAGCAAATAGGTAAATTCATTTAAATGAACACAACAGATGTTCGTCTTTTGTTTTTCATGAAAACATTTATATTCAACTAAGTGCATATTTTATTATTACTATCTACAAGCCAATAAACACAATATCAGTTGAAGTGACACAATACGTTGTTATAACGTACAACATATTACGTAGACATTATGAAGTTCCATTTAAAGGAGACAAGAACAATAGTGACATGAGAACAATGTACCTAGTATGTGCATTTAATGATGACAAGGGAAATTCTAAATTATGACTGTTCAGTACCTATGTATGTACATTGTTTCATTTTTATGATTTAGCGCCTTGATGGCGTGACTTGCGGTTTTCGAACAGATTTTGCCTAGTGACTCATAGTGTGACCAATTCCGTAAAGTAAATGTCACAGCACTCGATTTTCTTTCAGTTATATGCATTTTCATTAAATAAACATTACTGTGTACAAATAATCAAGAGGGCATGTAAAAAATAAAAAATATACATGAAATACATATCACTTGCTATTGCCCACGGCTACGCTCACGTGACGCTATTTTGTGTTTCTAACTTCGAAAATGATGAACTTTTACACAACCTTTCATTCATTCTTTCTTAGTCGGTACTTACAACATAAAAAAATCATCAGCTGCCAAAACTTTAAGTTTGTAGCTCCAACGGTTTAGATTTTTCGTTCAAGAATTAGCCAGTCAGCCAAGGCAAATAATTTTATATGTATAGATAGAGAATTTCTTGCAGCAATTGCAATATTAAACAAGTTATAAAAGTTATTACTTACCATTTTGAAGAAACCGTAGTCTCGTAGCTAAATCATCATCGTTAAGTGTCGCCGCACCCATAATTACATCGGAATGTCCATTCATATACTTTGTTAACGAATACACCACAATATCGATACCAAAGTCCAGAGGTTTTTGTAAATAGGGCGTTAGAAAAGTGTTATCCACAACAGTTACAATTCCTTTGCGACTTTTGGCCACTTTAGCCACTGCAGCCAGATCGATCACTTTCAACATCGGATTTGTCGGTGTCTCTATCCAAATCATCTACAATAGAAGTACAGTATAAAAATAATAAATTGACTCATTTTACACATGGCCATCCGATCCCAAAATAAGGCAGAGCCAGACTGCTATTGTAAATACATAATAGATTCTAAATACACACATTTCTAAATATATGAATACGTTAGGTTGGTTTGTGCACAAATTGAGCTCAATTTTTGCAACGATATACAAAACACTTCAAATATAGTTTTTATATACTTTTTATAACCACAATGTGCTACAGCGAAGCGTGGCAGGGCACAGCTAGTATTTTATATAAATCACGCTCAGACGCAGAACAACTGATCGTGCTCATTACATAATTATTGTCCCCAGTGGGATTGAACCCATGACCTCCGTCTTAGCAGTCAGGATCTTTAATCAGTAGATTATCAGGCGAGTTAAATATGTAGTAACAGTAAACAGTATTAAACTATTAACAATTCTATGACGTCAATTAAGAACACAAGAAATTTAAAAGAAGCAAGCAGGTGCGCTCGTAAATTTTATGATGTTGCAATAAGTTTTTTTATCAATATTATATGACATAATTAATATAATAAAATGAATACTGTAAATTAAATTTTAATAAAATTAAAGTATTAATGCTGTACTTTGAATATAAAACATATGTGATAAAATTGTTGTGGTTAATACTGTAGCGGTATTACGTAGAGGCGTAATAATGTTTTGAATTTTCGTCATATTACGATTAATCCGTGCGCATACAATATACGATAAAGTCGACTATTTAATAACATTAACTATTAAAGCATGCAAAAAACATGTAACGTCTATCTACCTAATTATATGTTACATTCAATATAAGGCTGATAATTGTCCAGTAATTAAGGTTAATTAAAAGTTAAGCCCTGTTCTGGATCCCAATTTAAGAACAGATGTACATAAATATACCGTCCCATAACAGTCAATTAAAGATATCAACCTACTTTCTTAGGAGAGGATTATTAAAGGCTGTTGATGGTGATTAACGTATCAACGTTTTTGATACTTAACAGAAGAGCCAAAATTACAATTTTAGGTTTAAGGTAATCTAGGTAGCTATTGTCATGTTAGTTAGATTAGTTAAAAAAAATGTTTTTGTTTTTCAAAAACATTTAAAGAACACATTTAATGAAAAAAAAATTTACACGATTTTTCGTTTTTATTCTCCTTTAGCTCTTTTGCCTCTTATTGGATGACATGTACATCAAATGATATATAATAGCAAAGTTCATGTTCTTGTTAAATATTAGTTCTGGTTAACTAGATATTTATTTATTCGTTAATAACAACATATCCGATGTCCCTATTTCATTGCATGAAATTGCACTACATCTAATCATCTCCACTTACGTTTCTAATCATGTTTAAAATTTCAGGTCAAATTACGTATCTGCCTGTTCATCAACTTGTTACGGAAAAGATAAAGATTTTTACTACCAACCTTGGTATTGGGTTGAATTGCTTTTTCTACGTTTTCAATGTTTGTAAAGTCTGTAAATGTAACTTCAAACCCCATCCTCACCAGAACTTTGCTGAAAGATTTATTGAAAATTAATGTTTGTGGTGTAAATATGAGAAACCATGAACACTTTTACGTTATAAGTTTAGGTGGAAACTAAATTATAGACAGAATAATAGATATACGAGTATACATATCCTACTAAGGTGGCAAGCAATGTATAGATTCTTGATTTGCGTTTACTCGAGATAAAATTTATCAGGACATCTACCTGTTTCAATAATTGTTTAAAAACCTATTATGTTTTAAACGTCTGATTTCCATAAAATGATAAAAGTTGGATCACAATTCGTTTACCATTAAGACGATAATTGAGTGCCAAAGATAGCTTGTACCCAGGATTCACAAATTCTTATAAGGAAACCGAGCACCAAACATTGCAAAAGCGCGAGCAAAAGGTTATCTTAAAAATTGGTAAAAATAAGTAACGATAACAAATCCGCAGTTTTTAAATGATGTAGGTCTGATATTAGTAACGTTTACTTAGATGTCACTTTTTTGCGCAAAACATATATTTCATTCATACGTAGTATAGTCTCTGTATTTACTAATGAAAAAGGTTGAAATCGATAGCAACTTAAATTTGTTTACCTGAAAAGTCGATTGATACCGCCATATACATCATCACAGCAAAGTACATGATCACCACTCTCGAATAAGGAGTAAATTGTCGTTGCTGCTGCAAGACCTGAAGCGAAAACAAGACCGTGTTTCGCGACATCTAAAGCCGCGAGGCATTCTTCAAAAGTATTCCTGGTAGGGTTTCCAGACCTGCCATACTCATATTGCTAAAAAAATGTATACTGTAATACGATGCACGAATATGCACGAATCAATTTTTAGTTCTCTAAATTTTGCATAATTATTATAAATACTCACGATAGGTTCAGCAGGGCCCGGTTGTTGAAAAGTAGTTGAGGTAACAATAGGTGGTACCACGCATCTAGAAGTCCACTTCTCTGGTTCTTGACCAGCGTGTATAGCAGTAGTGGCAAAACCGGGTTTTTGCGCGAGGAATCCTTGATTTTCCATCTACCAAGAAAAATTATCATTTATGTAAACATGTAGCAGTAAGCTCAACATTCTCAAGAAGGATAAAAGATGTAGTATATGTAAAGGTAAGAAATTACGTTATAATATTTAGTACATAGCCATGTTCATTAAATCTTATTGATAAAGCAGTTGTTGAACAAATATCAAGCACGTACCACGGCTTTTCAATAGATGGATTATAAATTAGATTCCACCCGATACACTACGTCCATGAATGCTTATATGACAAGGTACTTGTATCTAATGAAACGGGAGCATTACATGATCATAATGACCAAGCGGTTTAGGTTCGTCATCTATTCGTAGACATACTTTGTATCCGGATTCCTTTAATTGCAAGTGGAGATAATGATTACTATCCAGATATTTGTTAGATTACAAATAGCAAATATCTGTTGGATATTATGGATAGTTTACTCATCCAATTTTGTGCTATGACACATTTGCAGTTTGTGAGTATGCATATATAAGGAAACTGTATTTAATACGCTCGAGACAGCTCTTGTTATTACAACATTAAACGACACCGTAACATTAAACTTACTTAGATACCTAGGTAAGTTCAGTCATAATTGTTAGTGTACGTGTTAACGCCTAGTAAATACATTTTGATTAATCAATAATAGAATGTTTATATTATCCTGAACATTATTCACACAAATGTATTGAAGAACAATGTCTAAACCTTTTGGAGTTGTTGTAAGTAGTCATTAATAGCAAAAAAAGGTACCTCAGAGGTAAGTCTATACACTTTATGCTGGTCGTAACGCGATTACTTTTATCACTATAATGCTCTATTTATTTTAAACAATGCTGTGGGTACAGATATCAACACAAATATATAAAACAAAAAATAGATATAGAGTAACGAACACTATAAGTGTACTTATAGTATACAAACAAGTATACAGTATACAAATTAGCTGTTGCCTTAAATTTCGCTCACGTAAATTAAGATTTTGTCAAATAAATTAAAGTATTCCTCGGGATCAGAACTTTTTTGGGGATAAATAGACTTCCTCTCTATGTCCATTTCTTTACTTCTAACAATCTGTTTGCAATATTTTATGACGATTGGCTGAATAGTTAAATCATTCCATTGAGCTATATCGACCCATGGTGGTCCCTAGGTCCTTTTCTATACCCCTTTTTTCTTAAGGAAATCCCTTCGTATACCGGACAGCCGGTGGGTTAGTTATGTCGTAAAATTGCACGGCACCACCACGGCATCGACTCGGGTGTCAGTAGCCTTGGAAACACGAGTAAGCTGTATTGTCTTTTTGAGAATAAGAGTGCTTCTACACGATGCAAGTAGCTTGCGCATGTACTAAGCACTAAGCAGGTTCAGCGACAGCATGTAAAAACGCGATCCACCTGCGTATGTAATCCGTACGATTTGCATCGCACGCTGAATTTATTACCTCTAGTAGAACAACATTTTTAACAAATGATTCCATAAGACTTCTCGTTCGTCGAGGCATTTAAACGCGACTACTTGCTCCCGTGTACAAGCACCCAGGTACTGAACAGTTTCAAATCTGAAACTAGCAAGATTCATTCATGTCAGCCGCGCAAGCAGCATCTACAAGTAACAAGCAAGTAACTTTTGCATACTACTAACGCAAATAACCCGCGTTTTCATCCGCTCCAACTACTTGCACCAGCCAGCATACAGCCCTGCGTACAATATACTACAGTATGCGTATACATTACCTTCAAGCAGAAGAAATTGGTTCCGAGCGATGAAGTTATTATTTTCATCGCGGGGACAAGCAAGTACATATATAATTTGTTAGATAGACATACGTCCTATATAGACGCACGAATCGTTAAAAACTTTGGCAGGCGAGGCAGGGAGGTTTGGCAGGCGGTTAAGAATCCCCCAATTTGATTCTTGAATCAACTTAAAAATGATTCCTTTTATTCAACGAAATACTCGTAAAATCAACGATGCTTCCTTAACCAGAAATTGAATGCGAGTTCTATATTTTACGTTTATAGGAAGTACGTATTAACGGTTTCAGACAATGATATTATATACATACAAGAGGTAGATACGCAACTAACGCACAAAACGTGAGGGTCCTAATAATTAGGACCACAAAAAGCGCGCGCACGTACTAATTAATTCGAAAAAAATCATAAAATGCCTTCTGTCTCGGTACTGATTACCAATAGCTTACTTTTTCACTCTTTTGCTTTCATATTGCACTTTTAGCGTATGTTTTGTTATAAAATGCACTAATACGAGTATGTATAGTTTCACAGAACAAATATTTTGTGCGTGCCGTATAAATATATATATATCCTTAAAATATCGTTGGTTTGAGAAGGAAATATATTTATGAAAAGATAATACAAAAAATATTATGTGGTGAAATCGCTAATTGAAATTAAAATTATAAAATATACATTAATTTCTTTAACTTGTTTTTGGTACCCTTTTTTATTTTTATATTAATTTTGATAAATATTTTAAGTATAATAAGTAGTATGTAAAATAAGAAAACCATAATTTTGTATGAACTAATTTGTAACTGAATAAGTCGGTACCGACTATTAATAAACTCGAAACACTTGTTAAATTAACTATCCCAATAATTGACACGCTAAATTTCAAGGTTACAGTAGCGCAAAAATGTGCTTAATATTTCGTCATTAAGAGAGGATTCTTATTCTAAAAAGCCATAAATGCCATAAAAACCATAATGTGATATATAAATTCAGTTTATGAATATAATGCAAATAAATTTCTACTTACATTTATTTGCTATGAGAATATTAGCCGCGGGAATTCTTGATTAACCTATTAGCACACCACTAACAGGCTTTGAATTTCAATACAAAATGAGCAAATGTAGACGTCAAACCGTCTTTTTATTGCCGGCGTAAACCGGACGACAACGCTTCGCTTGATATCGAATCACATTAGTTGACGCGAGTCGTGCCTCCGACTTCCAGCCGTGTTAATATGAAAACCGCAGAGTACTTTGATAGAAACTATGGAAAGCATTACATACACATGCTACGTTAAACGTTTACTATGTTTAGTGAATATCATTAACTATATTTTATTTTACCTATGTATTACGTAAAACTATATCATCTAAAAGTGAACAGCTATGTAAAAATCATCAACTTTGTACTACCTTCTCAATTATGTATAAAAAATCATTCATTAAAATCCTTTCTCAATGGAATATAAAACATTAGTTATATAAATTGTCCCATTATTTACCTTTATATATTTTTATAACATTTTAACAATAACTAAACGCAAACCAGGGCTGCCAACCTCAAGCCTATTTTTCCTTGTGAACAACTAAAAATCTTGTATTTTGGCTTTTAACCCTCGTACATTCATCGAGCATTTAAAATGCTATAAAACTAAAAATAAGACATTTTAAATGAGTGTAAATTTAGCAACCATTTGATAACTAAAAAAATTAGTTTGATAACTTAAAAAAATGAGTGATCAATTAACTTAATTTTCCAATTAACTTAATGATAACTAAAAATTAGTTTAGTCTGGTCAAACAACGTTTCGTATTCTAAAAACGTAGGACTTAACTATATTTAGTTTGACACAACCAAAATTATTTAAGTTTAAGTAATTTAGTCCATAATTGGTCATTTGCTATTCTCTTGTACGTTTTAATCGTCAAAGATTGACTAAAATTGGGAATGTCAGACTAAAATTAAACAGTTTTGATTATACTGTTTGAGTATAAATTCTTTATATATAATTATATAATTTTGTAGTTTTAATTTTTTATGATGAATAGCGATTACATGTTTTCATCTTAAATCACAAATGCTAAAATCTGGGATTATAATTTTATTTGAGTTAGGTACTATATATTATCAAACTATAAGTAGGTTTATATTATATTACAATTTATATTACATTTAATAAAAAAAGGAAGATGTAATAATTCTATTTATTTAGAATTTTATTGTAGGTATTACTGACCTTCTGTTCTTCTGCTGAAATTATAAAATACACATAAATACATTAATATTTTTTCAAATGGACTATTACTACTTACACCATTTGTAAGAAAAACAAAGAATTCATATCGATGTAAACAGTGTTTAGTTAAAAGTAATTAATTAATGAATCACATATTAATAATTCACATATTAAAAGATAATTCGCTTTAAAAAACCGACTCAAGAATTATTACTAGGTAGAAAACTCTGCGAGCCCTCTTAAAGCACCGCCTTTTGCTAGTTAATTAATTATTGTATGCTCTAGCTTATGTATTTATTTTCAATTGGATTGATGTTATTGTTTTGTTAATTATTTTATAATAAAGTACCTGTCTTATCATGCCAAATTTACTTGCATAGATTCAGAGAAATTCGGTTTAGTTATATAGATAACAAAAAGGTTTACCGCGAGTTGCCAGGTATGAAAACCGAGTAAAACTGTATTCACTTAGATACAACTAAGAAATAGAACATTTTGCTTACTTTTTGATCTTTTATGTGCATTAATAATTATTGACAGTAAGTAATGTTTAAATCCTAATAATATCATTTCAAAACATTTTTTAATTCACTGTTTATCATTCGTTCATAATTTTAAACAACAGTTACACTTTGAATTTTAGAGAATTTTTAGTTCAGTTGTGTCAACAACAGAAATAGCACCAATCTCGCAAATTTCCTCAAAAGATTTTGAACCTTCAGTTGCATAGTCATAGTGTAATCTAAAAGTGAAAATTGACACTGTATAAAATTGTCCACATGAAAATACCATACTATATTATTTCCTATATTATACCTATGAATCGTGTCCTCGTACCTCGTACAGCAGTAGCAGTATACCTCGACCACAAATCCCGTATTTCAGTATTTGTACGAGGAACTTCGTACGGTTGACAACCCCGACGTAAACGAACATGTAACGTCAAATTTTCATATAGTTGCCATGTAGGAATATTTCCCTACGATTTGTTGTTTTTATTTTTCTAAGGGAACAACAAAAAATAGTTAAACACAATTTAAAGTTGTTGAAGGACAGTTTACTTAAAAAAAACTGTCTTCTCAGTTACATAATTAATAAACATACAACTAGTAAAGCAATGAAAATTAATGTTTTAAATTTATAAATTTTACTTTCAAATATTATTATTTTTATAGTTAGACTTTGTTAATTCATTGTTGCCCTACAATACGATGTATGGGTAGGGACACCCATACATCGTATTGTAGTACATCGTAATGCTCTAAGGCAGATTTTAATAGATTTAGTAAAAACAAAATGTTTAGGACATCTATCATCCATGAAAAGCCTGCCTGCCTGACGATATTGAATAGGTGTATGGAACATCTATTCAATATCGTCAGGCAGGCAGGCTTTTCATTCAATTATGTTGACATATTTTCTAATGTAATTTTCCAGATTACTATTAATTTTGTTTTAAAAAAAAATTAATCTAAGGGACAACTTTAACATAGACTTTATTTTAATAAAAAGCAACTGTTGCTTTTTATAACAAATTTGCAATTTGTATTTTATAAAATAATGATCAATCAATTAAACACTGTCCATGTGGTGACGGATTAAGAATACAGATTGTCACCACCCCTATTCATCCCGTGGGTGTCGTAAATAAATGACAAAGGGAGCAAATTACGCAGGACAACAGCACAGCAGAGAGAAGGAAAACTTGACACAACCAGCCTGTCCAGCGTGGTATAGTAGGCCAAAAGAAGAAGCCTATGTCCAGCAGTGGCCTATTAAAGGCTGTTGATGATGATGGTAATGAATTACACATCATATCACATCGTCATAATGGTGTTAATTAAAAACTACAAACTCAAATTGTATCTGGTTTTTTACGTTTTTATTATTTTAACCTTTCAACTAAATATTATCAATCAAGTCGAAATGTGTTCTGTTCTCATTATTTAATCTACTTAACATATTTTGTACCGTATTTAATGCTAATAAACTTACTATTATTATTATTATAAGCACACGTTACACATCACATACGGCTACTGAAAGGCTCGTTCCTAATTTCATTTATTTAGTCTAGTAAGCTTCAGTGTGCAACAACGCTAAAACTCCCTTTTATTTTTTATCAAGAACTTTTCTTATATTACCTGAATTATAATGATAAATGGTATGATGAAAGGTAATGACCTTGATTCAAAAAGCACCCCAAAATGTCACTTGGTTCTGGTTTAATATTTAGACTTTAAAAGACATAGAAATCAGATCCATTGTCAGATCCCTTGACGGTGCTATGTGTAATTATTTTTAAAACAGGTGTTCTGCCACCTAGCAATCTATCAGGTAATGTACTGTTGTCTTAAAAGTCTTCTACTCTCAATAACCCGGTACAAAGTTGGAACTTTTAAGGGAAATTTGGATGATGTTTAGGGCAACATTAGTTTTAGTCATGCACGCACGTCACACTAGTGATGGCGATTCTCTATTGATTCTAATCGTCACTTGATGAAATGATTCACAAAAAAATCAAGGTATAAGAGATCGATTTCTCAAAAATCGTTTTATTTTCGAATCTGAGCCGAAAAAGGCACTCAAATGGCACAGATGATCTTGCGATACTCAAATTATTATACTTTATGGCTGTTGGCTTCATGAATAATTAAGTGAAAAAGTATTTTTTCTTTACGTGTGTTGAATACCATCCGGTACAAAAAGAAAGAAAGAATTAATGTATTTTTTTGTAACACTGGCTAGTTACATTACTTTTTTTAGGTCTAATTTGAAAACGGAACATTAGTCGACAGTCAATTTTTTCATTCGTTTGTTTTATTTTTTCAGTCACACCTCTCGATCGACTGCTTCGAAGTTAATTTTTTGTTTTCGTAACTTCGTAAGTTCGTAAACTTCATTTGAAAAACATTGTATTGCAGTTTTAGGAGGCTTTTGTGTTTCCTCGCATATTGATCAGTTACGAGGCAGATGAAATGAGAAGAAACAGCCAATCCTACAGCTCGATTGCCACAAGACTTCGTCGATCGTTTTCAGTGTTTCATCGTAGCATCCAACGGTACAGATTGACGAATTATCTTGTGAGGAGGAGAGGAAAAGGTGTACTACACCACCGCACAAACCGACTATACTTTGCTCGTGAACATCGTCATTGGAACTTCGGCGAGTGGGGTCAGGTTCTCTTCACTGATGAATGCAGAATTCTGTTAAATCAGTTGATGGAAGGCAGCAAGTATGGAGACTCAATAGAGAGCGTTATATCCAGTCTTATTTTGTTAAATACAGTTGTATATGGCGGGGCTCAAATATGGTATGGCTTACAGAGCTGGCTCGGCACAGGAATACCATGTTGGTGTAACGGTGATGGAGTGGCTAGCACGGTCTCCGGATTTGAATCCAATTGAACATGTTTGGGACTTGCTAAAGAGGACTGTCAAATCAAAAATGCCACTTTCCAACAATCTGGGCGAATTGTGAAACGCATTACTTGACGAATGGTAGAGGTTGCGCCAAAAAATCATTGACAACATCATCGACGGATAGAAATCATAATCAGAGCACGGAGGAAACACTCGATATTAAACATTCATTTAATTAATTGAAAACTGTCACAAAATCTTACATTTTTAATTGTTTCTCTGTCATTACGAAATCTAATAAAATTGCATTTTTTTTTCTTTATTAAACTTTAAGTATGGTGTTGCAAAATTAATGTCAAAACATGTTAATTTTATTGTTGTTTCATGTTTGATTATTTTTTGTTTAAAAATAAAATTACCTAACTATTTTATATCCTTCTTTTTTTTTGTGTTCAGCTTATTCTGAATAGAGTAGCTGCAAAAGCGACACCAACGGGGCACTTGGTATTAAAATAGTATTAACTCGTCGTGATGAACTCTTAAAGAGGCATGTAACGCTAGACTAGAATGATTTTCTAGGATGGAACATCGATTCTGCTACATTTCGATTAAAAATATAGTTTTTGGGCCTGCAAAATCAGATCGCCATCCCTAGTAGCAAAGAATATATCTACTCTCTTACGAGAGAAGAATTATAACTCTATAGTAAAAAAAAGCAACCATAGCGTTACACACCGACACACACTAGCGCCATTGCGGAATAGCAAGAAACAAATTTGTGAGGGAAAATTCAAAATTACAGTAGAATGTTGTAGGTACTTTGGTTGTACTGCAAACTGCATGAAGATGGTTGTTAATTGTATGAAGCAATACAATAGTGTTATGATTGTATTACTTTATAACATCATAAATCTTCTTCATGCTAAAATTATAATATAGATTTAGATTATATTGTGCTAAATTCTAAAGAATTGATAAAAGTTCTTTTCAATAAAGTTTTATTATATTCTGTAACACAATTAAAACAACCAGTCAGTATTAGTTAAATCATTTATTTCTTAAAATCCTCATTTTCCTTTCCATGGCTTTTCTTTTCTCGTCTTCTTCCAATTCTCTGTTTTTTAATATAATAAATCTTTTAGTACAAATGTAAAATGTGCTGGTTTTAAAATGATTTATATTTGATTCTAAATGATTCATACATTTATTTAAAAAAGAAAAATCAACACAATCTAAAGCAGCCATTATATTTTGTTTTATTTGATTTTTCCAGGCATCCCTTTTCAAATAATTATTTATAATTGTAGCCATTGTTTCGACACATAGGACCACATTTTTATTTACGTAACTTAAGGAGTTATTACGTATGTCATATTCTTTGAAACTTGTGAATGTGTGAATGGTTTCATGAGTTTCTGCCAAAATTGCGTTTTGACAATTTGGACAGTCATTGTGCCTTAGTTTTTTGAAAATAAAACCACACACATATCCACAAGCTTGACTTTCAGGCGTCACCTGTTCGACTGTCTCAACTGCATCAGCTAATAAGGTGTCCATCTCATTGGAATCAAATTCAGCAGTTTCAAAATTATTATATGGTGTGTCTGCAGTTAAAAAACTTGATAAATTATTGGACAAAATTGCGGAGTCATCTTCACAATTCTTTTTTTGTCCAGAGTGTCGCAAATTTGTAATTATTGCAGTTTTAACACCTGCTACAAATTGCTGAATTGTGGGATTATTATTTGATCCACAATTATACCTGATGCAGCCGAAACAATTTTCTAAAGGATCCTGATTGAGGCGACGGGTCGAAAGACTCTTAATGTTTATTGCCTGCAAATTTTTCCATAGCCTTTCAATGGCATTCATTGTGTGAATCCATCCTTCTTGAGACGGAGGATTTGAATTACTTCCCAGGTATTTCATGGATGAAATAAACTTTCTCATCTCTCCGAAGAACGCTATATGAGGGCTCCGTGCAGTTAGGTTTGTGGAATACTTTTTTCCTCTACGTAGGTCCGGGCTGTCAGCATTAACGGCATCAAACAGCTTGTCAAAATTTTGCACAAAAGTTGTTGTTGCATGGGCTTCAGTTGGAAGTTCATCTGAAAAAATAATAATATTTTACATGTTCCTTAATCATTCTAACAACAAAGATATAAGTCATAATATCAAAATAATGGGAATTAACTAGGAAGAATTATAATGACTAGAGGGTGTTTCCTCAAACCTACATGGAAAGTTAGTACCTGCAAGATAAAATTTGTAGCCAAAATTCAAAATGCGCTCTCCTGTAGTTTACGAGATATATCATGCCATTGGTGGGCAGTGGTAGCACGGTGTTAAATTTTCATTTCAAGATTTCCCTATAAAAACTCTGATTTCTTTCGAAATTTATACAAAAATTAGTACTCCTAAAGAAGTTATAGTGAACAGAAATTCAGATTCCTCAGTGCCGTATTTTAAGAGAAATTAGGTTTCATTAATTTCCATACTAAATCTCCGCTTACAACTCGACCAAATTAAGTTGTGAATGGTATTGAGATATACACTCGTGCACATAACTTTATGGATATCCATAGTTTTTATACAAACTGTGTACCTATACAGACATGTCTCCTAATAAAATTATTTGACACACAGAGGGATGGACAATATGGACATGGCGAAACTATAAGGGTTCCTTTATATACTTTTGATTAAAAGCTATAACTATGCAGAGATAGTAGGTTAAGCTCAAGCAATAAGTAGGTACTTAATCACTTACTTGATGCAATTTTCGCTAATATGCCAGCGGTGACAGAGTGGCTAAATACTTGTGCTGCCAGCTTTACTCTCATCTGCTGCTTAACATTTGGATGCAAATGATGGTCTGTTAGTGCAGGAGCAAAAACAAAATTTGCATTACTTTTATCAAGAAGGTGAAATGCTTCAATGTGGCTCCATTTTGCTGTGCCTACATAAAAAAAAAATAATTAAATAATTAATAATATGTATTCATGTGCAGAGCCGCTTTGATGGGCATTTGTTTAGTAATATGTGTCAAAGAGGCACATGGATTGTTTTTTATACACTGGGGTATGTATTGTTCGAAAGAGTTACAGTGGCAATTGGCACAGGCAACTGAAGGAACACAGGTGGGTTTCAGTCAGTAAGAGTTTAACACACCCTCCCGCTCCAACCAGAGCGAGAGAGGTCATTTGATGATTTCCCATCCAGAAAAAAAAGGCAGACTGGTTAAGTCTATTTCTATCTCCTAACACCTATCTACTATAAGTAGGTCGGTCAAGCGATTGGAAGATCTAGTTTTCTTTGTACTCACTTTTAAGCACCTAATATTTAAATTTATTCATGCCATGCAAAATAGCCTTGAATTAAAAAGCTATGGTTTGTTTACCTTTCACAGTCTTATCATTGCACTGAACATCTGTTGTGCATTCGACATTATGTTTCATGAGAAGATTTCGAGTGCATTTTAAAAGATGTGGAGGATCTAAAATTGCCACAATTTCCTTTTCACAGTGCAAAAAAAAAGGTTCACTGGTTGTCACACCTACTGTCTTCAATACTTTCAGATTTACTGTTGATAAATCACACACAGTGGCAACAACATTGACGTTAGAATTGATGCATTCTGTGAGTATCTGAAACAAATAAAAGAGTTATATACATGGTTCATCATCATCATCATCATCATCAGCCTATCGCAGTCCACTGCTGGACATAGGCCTCTCCCATTGCACGCCACTTAGATCGATTTTGGGCTTCTCGCATCCAGCTCCTGCCAGCCATCTTGCGCAAATCGTCACTCCACCTGGCCTGTGGGCGTCCTACACTACGTTTGCCGAGACGCGGTCTCCACTCAAGAACTCGTTTTCCCCAACGGTTATCGGTTCTGCGGCTAATATGGCCAGCCCACTGCCACTTCAACTTGCTGATCCGGTACGCTATGTCGGTGACCTTAGTTCTCTGCCGGATCACCTCATTTCTGATGCGATCCCTTAGAGAAACGCCGAGCATAGCCCTTTCCATAGCACGTTGAGCGACTTTGAACTTGTGGACCAGCCGTACCGTAAGTGTCCACGTTTCAGCTCCGTATGTCATGACGGGTAGGACGCACTCATTAAAGACTTTCGTCTTAAGGCACTGTGGGATCGACGATGAGAAGACTCGACGTAGCTTCCCAAACGCTGCCCAATACATGGTTCTGCAACGTTCAAAGTCAACCTAGGCAAAGTAAATTCAAAGTTTTATACCTCTTTTAAAATCACAGTCATTCTATCGGCGGTCAGTGTGTGGGAGAAATAAAATGCAATGGGCTGTTTCCATTTTTTCTTATACCGGCAAGCATAAATACAAGGGCTTTAGTGGCAATTTCATTACTTCTGCCATGATTGCCATGGTCTTTGAAGCCCTGTATTTCGTCTGATTTTGAGTCATAATCCAAATGTTTTCTAATTGATATTTCATCAAAAGATAAAATACAAATGTTTTCCTCATCTGTTTGATTTCCAGTCATTTTTTTAAGAGATGTAAATATGTGTCGATTAATCCCTGGTTTCAATGGCACTCTATTAAGCAATTTATTCAGGCTGCTTTGGCATGGTAATGTGAACATTCTTCTGAGTAGTCTGTAGCAGGCAGGTGACTTTTTATAAATTACTAAAGCCATGATTTTTTGATTTTGTGTGTATCTTCTCCCTTTTGGTTTTTTAGGGCAATTTTGTAACTGGCTTTGTAGTAAAACTACAAAAGAATTGCTGATATTTAAATCACATAGTTGTTGCACTTTTTCATCTTCAGAAATTGCTTTAACTATATCTATCTTTTTATTTTTATACTTTTTTCTGAGTCTAATTATTTCCCTTAGCTTTTTTTTGCAAATATTGTATAACTTAACTTCTCTAGAAGTCAATTCACTAACTTTAGACACATTGATTGCACTCAGGATACTATTGCATTTCTTGGAAGCTGATTTAGTCAAATGTGACTCATCATGGTATGGCAAAACTTGACTCTGGACATTCTTTGTTGATGTGGGTTTTGAAGGTAACATTTCTTCTGGTGCATTCTGCAATCACAAAACAATATATTTTTTGTTATGAGACCCTTAGGGCCGGCGCGCACTGACGGATTGGCACGCTTCGACATAACGAATCATTTGCTGCTGTATCACAAGACATTTCGGTCTATTCTGAATCTGTCTGTATCAATAATGAAATCTGATAATGATTGTACATATTCTGCATATGGTATATAGAATGCATCAGTTGCAATTGGGGTTTCACTGGGATTTTAATTGGAATTGGGATCACAACATGTGCGCGAGCGAAGCAAGAGAACATGTTGTGATCCAGGAACCCCAATTATACTCGAGCGTCTCAGATTAAGATAGGAGGAATACCTTACACCCAGGTGAGTACCTCCACCATACATGAACCCTACATATAGGGGGGATCATCTAGGGCAGCCTGTCAGATTAGTAAAAAAAACAAAACAATGGCCAAAAATACTCGACCGTGTAAGGTTAAGGCAAGTCGAGTCAATTAAATACACATTAGTGTGTATTTAAAAAAATCTGACGATTTGAACGTGACATAAAGCAGTGGAAGGGTCATTCCAAAAAAATACACATGACCTTGACATTTTTTTTTATTTTGAAGCAAACAATGAAAGAAACCTTTTTTAAATTTCTACATAATTTTTCGTGCCTTTATTTGTCAAATTTAATAAAAAAGCAAAAAATCAAAATATTTCAAACGTTAGATTTGAAATATACTTAAAAATAATCGTCAGATTTATGGCTAGTATGACAGGAACATCAAGCTGAACCGTCTGTATAAAATCTAACACGCTCGGGTATTCCGAAATTGCGATTTTCCGAATTTGCAGTTTGCGTTATCGATAATTCGCCACCAGCTTGTTACTTTAAAATCGTCAGAACTTTCAATGGGAGCATTTTTGGCATCCAAATAATGTATGCCTAAAATATCTGATGCGCCCGAATATTTTTTTTCGATTTCCTCCCCTTACATTTTTGAAAATCTGTAGAAGCTTTTTCCACCGGTGAAAGGGGAAAAATTATATAGCTTTTATTCATACTATTATCTAATCTTTTGAATGCAATAGGTCCTCATGACGCTCGAGTAAATCCACATTTAGCATCATGGGCTCCCATACTATTATACCCTACTAAGTTGAGGAACAAAATTAAGCCAAAAGTAAAATATTTACCTGTTCCTTGTCAGTTGACTTAGATGGCTGTATTGGGTCAGTAGGTCGTTTTAGGGGTGACAATATATTTGTTGGTTTAACCAAAATGGGTGACACTGGACTATTTTCAATTCGTGAAAATGGTACTCTTGACTTTTGCAGTCCTGCTACATTTGATGCTGCTGCATTCTGAAAAAAATGGTTACTATAATTAGAAATACAAAATGTGTAAATAGGAAATATCACAATTAAATAAATGATGTCATACCTGGTTAAATACATTGGTTTCATCATTTAGTAAGTCAGTTAATTCAGGCACAGCAAATTTACTCAATTTTTTCCTTGTACTGTCATAAAATTGAGATGAATGAAAGTGTCTTCCACATAAAACTTTATTGGTTTTGTGGAGCGAGTATAATGATTCTCTAGAACTCCAGTCATTATTCGGCCAACAATATTTGGCCCAAGCATGAGCCCTGGAAAAAAGAGATTTTTATCATCAGACTACAGATTTCTAAACTTAAAAATAATAAAGTAAATGAATACTAACATAATTAATCGGCCACCATCGCAAAATATTGATACATTTTTAGAATCCCTTAACACAAATTTACAGAACCTATCATCGTACAAAAATATTATACTAACTGGCGATTTAAATATTAACATTGCTTGGGGGAGAACAGACATTAATGCACACTAATATTTGCTTATTTCACAGACTCCTATTCGTTCATATTTACCCGACACATCAAAGCGGATCATGCTTAGATCAGTTTATGATAAAGTCAAATAAACCATCGTTAACATTAGTCACTGACTCAACACTTACAGATCATCATGCCATTCTACTAACCTTGCAACAATCTTTACCTAGAAAAACTTGCACACGTAGCTATACTAAAGCTATACTAAAATATTTTCGCTCCTAGAAGCCTGTGAACGCCCCAGGAGGCTTCAGCGCTTCTGGAAGGAGCTGATTCTGAGCTTCTGAATTGTATGTGTCAAACCTCAAACAACGCATATGTACATTAACTAATTTTACCCCTTCTTAGTACCATATCTTTATAATAAGATAAACAAAGTATTGAAAATATATGCCATATCGCATACAAAGTGTAAAACTCTAGTAGGAGAATACTTAGGTAGGCTTAATTACCCAGACACAGAAAAATTCTTAGCAATTTTAAAATGATATAGTTTTAATATAATTAGGTTATTAAACAGTAAGTAATATATGTTTGTGTATACAAACCAGTCTCAAGTATTTTAATCTATTAGAACTTCAACAGATTAACATCCTGTAACTAACACAATAGTCAAGCTACTGCCTGAAACACAGGTTTCACACCTAGCTCAGGCCGTTCACAAAAGAATTTGTTATATTTTGATTTTACCTTTTTTTTTTATAATCACTCTTGCACATTTTAGAATAGTCATATACTAGTTTTATGTTAGCTGTAGTAACAAATTTTATATATAAATCTAATGACAATAAAATGTAAATCATAATAATAGGTATACAAAATGTAACCTAGACTTTATTCTGATCCTACAAATAATTTTTATTATTATTATTATAATAAAATGTAACAAACTAGTCATAAAGTACCTAGTTTATTAAACTGGTGTTTACAGTGTAAGCCAAGATACGCTTTGCTGCGAGAAATGGGACACTAAAATGATAAATGCACTTACTTCGTGTTATTATCCTTTCCTGGATTCGGAAACCTATGATACGTCACCGTCATATCTTCAGCACGTGTTTTACCACACTTTGCGCATTTTCTATAATTGTTCACGGACATTGTTCACAATTTACACACACAAAATTGGAATCTAACTCTCTAAAGAATATTTAAATCCGAATGAGAGAAAACGTCTTGCGGTCTAATTATACTTCTTGTGAAAGGATGTTTATAATCTAGAAGTTATTTAACTTCTGTAACACACGAAAGAGTTAATCTAGGAAAGTAACTATAATAACATAAACAGCGATAATTATTTCTTTGACTTGACACAATACACAGAAAGAAAAAGTAATGGGCGTAATGGCGTCTACAAAGCAAGAATGGCGGCCGGATGGCATGTCTTATCAGTGTGGCCATTGTTTTAATTTTTGACATTTCTTATTTTTTGAGGTAGTATATTTTATCAACAAACACATACAAAAGATTGATGTGTGCAATGCAAAAACTCTAGTACGCAAGACAATAGACCCTGCCTAGTAGACACACTCGCACATCACACAAATTAAGAGAAATGTATTATAGTAAAATATATGTGTATACACATTTCATCTTATTTTAGTTCGCTATTTCATAGTAATGTTTTTGTTTTTATCAATAAAAAAAATTACAATTTTGTTAAGTTGTTGCCATCGCACATGTAATTGTTAGTCACTTAAACTATTAAATGTGTCCTAACTTTTTAATTATCTAACAATATCTTAAACAAATATTAAAATAACCCTATAAAGTACCTATCTACTGTAATGTTAAAAACATTTGTCAGTTGTATGGATGTGTAACCAATAAGATAAGTAATAAATTTTAACGCTACAGTAATCCTTAGCTAATTTTTGTCAACGCATGTCAAAATATGTTATAAATATGTATCCCTATGTAATAATCCAGTCTTCTGTCTCTGTAAATCAATCTGTAATATATGTCATATGAATTACATTAAAATGTTTATTTTCTGAATTGTAACACATTTATAAAGCAGCCATGCTGTTTGATTTTATTCATCCACCAGACCGAAATCAAAACATTCACCTGTTTTTCAAATGTAGAAGTGTATCGAAAATATTCTGTGGCCAATATACTTTAGGAAAGTAATACTCGTAGTACATCTGTTATAATATATTGTATGTTTGCATGTTAGAGATGCTTCAGGTGGTCCATTGTATAATGATCTTCAGCATTGTGCATTTGTATTTTATATTTGCATCATAGTGAACAATGAAGTTGGGTACCCTTTTTGTATTGAAGGGGTGGTAAATGTCTTTGGGGGCACAGGCGCCAGAAATAGGTGGTAAAAATAATAAAAAGTACCCTGACAGCCAGTCACAGGTGACCTAATCTGGGGAGGACCCACACCATGTGATCTCAAGGTCCTATGTACTTAGATAATTAGTGAATTGTTTTAAACATTTATAATAGACTAAATAAGATTTAAGAACAAAAAATTTCAGCAATAGACATTTTAGTTTTAGAGTTTATTTAAAGTATTTAACAATATTCACTATGTGTCCAGTTCACTGCTGGACATAGGTCTCTCCCATTGCATACCGCTGAAAGCCTATTGAGTACTAATTAAATTAAAATTTTGAAGCTTATAGCTTCTATTTTAAATATGCTATGTGCTCCAACATTTTAATTTTATTATGTTGCTTTTTGTATATTATTAATTAGAGTTTTTTTTTTGATAAAAGACCCTTACCCGATCCTTTGTTCCATATGCAACCACTTGACACAGATAAAATAGGACCACAGCTGAACAAAATTATTTACATAACTCAACACATTTCTTATACCTCCATAGCAATTTGTTATGAGGTGTAAAATATGTACAAAGAAATGATTGTAGTAACTTTATTGGTATGACTCGCGGGTTTCTAGTCAGGTTTGGCGATTACCTCATGATACATCACGAGGTAATAGGCTTACCCACTAGAAACTGTCATATTATGTGTAACTACTAGAATTACTATAAGAAAGCTAACTATTATACCTACTCTTAGTGCACTGTAAACATCTGCTCAGCTTTTTAGTATAACCATGTTATAACAGACCTCAGACATCTCACACACGGCCGTCTGATCCCAAACTAGGCAGAGCCTGTACTATGGTAACCAGACTGCTGATAAACATACTGACCCTTACTTAGTGACCTACCTACTTAGTGACCCTGATCACTAGACCAACAGGCCCGTATATACATAACTAGCTTTTGCCCGCGGCTCTGCCCGCGTGTATGTCGGTTATCGCGGTAAAAAGTAGCTTATCTCTATACCAAATTTAATCTTAATACTGTTCTCCGAGCGCATATGAAATATTGTTCTTATCTCTATGCAGGAGCACCACAGTACCAGCTTCTCCCTCTGGACCGTATCCAAAGAATAGCGACTCGAATTGCGACCGAATCGATCCCTTGGCGTTACGTAGAGATGTAGCTTCGCTCTGCATTCTCTATCGTATGTATCATGGAGAGTGCTCCGAGGAACTGTTCGGACTAATACCTGACGTAACCTTCCGCCATCTTTCCACTGTGCGCTTTTCAAGACATTTTGAGCCTCGAACTACCAATCTGTGGAACAAGTTATCGGCTGCGGTGTTTCCCGACCGATACGACCTTCAAACCTTAAAGCAAAGAGCGTACCTACTCCTTCCTCAAAGGCTGGCAACGCGCTTGTGACTCCTGAATTGCAGGCGTTCATGGGCGGCGGTAGTCGCTTTCCATCAGGTGACCCGTCTGATCGTTTGCCCCCTATTCGCGTAAAAAAATCGGTTCTAGCAGTTATTGGTTTCCCATACCAACTACAACCCCCTTTTCACCCCCTTAAAGGATGATTTCTGGGATAAAAACTATCCTATGTCCTTTCCAGGGAGTCAAACTATCTCTATTACCAAATTTGATATAAATTGGTTTAGCTGTTTAAGCGTGAAGAGGTAACCACTTTCGCATTCATAATATTAGTCTGGATCAGAGTAAAGTAACGGCGTACGAGAATACGGAGGAATCTCGATTTTGGTATCTTCTTGACATTTAAAAAAGTCATACATTTAATAATACATATTAATTTACTCTTATTATATGAAAATATCTAAATGTTTAAATATAAACCTTACTTTGGTACGTTAATATTTATGTACCTACTTCATAAAAATAGTTAGGTATAACATAACTTTTTTAGCGGGATAGCCCACTTATTAATGAAAAGCAACTTTGAAAGCTTGATCTAAATCCTTTATAAGGTCGTCGGGTTCTTCCAGCCCAATCGAAAGTCTTATAAGAGAATCTGTGATACCTGACTTGATTCGTTGTTTTTCAGAAAGCTTCACATGTGTCATCGTAGACCTATACAATAAAAAAGTTGCATCAGAAAATCAGAATTATAAATATATGTATTTATTCGGATAGCAGGCAGATTTTAGTTATGTACTTACGTAGTCATTCATGTATCAATACCTAAGTATACTGTACTGAGAATCTCGTCGTAAACGAGACAGCTGCTGTTTTATAATAGCAGCGTTAGAAGCAGAAGCCTCGGGTGACTATTTGGACAGGTGACCCTAATATTAATGTGAGGACCTACATAGAAAATTGAAATACGGCCACTTACGGTAATTCTGCCAAACTTTCCATTCCACCTAAGCTGACACCCAAGATGAACAGTTTTAAGGCGCACAAAAATATTCTAGATTTGTTCAAATCTCCTGAATGCCTAAAACTGAAGACACCCGAATGACCAGAAGTTTGTCTTTTTGCAAGTTCGTGCTGTGGATGCTCCGGGAGTCCTGAAATTTATTTATTCAAAAAAGTAGCTTCCTTTTGGAAATATATATTTATACTTATTGGTCATGTACTAGCCTCTTACCAGGGTGTAAAACTTCTAAAACGTGTTCCTGGGTTAATAACCACTTTGCAATAGTTAAACTTGACTGTTTGTGTCTCTCCATGCGCAAAGACAATGTTGTCAAACTTCTAGTTACGAGATAGCAATCTATGGGAGATGGCACCGCCCCCACGTCTGTAAAGAATAAATAATTGGTAATTAATTTCACTGGAAATTAAAAAACCGAGCTTATATTTAAGCACCTACATACTTACACATTTGTAGAGTATTCAAACTTTTCGCTATTTTCTCATCTTTAACGATAGCTGCACCCATTATGACATCGGAGTGGCCATTTATAAACTTAGTTACAGAATACATAACAATATCGGCCCCGAGATCTAGAGGTTTTTGAAAGTACGATGTAAGGAACGTATTATCGACACAAACAAGGATATCACCATGACTTTTAACTGATTTGGAAACAGCAGCTATGTCAATAAGCTTGATCGTTGGATTTATTGGAGTCTCAACCCAAACCATCTGAAAACAAGGCAATACTGAAATAATTTTTTTTTTGAATACTTAAACTATTGTAGTATTGTTGTTAACATAAAACAGAAACAGTTAGGATTCATATTAGGGGAGCATTCGTAAGTAGTCATATCTGGAGTAGTAAGACTTCGTACTTTGGTTCTCTTAAGTCTTTCTGTCTGTTCTTTCGGTTCTGTTTTTTAATGAAGCGTGTTCATAAAATGTTTAAAAAAACTTTATTATTTTATTTTTGTAGGATTTGAAGTAAATCTGTCCACATCCTAGAGATAAAAGGCTACTTCCTTGAGATTATAGGGTTGAGCAGGTGCTCAAGCCTGTTATCTCTACGAACTGGCCTTACAGAACAAACATAGACTATAAGTCTCTGCTTTTACCTTTGTATTCTTTTGAATTGCTTTCTCAATATTTTGAACATTTTCGAAGTCTTCAAATGTAATTTCGATTCCCATTCTTGAAATGATTTCCCTGAAATGATTGACCCGGAAGTAAAACGTAAATAAACCAAGCGTAGTTTTACTATGGAAATATTAAAAACAATTTCCTTACCTAAATAGGCAAGAAGTACCTGAATAAATGTCATTATTGGAAAGAATGTGATCTCCTTGGCTCAACAACGTACAAATTGTCATCATCGCTCCGTGACCGGAAGAGAAAGCGAAACCATAATTGCCGTCTTCTAATTCTGCTAAGCACTGCTCCAGTGAGTATCTATTTGGGTTTTCGCACTCACTGCAGTATATTTTCTAAAAAAATATTCGTTTAGTTTCCACTAAGGGAGATTTTTTTTTTACAGGTGTCACTCTGACAAAGATAGATTAAGGAGAACAATATCGAACGTAATGTTAACATTACAGTATACCCTTGATCAGCAAATATATTATTTATTATTACTATTATTATACTGTCAAGATATATCTTAAGGACTGCGTATAATTCAGTTTAAATTAACATCAAATAATTATGTTTGCAAGGCAATATAAACATATTAGAATTAAAATCTTATTTTCAACCAATTTTAATATGTCGCTGGTAAATCAAAACCTATAGGCCCTGTACATAATATAGGGTATGTCTTTAGCGTTACCAAATAATCATGCAAGGTAAGTAGAAATGTCTCATAGTAATAAAGTGTTATTTCACATAAAAATACCTATTTTTTGCAATAACAAACTAGTATTTTGCGCTTTAGAGGAGACTGTATATTTAAAAAACCTAACTTATATTTATTTAATTAAAGGAATTGAAACCGAACTTTTATTACGAGAATTGGCCTTCAGACTAAAACAACAGTTTGTGCCTTGTGTAAGTGCTGTAGGAAACGTAGAGGTGACCGCTAAACCACTACGCCATCCGTGCAGTCAACTGCCGAATCGTTTACCTCCCTACATTTTTTTACCAATTTGGACCCATTTTTTAAATTGAATTTACAGTTGAAGCAATTGACGAGTAAGTACGCATTCAAAATGGTTCTGGTAATAGCCATAGGTATACTATACAAGGGAACTTACATTTGGGGAGGTCCATGTAGGTGTATTTAAAAAAAGTGTATTTTTAATAAAAATAATCTTATTTCATAAGTTTTTCAGTAACTTATCTTAAGTGAGAGGTGATGAATATAATTTAAGCCAGTTGGATGGTAAAAAATCTAATAGATGTTTTAAAGTCTGGTAAGATTAGGTACCTACATCTTCGACAACGGGCTCAGAAAGTTGGAATGTAGCTGCTGTTACTATAGGCTGTACTACACCTGTGCAAGTCTCCTTCGATTCTACCCTACAGTGAATAGCAGTTGTGGCAAAACCAAACTTTTGTTCGAGAACTTCTTGATTCGCCATCTAAGAACACAAAAAAATATTACCTAGTCATATTATTTTTTAAACTGTGCAGCAATAAAAAATTGTCTACTCAGGCCCCGAGAGTGAGAAACTAATATCAACTTACAAAATAATTACTGCGTTAAAAAATACAAGAGTCTCCTCTATATAATTTGTAAATATTATAAAATCTTAAAAACATTAGACATATTTTTCGTGTTTGCAAAATTCGTGTGCGTTACCCCAGCAAAATAATGTCGAAAATGGTCATTTAAACGTTATAGATAATTAGTTGCTCCCCTTCTGTAATTGTCAGGCACATTTTTAAATTTGTTTCTCTTATACTTTTTTAGTTATTTCAAAAAAACATTTCCTGCTGGGGTAACGTTTGAAACGTTACCGCAGCCAGACATTTTCTTTTTTAATTGTAATATTGAAATAAATTTTAGCTAGATAATTAGTTATCTGGACTAGGTAAATGTTACAACTTATTTGGTATTTGTATTTTCTTCGGCTGCGAAGTTATTCGAAATCCTGCTGGAGTAACGTTTGTGGGTTTTCTGGATCTCTGAAACGGGTTAGCGGATTGTAACCATCTTTTGTACATAACTTCTTAAGGATTAGTTTTAATTTGTTCGACAATAAAATAACAAAAATAATAGACCGTTTAAAAATTATTTAGGTAAGTATGAAAACACTTCAATACGTCCTAACACTTTAAATAAGACCTCTAAAGACTTACTTCAAACGTTATTCTATTGCTTGTAACTACCTTCAAATGTATACGAATTTTCGTAAGAATACTATAAGTGACTAAAAAGTTATGATGAAATGTAGCTCTCCACGTTCACGATCACAATGTGTGCGGCCTTTTTTGGCCACCGATAAACCTGTGTGTGGATATATAAACTGAATGTTATGCCAATAATTAGTTGTTTAGTTCAGTTGTCTACCTGTAAAATTTCAGCGTAGTACATATAATAATTTACGAGATAATTAAATAAAAGTCATTAGAAGGTGCAAGACCGTGGTAACCCGACCATGTTTAGGTGGTTACAAAAAAGCGATCACCCAGTACATTGTGCTGGCTTTTAAAATATGTAGGATATTATTTGCAAGTTTACTACGGATATGTACGTAAGTGTTACAAAAAACTACATGTTTTTTAAATAATTTTTATTTAGAATTGTTTATTGCATAATTAGTAATCAGCCGGGAGATTAGGTATTGTTTTGAATGCTTTTGTTTTCTCGTAATGTTAAGGTGAATTGTTTATAGTTGTTCATAGAATTGGTACCTGCGTAGTATTTGTTAATTGAAGTTTAATTTTAGGGTAGGTATAGGTAATTTAAGTTTTGAAGAGTGTAACGTATGCGTTGTAAATAGGTATTTTGTGAATAGATGGGGATTTTTTTTAAGTGATGAATTGACTTAGGCTAGCATATCGCGAACAAACTCTGTATTGCAATATTTCTGTAATAATGTTGGAGAAAATAAAATATTTGATCACAAAATCGCGGTGAGTTAAATTATAATAAAATAAATTATTTATATAAAATTAGTAATAAGTGATATACCTACCTACAAGTTATGATCGTTTTTAATTGGTTCACCCTTTTTTTTTTTTTTTTTTTCCTTGCGGAAATCCCCTCGGATACCATCTTTCGGTGGCATGTCGGACTCGAACCGACTAAAACCGCACGCCGTCTCGGGTACTAATAGCCGGGGAACCAGGTATACCCTAGAAAGGAAGTCCCTGGTACTAATTGGTTCACCCTGAACAAAATTTCAATATTAGCATTAGTAATTAATATCCTAAGACAAGAATTGACAATTACTTAAATTGAATCGAATTAGCATTAATGCCCATTATTAGTAATTAGGTACATACATATTGAAGAACTCTCAAGAATACGATAAATATTTGCAAAAATAGAAAGCGGAAGCGCACACGTACTTTACAACACGTATATTATCTGCCTAAGGGTCAAGTTTAGTGCACTAGATGCAAATTGCAAACAATGACGTATCCCTTCGCCCCTCCCCTCCCGCGTTCTAGCGAAGGATGTATTATCAGCGATTCTTGATTGACAAATATTATCTGACCAATAATTTTATCTATAAAAATGTATCACTTTCACTCGATAAATTAAATTACCGTTATTATATCAAAATATCATTCAACAACTGTTCGTTTTTAACAGAAATCAACAGTCACGGGCTCAACGCTTAACGGTAGGTACATAGGTATAGATAATTCTCGGTTCTCGGTATAGACTACAGAACAATATTACCTACTCTTACGAGGTATACGACTGTTGGGCGATGCAATGTTGATGCATTCTAATTTACAACTGTATTCTTCTACTATTCGGTCTATTTTAACTTATTGTAGATGACTTGTTGCTTTAAATATTTGGATGCATTCAAGTCTAAGCTCTATACACCCAAAATAAAATACAATTACTTTAGTGTTATTTCTTTACAAAAAAAAATCAAAGAAATGAAACGATTTCTTATTGGTTTAAATTTTCGATTTATTGCAGTAAGGTGAATCGTTCATACATGTATCTACATATTTATAATTTTAGCGGACCAGTGCAGATTTTCTGTTGATTGTAGCTCCGGTAGTAAAAAAGACTAAAGAAATTTTAAGTAAAGAAACTAGTGCTTAAGATCAATTGGGGAAAAACACAAAATAAATAATAGGTAATAATAATGAATAAATATTGAATGTATTTAACACTGTACGCAACTGTACCGAAATCGTAAGGTGTATTACACTAAACATTTTAAAAGACAGCCCAATAGACTGGGTGATCGCTTTTTTGTAACCACCTAAACATGGTCGGATTACCACGGACTTGCACCTTCTAATGACTTTTATTTAATTATCTCGTAAATTATTATATGTACGACGCTGAAATTCTACAGGTAGACAACTGAACTAAACAACTAATTATTGGCATAACATTCAGTTTATATATCCACACACAGGTTTATCGGTGGCCAAAAAAGGCCGCACACATTGTGATCGTGAACGTGGAGAGCTACATTTCATCATAACTTTTTAGTCACTTATAGTATTCTTACGAAAATTCGTATACATTTGAAGGTAGTTACAAGCAAAGGAATAACGTTTTAAGTAAGTCTTTAGAGGTCTTATTTAAAGTGTTAGGACGTATTGAAGTGTTTTCATACTTACCTAAATAATTTTTAAACGGTCCATTATTTTTGTTATTTTATTGTCGAACAAATTAAAACTAATCCTTAAGAAGTTATGTACAAAAGATGGTTACAATCCGCTTACCCGTTTCAGAGATCCAGCAAACCCACAAACGTTACTCCAGCAGGATTTCGAATAACTTCGCAGCCGAAGAAAATACAAATACCAAATAAGTTGTAACATTTACCTAGTCCAGATAACTAATTATCTAGCTAAAATTTATTTCAATATTACAATTAAAAAAGAAAATGTCTGGCTGCGGTAACGTTTCAAACGTTACCCCAGCAGGAAATGTTTTTTTGAAATAACTAAAAAAGTTTAAGAGAAACAAATTTAAAAATGTGCCTAACAATTACAGAAGGGGAGCAACTAATTATCTATAACGTTTAAATGACCATTTTCGACATTATTTTGCTGGGGTAACGCACACGCAAAATTCGTGTTTTGTTTAAAAAAATTAATCGGCAATATGATTATCGTGTATCGTGACGGATTAAGAATACCGAGTTTCCCCACCCCTATTCATTCCATGGGTGTGGTAAGAGCCGATTAAGGGAGAAAGATACGCAGAACAACGGCACTGCAAAAAGAGGGAAAACTTGCAACAAGCCCCTTTTTACGTTGGTGAAACCTCCTCGGGCCGGGTGGTGTGTCCGAAACTAAACGAGTAAAATCACACGGTGTTTTACTCTGCGCCTGAAATAGGAGGCAACCCGTCTGGCTAACGTAGTGTAGTAGGCCAAAACCTCCTTTCTAAAGGTTGTTGTTGATGATGAAAATGTTTAATGGATTAAGAAACTAACACTTAAGGACTAACCACGAATTTAAATTAATCGTTCTGATAAGGAACACACGAACTTTGTAATTGGATGTAAAACAATTTAAAGTTCTTTTGAATGAAACATCTAAAAACACATTAAAATCTCTACACAGAATTGTAGAAATCTCGAGTCTCAGATCGTAATTTATTTCTAGTTCTTACCTTATAGAGGTTTTTGCTGTTAAAATTTAATAACAACGATTTGATGAACTGACACCTAAGTATCGCTTGAAACTAATGTACTTTTATGACATGTTAAACAGAGCGAACCTAAACAAATAATATCTCATTAAAGGCCAACTGGGTTATTTGCTTATCATGAAACTAACACTTGATAACTTAAGTGAGAATGTAATTTCTTTTGAATATTATAAATCTTCATAATGTCAATTCCTATAAAATGCAATCTGTATTTACTATCTCCGTTACAAATTTGAGAGTGGGTGGGTCTTTTGATCCACTGATTAGCGATCTTGACCGCTGAGCCAGAGGTAGTGTTTTCGATTCCCGCCCAGGTTGTTTAATAAACATACGTTGTTAAATAAACATGTGTTAAATAAACATACTCATATACTTTTGATTTGTAAATATATACTTATATTATAATACATAGAAGCACCCAGAATCGGAAAAATTAAATATCTGTAGATAACATTAATAGCTTATCAAATTAAATAATTAATTAAATAAAAAAACACCGATCGATCACTTGGATTCTTTTGCTATCCGTACCCGAATTCAATGACGTCACGTTTGACAGTCATCTAGTTCGCTTGGTCGAGTAGTACAGGTAGCCAGTCAACAAACGCTGATCTATCCATACATTCACAAGTGATCAGTCTCAGCGTGAGATGCTCGTATGCATAAGGGCCTGTAGATAAAAATAAAAACTAGAGCCACCTCAAACATGTATTGAAATATATTGTTGTGTGTAATCGTAGAACTAAAAGGAATACATGTACTTACATTTTTTTGCTATCCGTTCTGTCGGTACACAACAATATTCATAAACGATTACGAAACTTTTTAAATTCCATGGCCGGTAGTGACAAATGATTTACCGCGGTCGCATCCTTCTGTGAAGACGTCATCTCGCAGAAGGAGGCGGCGGAGAGGGCTCGGAAGCACAACCTACGCTCTGACTCAATTCGTCGCTGGCGAACTGGGCGGCGGAGGCGCGCTTACCAGCGCCTCATGGCGCCCTGAGTGTGCCCGCGGGTGGACGGCTACGGGTCTTCTCCTCCTTCCACTATAGTGGCGACGTCCGCGTATGCCGTACATCGCCTAAATAGATAATTAACCCGGCAGACGCTAGGAGGTTCCGGATACACACCATCGATAGGTGGTATACAAGGGGATTTCCGCACGGGAAAAAAAAAGGAGGTTCCGGATGTCTTAATAACAGCAGTATGTTTAAGTCGGTCCGATTCCGACACACCACTCCGCCGCAAACCCCGGTGGGGTGACGGCCCGAGAGGGTTTCCACATGTTATAAAAAGTGATATTACACACACGTTGTGTACCCCATTTTATGCATATTTATGATTAGGAGATTATTTATCTACCAGGTTGCCTAAATTAAATGATACGGAGGTAACTGCACAAGTTCATGTCCACGCTGTGCTAATAAATTGTCTCCTTTACCCTTACAGAAACCCGGTTGTTTTTCACCGGGTCGTACCCCCTGATACTCAAAGGGTGGTAACGCACTTGTGACTCCTAAACTGCTGGTGTCCATGGGCGGATGTCGTCACTTACTATCAGGCGACCCGCCTGCTCGTTTATCCCCCTATACATACTATTAAAAAAAACAGTGGCACTCCGGGAGTGCCGACAGAAGTGAAAACATATACTTAGTTATACATAGGTGTCGGTAATGGTAACAGTGTCGCAAGTTCAATTGTTTTTCCCATTAAAATGCTGCACCTAAAGGAGTTTTCATAATGCTGATAGTCTATCTGTTCATGGATGATTTTATAAACGGGTAGAAAGAAAACCTTAAACAAGTTACACATTCACTTACTTCACTTACTGGCAATGGCCAACAGACTGAAAGGCGGGCAAATTAAATCGTTAAATTATTACTGAGATTTAGAATCTGCTGTCCTCGTCTTATACGTCTGTCAAAACGAGAGGCTTGCTCTCCTCTTATTGAGCAAGTGGTCTGATCAAATTAAAGTTTTGCAATTTCCCAAAGCAACGAAATCTTGAGAATGAGGGGAAAAATAGATAATCTCTATTTTAGCATCATCATAGCCTTAAAAATAAAAAATAAGTGAATCAAAAATCAAATTTATTATATGCAAATAATAATAATAACTTAACATATCTCACACACAACATTCTGGTCCAAAAATAGGCAGAGCCTGTACTGTGGTAACCAAGCTGCTGATAAACATACTTAGTTTTGTCTAAATACATACATATTATAGATAAATAACACCCCGACAAATAACTCAGTTTTAAAATTAAAATGTACTTGGTTATTGAAGTATCTAATGTACTTCACAAAAATATCAAGGTGTTTTTGCCTAACTTTGTTCTGTTAGCAAGATATTTACTGTTATTTATGAAAAGCTTCTTTAAAAGCTTGATCTAAATCTTTTATAAGGTCTTCGGGGTCTTCTAGCCCAATTGAAAGTCTTATAAGAGAATCTGTGACACCAATATCAATTCGTTGTTTTTCAGAAAGCACCGCGTGTGTCATCGTAGACCTGTACAGAAAAAAAAAATTAGGATGCTATAAATGTAATACATGTAATATATTCAGCGAGCGCGCGGGGTAGTTGGATCTTCTTATGGTCCCGATGTTATTCAACTTGCACGCACTCTGTAGGTATTTATTTACGTATGTACGTATTTACGTAGTCATGAATATATCGATACATAGTTAGGTATACTATACTTAAAACATAATTAAATCATATTATTAGAGAACAGAGGGCCTTAAATTTTTTGTGAGTACCTATATAGATAATTGAAATACGGCCACTTACGGTAATTGTACTAAACTTCTTGTTCCACCTAAACTGATACACAATGCGAACAGTTTAAGGGCACACAGAAATGTTTTAGATTCCCTAAATTCACCAGAATGCCTAAAACTGAAGACACCCGAATGACCAAAACTTTGTCTTTTTGCAAGTTCATGTTGTGGATGTTCTGGAAGTCCTGAAAGTTAAGAGGGAAATTTAAAGGGTGGTTCCATATTTTAAATTTATTCACACTGTTTATATGCTAGATTCTTACCTGGATGTAATACTTCTAACACGTGGTTCTGGGTTAATAACCACTTGGCAATAGTTAAAGATGATTGTTGATGTCGTTCCATGCGTAAAGACAATGTTGTCAAGCTTCTAGTTACGAGATAACAATCCATGGGAGAAGGCACCGCTCCTACATCTGTAGCAAATAAATAATAAGATGTAACAAGTTAATTTATTATACCGATTTAGATTTAGGCACGTATTGTACTCACACATTTGTAGACTTTTCAATATTTTTGCTATTTTCTCATCCTTAACAATCGCTGCACCCATTACAACATCTGAGTGACCATTTATATACTTAGTTGCAGAAAACATGCTGATATCAGCACCAAGATCTAGAGGTTTTTGAAAATACGATGTAAGGAACGTGTTATCGACACAAACAAGGATATCACCGCGACTTTTAGCCAATTTGCTTATGGCAGCTATGTCAAGAAGTTTAATCGTCGGATTTGTTGGAGTTTCCACCCAAACCATCTGAAACAAGGCATAGTTAAGTAATAAAATTTAAAATATTTTTTTGAATAGGTACTTAAACTATTTCAAAAAACATGTTCTTCTATATAAAGCTTGTCTGGAGGATGAGCTGATATTAAGTATAGGTGGTGTAAACAATCGCAGGACTTTAGCCTTTATTATCGCGCAATATACCTAGACATAATCCTAGGAATTAATCCTTGGCATAATCCTGGGAATTATTGAAGCTAACTTTAATTTAAGGTTATATTTCTCTTCGTTGCCGACGAACCAGAAAGGAAATCCCTGGTAAATCCTATTACACCTACCTTTTACCTCTAGGAGCCTTACGGAACAAACACATTTTATAAGAATTTATTTTTACCTTTGTATTCTTTTGAATTGAATTTTCAATATTTTTAATATTTGTGAAGTCTGTAAAAGTAATTTCAATTCCCATTCTTGAAATGATTTTCCTGAAAATGATTAATCCATTAGATAAACAAAGTAAATTAACTGAAGTAAAAATTACTAGTAAAAATTTCCGCACCTAAAAAGGCAAGCAGTACCAGCGTAGATTTCGTTATCGGTAAGAAGGTGATCTCCTTGGCTCAGCATCATACAAATTGTCGACATCGCTCCATGACCGGAAGAGAAAGCAAATCCATATTTGCCGCCTTCTAATTCTGCTAAGCAGTGCTCTAGTGAGTATCTATTGGGGTTTCCGCACCTACTGTAGTATATTCTCTAAAAAAAATATTTTCGGTTTAGTTCCCCAAAAAGGGAGATAAATAACTTTTATAGGATATCTCCGGTATCACTCAAACATCAGTATTTTTGAGTCATAAGGGTCTTGACAGTTCAAGACCCTTATCTTAAGGACCGCAAGAATTTGAAATGGAATTAAGTTGAATTAACAGTCGAAATAAATTAAAGCTACATTTTAAATTAAAGGCAGATTAAAAGATTCTAGAATTTAATTTACGGTAATTTAAAACCCTTATATACTTTCCATTTACCTAGAATCATGAAAGGTGAAAAGAAAGTTCTTCCGCCAGAAAAGCGCAGTCTTTAATTTGTTGTAATTTTACCTATAAATACTTTTCGCGAAAATACATTTTTTAATTAAAATTCGTATTTTGCGCTTGGGAAAGAATAATAATATTCAATTTTTTTAATTATTAAAGGAGATTTCAGTAATATAGGTTTTCTGATATTGTTTCCTGTCATAAATAATATTGTAATAATTTCCCACATCTCACACACGCTGTCTGATCTGAAACCAGGCACAGCCTATACCTACTATGTTAACTAGTGTTGATTTTGGAAGTTCAAAGAAAGTAATCAAAATTGCCCAGAATGTCAATAACGTGACATTTCAACAGAACTTATTCTGTCGATTGTTACCTTTATCATTGAACATAGATCTTGTAAAAGTAAAGGTGCAGATTGAAAATAACATTTTCAAGAGTTGCATTTTTTTATTAATTAAAAAATATTTCTAAACATCAGATACCCCGCAAAATAATAGTCAGATTTCTGACTAGCAAGACTGTCCCAGTCCCATATATAAGCCCATAACACAAGTTCGATTACCGTTTTAACCGAAATTTTTACCGTTTATAAAGCGAGTTATCCTAACTTTTTTCATATAATTATCATATTTTTAGAACTTGCTAAAAGTAAATAAATTCTTCTCAAAGAAATGTTATAGCTGCAATAACTAGACGTTCAAGTGTTGTTACCACAACGCTTTCCTACGTTTTCTTTACTTGGGATACATAAAATATAAAGTCGAAAAAAGTGTAACCACTTTTGAACTTTGACGACGTAGCTTTGATACCACTAAACATTTGAAAGTAAACATATTTATGTCTCATTTACACGCGAGACAAGTACAATACCATCGCTCGGATTAGACAAAGACAAAGACATAACTTTATGATGGTGGGCCAGTGTTGACTACCGTATGAAATTTTACCCATAACAACCAAGAAACAATTTTTTTTTAAAACAATTTTGTAATAAAATAAATTAATTTAAATATTTTAAATAATATATTTCGAATTGAATGGAATAGGTATAAATAATAAAATAACTGGAAATATTTGGTTAAAAGGGTTTATATTCAGTGTAAAATCAAACTCCGCTTTGAAGCATCAGTTTTGTATACAATTGTCGTTTAGACTCTTTTTTATAAGTTTGTGTGGATATTTTACTTTCATGATACAATCTTATTTTTACGTATGTATAAATAATGGCATTTAATAATAAAAGTGAATATATATATATATATATATACATATAATTCTTTTGTACAAAAGTCTCCAGCACTGCGAGCTAGGCAGAAGGTGAACGTTCAACGGGTCCCTAAAAAAAGTGATCGGTCCAGCCCTAACAACTACCGTTCTTCCTATATTTTATTATTAATGGCAAAATGTTTAAAAACAGTATAAAGCATAATATTTCATAAATTATAAATTCTCCCACTAATGTGGGAAAACCATAATGATTTTTTTATGGTGACACTGATTCTAAATTACAATTATCAATGTTTTATTTCAATTATAGCCTTATTTACGATAATATCAATACAAAAACTATAAAAGCACGTGAAAAGTAATTCCGCATGATTTATTATGGTTTTGTGACCTTGAATCGCATTCTTTCACTACGCATTTACCCATTTTGGCGATTGTTACTGACATGTGTCGCTATGTTCAACTCGGTTGACGCCACATTGAACACTGAATTGACGTTTGCTACGCATATGGCTGTGGATAGATGTGCAGTAGCAACGATTTTAGGCGGTAATTACTCATCTATGTAAGTAGTATATCAATGTGGCAGAGCATCATTTTATTGACGGATGAAGAAAATCATAAACGAATGATTTTGAATGACTACTAGGTTAACTTTTTGACAGCAATAACAACTCATTTGTGACAGGCAGCTGTCATTGGTATCGACTTCAGTGTATTGACATCTGACACTGACCCATATGCAAACTACATACTAAAATAACTTTTGAACTCAAAGTGAACGAAAAATCTGGTTTACCAGATTTTTCGTTCTTGCGTTCGATGGTTGGTTCGATGGTTCGCGTGCCAATCTGTAATTATTGATGATATTAATAGCCAAATAAAAACAACAATAACCCCTACCATGAGATACGCAAGGCGGTACAAAAGACCCATACATGCCTGCCATTGTCCTTTATTATTATTATTATTATTAAATAGTACCGTCTGTATAAAATTTTATAGATATTGTTAAGTCTGATCAAATTAGGTACCTACATCCTCTACAACGGGTTCAGAAAGTTGGAACGTAGCTGCTGTTACTATAGGCTGCACTACACCTGTGCAAGTCTCCTTCGATTCTACCCTACAGTGAATAGCAGTGGTGGCAAAACCAGGCTTTTGTTCGAGAAATTCTTGATTCGCCATCTAAGAACAAAAAAAAAAATTTAGCTTCTTAATTATTTATTAGACTGTGCAGCACTGAAAGATGCTCTACTCGGTAGTAATGGGCTAATGCCAGTTAATATGCATTATATGATAAGTAATTAGGTTTAATTTAATTAATTGCGAATTCTTATGTCTTAGCATGCTAATTGCTAATGCTATCATTTGCTAATATTGCAAGTTCTTTCGAGAAATAATGCAATACAGAGTTTGTGTTCGCGATGTTTCGTCACCTTCGTCGCCTTCGTCAATTCGTCACTTAACACTTTCTATTTAAAAAAAAAAACATTCTATTCACAAAATACATATTTACAACGCACAAGTCACACTCTTCAAAGCTTAAATTACTTATACCTTCTATAATCCTAATCCTAATAATGCAGGGTGGCTCGGAACATAGAGCTTTATAACAATCGGTATTAGAGACCCAAAAAGATTACCGCGCGACCTGGTTGCGGACTGAAGAAGTCCCGGACAGGAAGGCGGTCCCCGATCCCCGGGTATAGACGGTCTCGACACAGCCTCACTAGCCTCTTATCCTGAGCCCCGCTGCAAGGGCAGACCTCGATCGGCCCCTACGGCGGGCCGACGGCGGATTCACCCATAAAACCACGTATAATGCACACCTTTTATTATATGTTCACAGCCTACTTGGCCCGAATAGGGCCACCATGCGCGGGGGGAACGACCGCCGCCACAGCAAAAATAACAGAACAGGCGACCCCGCAGACCGCTTAGCGGTGCGGACGAGGCGACGTGAAGACTGAAACAACCCCTCCCAGACAAAACCAAATCTCGATTAGAACACCCCATGACCTACCCCTATTTAGGGGTAGCGGTAGACACCGCTGGCAGGGGGCTGAAGCCCCGATCCAGCTAGTGCACGTCCCCTGCAGGATGCTGTGAAGATCAGCGGTAGTGGAGTTCAGTTTGAGCCTCAGTGCGATAAACATCAAATCGATTCAAGCGAACAGGGCCTCAATTCTACTATTTTATGTTTACGCCAAGCCAGTGTCATACCACTGACACGCTATTGAGATGCCATCGAGAAGCTATTGACATCGGTATAAATATCGGTAGTTGAAAATATATTACTTTTTTTGAGGAAATGATTTATTTGTTTTTCTTATAATAAATTATTAAAAGAAATAAATAAATTAAAATAACTTATTAAAAAAATAAAATTAAAAAATAAATAAATTAATAAATTCAAATAAATTATTAAAGAATAAAATATAAAAATTAAAAAAAAAGAACTAAATAAATTATTAAAAAAAAAAAAAAAAAAAAACATTTCCTGAAAAAACGTTTACATTTTCAAATTATAAGGAAATGACTTATTTATTAATATGATTTCTTTTTTTTATAATTTTATTTTATAATTATTTATTTATTTATTTTAATAATTTATTTATTTCTTTTTTTATATTTTTTATATTTTATTCTTTAATAATTTATCTTTTTTTTATTTTATTTTTTTAATAAGTTTTTTAATTTATTTCTTTCTTTTAATAATTTATTAAAAACAAATAAATCATTTCCTCAAAAAAAGTAATATAATTTCAACTACCGATATTTACACCGATGCCAATGGCCACTCGATGGCATCTCAATAGCGTGTCAGTGGTATGACACTGGCTTGGCGTAATAGCAGAATTGAGGCCCAGATGAGTAACCCAGCGACCTCGGTGATAATTACAGAGTATTATTAAGTATTGTTTGGATTTATTTGAGTGTATTTGTAAAAAAGTGTCTTAATTCCTCAGACAGCATTTCAATCCAAATTAACCAACTCTAACACTTTTAATTTACAAATTACTCCGTTGAAAATAAAAGTGATATTTTAGAATATAATGTAAAAATGTACCGCCCGTTACTGTTCCAAAAGATTCGGCAAAATCTTTATGGCGTTGACAAAGGATACTTTAGTCGACGAAGACAAACTAATCGTTCTGATAAGGACTAAACCTGAGTTTAAATACACAAACTCTGTTGTATGTAAAACATTGATCGTTATAATTTATGTCGGGCTCACCTTACAGTCGTTGCTATTTTAAAACTTTACTAAAAAGAATTGGATGAACTGACACTACAGTTCAGTTTGAAACTAATACACTGCATGACATCTAAGAACAAGGAACTAAACATTTGATATAAAAGGCTATCTGGGTTAATTGCTTATCTTGAAACAAACATTGGAAAAGTTAAGTGGGAATGCAATCACCTTTTAAGATTACAGGCAACGTACAAAACACTTGATAACTCCTTAAAGGCTATCTGTGTTATTGTTTATTTTGAAAAGTTAGGTGAGACTTGAGTTTATGAGTTCCAGGTGCCCATGGGTAGCGGTAGTTACCACCAGGTGACCCATCTGCTGGTTCGCCTCCTTATACCATCAAAAATTCTTTTTTTAAGATTAAATAAATTCATATTGCCAATTCTTATGCAATGCCAATGCAATCTGTGTTTACTACTAGTAGGGTCTGTTGGTCTATAGTGGTTAGCGATCCTAACTGAGGTCGTGGGTTCGATTGCCACATAGGACATTGTGTGATGTGCAAAAACTAATTTTGTTCTATGTAATTTACTTAAATAGAAATATATGTGGCCAGTTGATGGTAATAATAAGCTTGCCCTTATGACGTAGGTAGGACTAAAGTTATACTCGGCAAAACGTAAGCTTTCAATACTTCTTTGTCGAATCCTTCGGGAATAAAAGACGTGTGTGTATGCTTTATTTTATTAAATACCTTACACATGTATTGGTAATATAATACATGTAAAAAAAATCCATTTCAATTTATTTCATTTACTTACGAATTGCTTCGAAATTTAAATTTTGCCACTATGTATACCAGCGAAAGTAGGAATATCGATTGCGTACACATCGGTATTGATGGACGTCACAATTGGGATAACTGTTTAATTGTTTTTTGTTATCAGAAGATATTAAAAATCGAGCTCATGCTCCATATCAGTACATAAGAAGATAGTCTCTTTGGTAGTGATTTTCATGTGTTTACTTCCGTTGAACTTGAACCATGTTCAACAATAATCGTTAATTAAATAAAACAATAATATGCCGCTTACCAATCTCTAAAATGCTCTGAAGCTCGTATTCCGATGGCTTAAATCATATATTTTTTATGGATTGCTACGGTCTACAGAACAAACACCACCGCTCTTAGCCTTGTTTCCTTATTATCCTTCAAATGATATTTTCGTTACTTATTAATCTATAAAGAGAAAACCCATATAAACTCTTAAATATAGTAATTTAAACAGTTTTTTCACTCCATTGTAAGGTTAGTCAAAATGACTTGGTTGATGTTGTTTGATTATAATCGATGATATGCCATGTTTTGCCGGTTGTTTACAGTTCGTTCGTATCGGTTTAAATTGACTTTTGGAAATTTCTAGTGCTTCGCCTCTTACTTTGTTTTAGAATTTATTTAATTATTAAGTAATTTTAAGTCCAAATTAATGACGTAATATGAATGCATTATTAAATTGTTGCAACGGTTTTACCCAATTTCTATATGGCTAAGTAGATATCTTTTTAAAAATAAATACCAATCGCGAAGGTTTAAATTCCAAATAAAACTTTTAGTTGTAAACGACAAATTTATAAAGAGAAAAATAGTAAATAAGTTTACTTTACCATAATTTACTTATTTTTACACATCATGCACATTTGGTGCATTGGCGGACTTAATGCCTAAAAGCATTCTCTACCAGTCAACCATTGGGTGATGCAGAGGAAACGGGAAGTAGGTGCATTTTACTTAAAATTCGTAATGGCAAAGGCAAACTATATAATATATCAAACACACATAATATATAAACCTATCATGCACTAGAACTATACACATTATACATATAAATAAATACTTATATACATACATACGCAAATAGAAACCAATACCAATAATAATGTTAGATGACAATCATGTGGAAGTTGATTCTGCCAGTTGTTTTATGAGATCTGTCTCTAATGCTTTACATTTGTTTTAAAAGAAAAGGTGTTGGTGGCCATTATGATCTCGAAGGGAGCTCATTCCAAAGTAGAACAGACTGGACAACACAAGATACTACATCAAACTCCGTCGTATGGGAAGGACAACGAAGATGAAGGTTATTGGAAGACCGAAGGTTTCCATCGTGATAGCTACATAAAAGTTGGAAGTAGTAGTTTAAATATGTTGGCCTAGATATGTTATTTAAGAGCCTATAAGACAGTAAGAGCGAGTAGTTTTTGAGGTAGACGAATTAGTAGCCAATTGAGCTGCGAAAGGAAAGAGGATATAGGTACATGATCATATTTAGGGAGATTATAAACAAATCGAATGCAGTTGTTAAGAAGATGGTCTAATTTATCGAGAAGATCTGCGTTCAGCTCATAACAGCACACGTCACCATAGTCGATTACGTGGAAGATAAGGGTTTGCACAAGCATTGTCTTGGTTTCTGGGGTAAGAAATTTCTCAGGCGATAAAGCGCCCAAAGAGTACCAGTAACCTTTTGGCACTGATTTGCAATTTGCTCACCCGTATTTAATGCGCAGTCGAGGTGTAAGCCAAGATCTTTCACAGATTGACAAACAGGTATGATAGTTCCTTTAAAAATTATAGCCGGAAGAGTCTCAGTGTCTACTCTGCTCAGCAATCGGTGAATTCCAACTATAATAGCTTGAAATTTTGTGGGGTTTACTGATTATACGAACCTTTTAGACTACGCATTGATCGTTTCCAGGTCTCTGTTGACCATATTTTAATAGCAATAGATATCTATTGCCATTGAAATATCTTCAACCTTACTTTGCCAATAGAGTTGTAGGTCATCGGAATACAGATACACACAAGTTCCAGATTTAGGAGATTAATATACACAATGAATAACAAGGGAAAAGGAATACCGCCTTGAGGGATACCAGAGTCAAGATCACACCAGCCCAAAGAGGATTCATCGACACGAACAGGCTGCTGGCGTCTCTGAAGCTAAGATGAGAACCATTCCAGTGCTTCAGGCGAGACCACAAGGTATGAAAGGATAGATACATATCGTAATTGACGGTATTGAAGGCATTTGAGAAGTCGATCAGTGCTAAAAACAGTACTAAAGAAACCTTTGTGTCCTGCATGCCCGCCTTCATATCGCCAGTCGCTTTAAAGAGAGCGGAAGTAGTGCTGTGACCAGGCCTGAAACCAGATAGCAACGGGTTCAACAGATTGTTTTTATAGATGAATTCAGAAAACTGTTTGAGCACATAGGATTCTAAGACCTTGGAGAGTAAGAGGAGAATTGATATTGGTGTGAAATGGTTGGGGAGTGTAGGATTCGCAATTGACTTAGGTAACGGAATGACACACGTTTAGCGTTACGTATCATCTGATTGCACCAATTTCTCGCGGTTTTGTATCCTCGGTGCGATCCCTCCCAGACTTACAAAAAGCCCTATCCTCGCTGCATATCCAGAAGTACCTCCTTCGTCATTGTTGGTTGTCTCTTAAGTTAATTTTTGATAGATGCATAGACATCATATAGAGCAAGAATTGCGGGATTGCATACTTATATGCATTATATGGTAATTAGGTTTAATTTAATTAATTACGAATTCTTATGTCTTAACATGTTAATTGCTAATGCTACTATTATTTGCTAATATTGCAATTTAATTTTTGATAGATGCATAGACATCATATAGAGCAAGAATTGCGGGATTAAAATGATTAAGTTTCTCGTTCACACTCGTAGCCGACAATTCAGCTTGGAGGCATCCTTACATAGCTTGTCAATCTGCATATTCAATGCTATTTAACAAGTATATTTAATAGTAAATATACTTGTTTAATAGCAAGAGTTTGGTTTAAGGCACATAGCCTAAAGTATGATTCGTTTCGGTTCCTTGATTTCAGAATTGTATTACGATGTGACATCCATAGAGATATAAACATAGAGTCCACAAGAGCCCCAATCTTGCAGTTGCAACAAGTTTTCTCTATCTCTTTCGATTCGAACTCTGTGGTTAGTTGGGGCAATTTCTAATCTCCCGCCTGTTCAGACGCCTGATAACAGAGACAGAGGGAACTATTGGGCATTCATCTCTCTCATTGCCTGTATCGCTTCCACCCAGATAACACACTTACGGGCAGCTGTCTCCCCTGTTCTCTCTATACTTATCTCTCTATGGTGATATCTGACATTTAAAGTTTGCGGAATAAATTTCCCGCCGAAGTTAAACATGTCAAAAAGCTAAATTGTTTTGTTTTGTGTGTGTTTCTCGTACAATACTTTTTTTCCAAACTCTAAATAATGAAAATTGATAGCAAACCTCTTAGGTATGCCCACGCTGAAGGTCATACAGACGTATGCTACACTGAAGATGGGCAGTAAGTTTTTCTGTAACTTCCGTTCTGTATCTTAGTAGCAAAAAAGTTGGTGCAGGTCCATTAACTAAAATTTTCTCTCAACTAGGCACATAATAACCTGTGGTAATGACGGTGACGTCAGAATATGGGTAGGCATAGAAGATGATGATCCCACCTCGCATTGTGTTGGAGAAAGTGCACTTGCTGTATGTTATAAAGACAAGAGACTGTATGTGGCGACGGACAACCATGCTGTTCAAGCTTATACGTATCCCGCATTTGATAAAGATGGCATTGTTACCAGGTTTACGGCACCAGTTACTCAAATCAAATCAACAAACAAAATTGAGGTAATCATATATTCCACCTGTTAACACTTTCAAATTCTTTAAAAGATTTCTGTATTGTAGTAAATTTACTATTTATAGCTCTCTGCCAGTAAGTTAATTAGTAAGTAAGTAATTAGTATTTTGAAAGATTTGTTTACATCAATAACAAAAGAAAATGTCTATGTTATTAGGCCTTGGGATGTTCATCAGAAAATATGGAAGCCAAGATATGTAACTTAGAAGGTGGTGCTCCATTGTTCGTCATGACAGAGCATAAAGGTCCAGTGCTGAGTATTGCTATTTGCCCACACATGAAATTTGCAAGCACTGCCTGTGGAGATGGCATATTGAGGATTTACAATATTGATACACAAAAGATTGTAAAAGAAATAGCATGTATACCTAAGATAAATACATTTTATGCTGCCAAAGTTTTATGTAAGTATAAAATAATGTCAATTCTAAATGTGCAATATTGGATTCTAATATACTAGACATATTACTTACTATATTAAAAAACTTTATATCAATAAAGGCGATCTCAGTAATAAAGATTTTTTGATGATTCCTGTTATACATATAATAATAAACTCACATACCTTACACATTTCTATCTGATCCCAAATTAGACAGAACCTGTACTATAGTAACCAGACTGCTGATAAAGAAACTTATATATATTTAAATGTATACATGTCACAAGTAAGTTATACCCAGACACACAGATGATCATGCTCATAGCATAATATATGTCCTGGGTGGGAGTCAAACCCAAGACTTCTGGCTTAAGTCAGGGTCACCAACCACTAGACCAATAGGCCAATAACCAATTATTATTATAATGTCAACATGCAAATGTATTGCTGTAAATTTCAATTTTATTTGTGGATGTATAATGTTATTTTACCGTACTGATTAAATGACCAATATATAGAATAAACAATCAGTCCAACTTCAAATTTAGTGGTAGTATTTAGAGAAATCTTAATAAACATATGTAATTGAGGTCCCACATAACTATAATCAGGCAAATATAATCATTTAAATTGTGCTTAATTATTTCAGGTAGAATGGATTTCGAGCCAACAGAAGGGAAATATTTAGCCTATCCTAATAACCGTGAAATCATTTTATTGGATTGTGAAAGCTGGGGTCAGAGAATGACATTTACACATAGTTTGGTAAGCATGTATCTAATAATATGAAGAGTATTTGAACTAATAGCTAAATATATACAATGACAGTACAATTTACAATGGTTAAATGTATTTACACAACAAAAAAATTAAAGTTATTATAATCATTGTTGAGAGTAACACTAGGTGATGTCTAGTTTAATGTAAACTTGTCTGTTAAAATACCTAAATCCTAATGCCTAGTTTACATGCATGCCGAGGTTTGGCAAACGTCAACAACCTCCAAGCCTTTACAAATGGCTTGGCTTGGATGCCATTTACATGCTTGCGAGTGTGTTGTTACGTATTTTTATTCCAAATATTAGTGGCGGAACTGAACTAATAAAAAATCCTCTAGCCCTGCTGCTTAACCAGTAGAGCATATATATTTTGAGACTTAATGTTGATTGCCGACTGCTGAAATAATATCAAATTGAGCAGTGCAAAACAAGCACGAACCAACTTGTAAATACGTCGCAAAGGCTTGCCGTAAGATTCTTTTGATCTGTGATCAAATACTGACACTAGCCCCAATCGACGACAAGCTCACGCAAGCCAAGCACCTTATTTACAAGAATTTAGTTTGTGGATACTTATCGAGGCTTGCCAGGCTCGTAATTAGGGTTTCAAATATCGAGGGTAGGGTTTGAGCTTTGGTTACCTCTCTCACTTGGTTAAAAGCAATGAAAAATTGCTAAAGGCTGTTTTGCTTTCTATATCCGTTAAGGGCCTCAATTCAAACTCAGATTAAATTAGATGTGATTAATAATGTTGACACATATATTTTCTTACTTGCAGATAAAGTGCACAATATCGCAATGTTTATTTTCACCATGTGGGCAATATTTAGCGGGCAATACTGTTGCAGGACAAATAGCCGTATGGGAAATCGGTTCTGGTGCCTGCATAGATATAATTGAACATCCTACTTCTCATAATGTATCTGCTATGGCTTGGAACCCTAAAGGTATATTTCAAAAGCATATAATGTGAAAAAAATGTATCTTATTAACAATTCATTTGTTTTGTTGATAGCTGCAAAAGTAAGCGAAAACTCTGTTCAATGTAATGATTTGTTAAAAAAATATTAAATATCTAAATCCAAGTATGCATGTAAATTTAAATTAAGACATGACTTCTTTGTTAATTGAAAGCTAAGACGAAATTACTTTTAATCAAGGAAACATTGATGGACTAAAAGCTCATACATCTTATAAATGTTGGTAAAATTGTTTTAGGTAATGGCATTCTAGCATATTGTGATGTTGCTGGTCAACTAGGTACCTTAATTAACTGCTATGGTAAAGACAGCAACAAGCTTGATACAGAAACTGATGACATTGAAATGGTTGAAAGGGGAGATGGTGAGTTAGATTCTTAAAAGACCTTTTATTCAGCACTTGTCAATTGACATTGACTAGTTGTGTACTACATAGTGACATCCTATAATGATTATTCTAATAACCATCCTTACAAATAATGTAACTTTTTTTATCAATTTTTTAAGGATCTTGAACAACTAAAAAATCTTCTACACAATGATCTTGTACAACACTATATTGATAATTAGAAAATTTTGCCTTTAAATTAAGCTTATAAAATACAAAATCTTAATTACATGTACAAACTCACTGACCTTCACCTGTTTCACTGAAAAGAATTAAATTTACCCCATTTTTGCAATATCCAATACCAAAATATTAATGTTCAATTTGATCCAAAAGTTCTTGAAATGATCTCATTCAACCAAACAAACAAACTCTTCAGCTTTATAATATTATATGTAAATAACTCATACATTACATGCAAAAGGTGCATTACATTAGTAATTCGGTTTTTATGTTTTTACAGACAATGATGACATGGTGGATAATTTAATAGAAAACTATGAAAGTGATGACGACAATGCTATATCACTGGAAAAAATTAAAAATGAGACATTAGGACTAATTAATTCTGAACATGATGAGTCACGACCTGTGTCGCGTCACACTACGGTTGCTCCGTCCTCTGTTCCACCACAACCACCCTTTCAACCTTCTGCAACTCCTTCTCATCTTGAACATAGGTTGGTAATTTTATAAGGTTAAACTAGCAGAATTTCTTTCAATATACCCAAATCCACAAATATTTCGACTTCACTTTATTTATTTACTGATGAAATTAAAGCTACTATGAATGACTATTGTATAGTTTATAATAGTTTTAAATGTACAAACTGAGAAAGTAAAAACAATATTAAGAAAAATGAAGCTGTTAGTTACGATTTACACTTATTTATTTGCTCTTCATTTAAAAAAAGATAAAGGTATTGAAGTTTAATAGTTTTTCAGAAAAAGAACGTCATATTCGACCTCTTTAATGTAAAAATCACGGATATCAATTTTTAACCTAAATGCTTCCAGATATATGTGTTGGAATGATATTGGCATAGTTCGCTGCCACACTGTGGAGAATGGAGAGTCTACTATAGATGTAGAGTTTCATGACACAAATTTGCATCACGGCATTCATTTGAATAATTATTTAAATCATACTATGGCCAGTTTGTCTTCTACTGTCGTGGCTTTGGCCTGTGAGACGCCCAGGTAAGTCATTTTTATTGCTACTCAAACTTAATTTGTTTGGTTGTTTAAGACCCTTTACTGTACAACGTTTCGTGAAGATTGGATGAAGGATGATATGCATAAAATACGTACAAACAAACATTGACTTTTTATAAGATGTTCATTGTAGAAAGCTTTAAACTTTAAATGAACAACTGAGAAAATGTACCATTCGTGTGCAGTAAGCTGGTGTGCATCTCGCTGGTGGGCAGCAGTAAGGAGTGGAGCGCGTCGATGCCGGACACGGAGGAGGTGATGTGCGTGGCGGCGGCCAGCGCCGTCGTGGCCGTGGCGACCACCGCGCGCCTGCTGCGCCTCTACACGCCCCTGGGCACGCAGCGACAGGTCGGTGCTGCTGCCGTGTGCGGTACCGCCGCCACTGTGCGGTACCGCCGCCGGTTGCCTATCGTTAATATTACTAATATGTGGGGAACATAATAAGCATGATCATTTGTTCTGTGTCTGGCTGTAATTTCTTTATTGTATGTATGTATTAGCGATCCGCCCCGGCTTCGGCTATTATTATGACAAGACTGGACTACCTATAGGCCCAATCTGTTCCTGCAGGCCGCTGCCAGACGCCGACATGGCGACGGCCGCTTTGCCCCCTCATTTTAAAATTCTGATATCTACTAAGATATTCATTTTAATGATATGCTATAAGAGGCATTAATTGCACAACTTATCCAACGTTTTTATTTGATTAAGGAATAATACATTATTGTTCAAAATAGCTTCGTTAAATACCCATTATTTTTTGTAATATGTAAAAGATAAAAATGGTTACTGGGACATCATCCCGGACTTTTTCGTAGATCTTTTTAAGTTATATAATTTCGTAGTGCATTTTTTTGACCTATCTCGGAAGGTTTAGCCGGCGTTTGTAATATAAGCGCACAAAAACATGTTTTATACAACTTCACATTACAAATCTTTAAAATTCTCGGATTGCCTCTATTATATATTATAAGCATGTATTAGATATATTAAACCGCCTTTTGAATCACTATCCCTATTGTTGAAAATCGCATTAAAATCTTTTGCGTATTTTGAAAGATCTAAGCATACAAGAAAACAAGCGACTTCATTTTATATTATGTAAAGATTTAGAAATATTAAGTATGTTTATCAGCGGTTAGGTCACCATAGTACAGGCTCTGCCTAAATTGGAATCAGACAGCCGTGTGTAAGATGTGTGAAGCTATTATTATTATTAACATAAATGTTAAAAAGGGCTCTTCTGCAATCTTGCAAATGTAGTACTTATTACTTTTGTAGGTGATTTCGCTAGCAGGCCCAGTAGTTACCTTGGCGGGCTTTAATTCTACCGTATTGGCAGTGTACCATAGCACGGACCCGGGCGTGTCAGATCAACACCTTTCAATGGATATTGTTGCATTAAACGGTAAGACATTTACTATTACATTATGTGTACTTTTGTAAGACCATTTACGCGAGTTCATAAATCCACGTTTAGAACTGTGTACTCATGTAAATGCCCTCAACTTTTTTAAGTTTATTGGGGACCAATACCCAACCAAAAGTTGACCACATCAAAAACTATTAAATACACGAGTCCAATGTCAACTGAAAATTGGGAACTTACATTCCACAGTCAGTCAAACAGAAATATGTTTTTAGGTCGTCAAGTCCGTAGCAAGACAGTTCCAGTACCCTTAACCCCCAGCTCCAAGCTGCGCTGGCTGGGAACTTCGGACGCTGGTTCGCCGTGCGCCTACGACAGCACGGGCGTGCTGCGGCTGTACGACGTCGCTAGCGGCCTCTGGATGCCAATTTGTGACACTACTACTCACTCCAGAGGAGCCTCTGATTCCTGGTTTATTGTTTCTGTAAGTACTGATTCTCAAAGTTACACCACATCTCATTTTTACCTAGAAAGACGAATGTCGAGCGTTTTTAGTGACCAACGTTATACGAACAATTTTATATGTATATTTGTTCTAGGTGTGTGAAGCAACTCAAAAGGTTCGCGCGATTTTGTGTAGAGGAGCGTCATTCCCAGCCACTGCTCCAAAGCCAATCGTAGCTGAATTAGCTATACAGGTAAGTGCCAATAAAAATCACCATCACATCTTAACGAATCTTACTCCGGCTCACTATCTCATAGCGATATACGCATATTCAAAAGATATATTTTTATTTTAGATACCTCTTTGTGAAATGGATACTGAAAAAAGCCAGTACGAAGAACAATTAGTACGTTGGGCACATACCACAGCAGATGTCGACGTGAAGACGGCCAGAGAGACTGCACTCAAACTGTTTGCGGTATGTATAAAAATATATATATATAGTTTGGAGCAGGGTTATTTGACTTGTACACGTAATTCACTCCTTTCTTTATTTTTCACTTTTTTGATACTTTAATACATCTTAAGAAACCTACTGATAAAGCATGCCATACACATTCTAATTCAGTGCCCAACAACCTTTACGGTATGTAACCTAATTTATTTTTAGTAAACTTACTCATTTTGAATAAATTTTCTGATTTATCAAGTCTTAAAATAATTCAATTAATAATGAGCTTCGTAAATAAAATAGTTAATGATAATATACACTATAAATGCAGTGTTGTATTGTTTATTTATTCTACTTTCAGCTTGCCTGCCGTAGCGAAGTAGAACAGAGGGCGTTAGAACTAATGGAACTCCTGAAAGATGACCGCTTATTACCTTTAGCCGCGAAGTACGCGTCGAGACTTGGCCGAATGCATTTGGCGGATAAACTAACTAACCTAGCCGACTCCTGGGAAAAGGAAGCTGATAAATTAAACATTGCACAAAACTCACATTTCAATGATCTGGACACCCAAGAAACTTATGACGTCACTAGCACTGAGCAAGACTTGAATGCTAGCTTGATTTTAGCACCAAAAGTAAAAGAAAAAAAAGTGGATTTGGATACAAATATCAAGCCTGTGGTGAGTATTACTAGATTTTATTTAATATGGATTACGAGAGGCATTTAATGGACAGTAAAATATATATTTATTAAATACAGTCATCTACTATTAACACGCTTTGTGGCACTGTGGAGCCATGTTAAAGGATTTTACCACATACAGTAGACCTTTTTAAATTGGGTACAAATATATTTTTGGAATATGGATATTTCTTTATATGTTTATGGTTTGCAAATTGTAAATTAAATGTATGAAATTTGTAAATTTTAATGTTTGAAATGTGGTACCCATATAACTCAAGCTCAGATAAAAAAGTTTCATTAAAACTAGTAGGACAAGGATGAGTAAACTAGTAGGACAAGGTATTCTGAATGTTACGTCGGGGTACCAGGAATTTCCTTTCTAGGGTACACCTGGTTCCCCGGCTACTGGTACCCGAGACGGCGCGCGGTTTTTGGTCGGTTCGAGTCCGACGTAATCACCCCACCGGTGGGTGATATCCGAGGGGGATTTCCCCACAGGAAAAAAAAGGTATTCTGAATGCAATATCTTTCAAAGTAATTCTGTGGCTTTTCAAAAGTTGCTGGAACTTCCTATGATATCCACCACGTATGCCTTTGGCCAATACCAAAATTACACATCAAGCTTCTAAAGAAAACAAAAATATCATCTTATTTTAGCCTATAAAAGCATCGCCAGGTGGTGCAAGAAACATATTTAAGAAACAAGCCACGAGCACTAAGAATGCTCCGAGTCCTCTAAGTTTGACTGAACGAGTATTGGTAGACGTGCACAAGGCTTCTGAATCTACTGAAAATGAAGATGTAAGTTTAATATCATTGGTTTTTTATTTCACTATGAGCATTTGTTTGGTGTGCGACTGTTACCAAGATAGTGTATAATAATAATAACATTCACACAACGCCATCTAGTCCCAAACTAAGTAGAGCTTGTACTATGCGTGCTAGACAACTGATATAAATACATAATAAACTGTTTTTTTTAAATACATACATATTATACATAGAGACCAAATCAAACATTAAATGTGATGATGAACACACAAATGTTTGACTTAAACGCAAATCAAAATAACAAACGACTACGTCATCCGGTCGTCAAATATAATGTTTAATATCTGGCATGTCATAGCGCACTTCCCTGGTTTCCTGTTACACATTTCCGTACCTTTTTACGAAATCACTGCCACAGATTGCAGGAAAGCGGGAGGAAAGATTTTAAACTTCAAAAAGACTATTAGTACCTAACTGCATCATTTACTTAAACTCATTTCTAGCCTTAGTTGTTTTTTAATGACACTCGGGTAGATACCGACCTCCAATTTTTTTCTAAAAAAAATATTGAAATAATTACCAACAAATCATGATTGTAACATAATATTTTAGAAGTACATACCACAAAAAAGCTACTGTTGAGGGTTATGAATACTTTCTAATTTTAGTAGGTTTCATAGGTTGTCTATTTTGAGACCTACAAAAGAGATGAATTAAATATTATTTTATATTCAAGCCTAAACCAATATCTTATCAGATCCCCTTTCTTTTCAGCCACTTAAACCTATCGAAAATGAAACATTTGTGGACTGGTTCACTAGGAATAAAACAGTGTTAGAGCAACAAAACCCAGAGCTCAGTCCATCGGAATTGACTCGTCACGGCATCAAACTATTCAAGACTCTTCAAGGCAAACCCACAACCAACTCAGATAATGGGCCGAAGAGAAAACTAGACGATGAGACCAACGGTACAGAAACACCTGTCAGCAGTGCGTCTAAACAATCAAAGTTAAGTGCGTTTGCGTTTTCGAAGAAAACAACGTGATGACGTTGATGTATGTATGTGATCATGTACACAGGGGGACTAAAAATAACCGGTTTTTCAAATACAACCTTTATTTATTTTTAGTGAATCGCCATAAGCATTATAACACTTTTATACATGTGTAACCTAATGTTCATCCCAGTGTTGGAAAGACGATTTATGTATGATTCATCTTTGATATCTGTTATTACGTTTTTGACATTACGTTTTGCGTCTTGACATTGTTATCGCTTCTATTTTAAGTTCATTTTCATCCTGAATATGAATAGAGAAAAGTACGCATGGGCGGCGGTAGGTATGTCTTTGTTGTGGCCAAACTGGCAAATACTGAGAGTTGACGCCACATTCTCTTTCAAATAACGTGAGAAGTTTTGGTACAAATTTGGCTGACACTCTTTGCATACCCAAATCAACAATCCAAATTCGCGGAATTTAGTTCCAGAACAACTCGGATAAATCTTACATTAGATGTTACAGTTCATCTATGGTACTGTGTAAATCTTCGCGGAAACTCGAAGTGAATCAAACACTTGGATTGTACAAGGTTTGCACCATCAGACCAGTTGCTACTGCGTTTTTGCGCGGGTGAACCACAAAACAGAGAAATAACACTGGTTAGTGTATGATCACGCGGTTTGGGGAAATGACTCAGTATAGGTGTTACTACAGTCCTTAGGTCCTTCCGATTCCGGTTATTTTAAGGTCCCGACTCAGAGCTTAATAAGTAGGTATGTAACTATTATTTAATTAGTAAAATGTAAGTATGGATTTAATACAATAATAAATCAAACTTTTTATTATGTATTTTTATTTATTAAGCATTCAACAACTCAACTTCATCAGGGGGTGGGAATAATCCATCTTTAATCAGTTTTTTCCATTCACTGCCATGTGGATATGAAAATTTATCTAGTATTCCTGGGAGAAACTGGGTACTGTATCCGATATGTGCCTAAAAAATAAAACATTTAGTGATTCTTTAGTAATTATCAAGTGTCAAGTTCACGATTGTTGTTGATGTTATTACATTCACGATTTTATCTGTAAAGTTTTTTTTAAACGCATTTTTTTTATCTTTTTCTATTCATATACGTAAGGCCACAGTTCAACTTTGTTTTGATTATCAAAAAGCAACAACATAAACAGAAAAGAATGTTGTCAATAAGATAAGTTACTAATTGCGTTTCTGTTTACTGTACCTTAATTTACATAACTCAAATTAATAATAATATTGCGGACACACAACGCCATCTACTTGCAAACCAATCAGAGCTTGTACAGTGAAATTAGTCTCGAGAAATTTTTGCATATGTAGTGGTGTGTATATTACTCAGATCTAAGAGCGCGTTTCCACTATATCGTTCTGGCCTATACAAAAATGTTTCGATATCCTAACATTACTATTTAATTTTATACTTATCCCTAGCAACACTCTGATTTTTGTTTTCAATAAAAACAAGTTTTTATTTTAAAGAAAAAGGTTTTGACTTTATAAAAAAAAAAGGTGTGTGTCTAAAGTCTACGGGGGGGTCAAAATTTTTGTTATTTTTGGCCTAGGACGCACCGTTTCCGAGATATTTCAATCAAAAGCAAAAAATCGTCACTTGATAGTGGAAAGTGGAAACACGCACAACCATACACTACTACAAACGCAAAAATTTCTCCAAGCTAATTTACCTGTAATATGCAAACTAGATTGACTGATAGAATACTTATATACTTTTTTTGTAAATATTAAAACACCCAAACTCTGAAGCAAATATTTGCAGATCATACAAACATTTGGTCCGACCCGGGAATCGAACCCGAGACTTCAGCAGAGCAGTCGCATACGCTACCACTGCACCACCGAAGAAAATTAATGTAAATGACTTATAAAAAATAAGAAATTATGAGTACAAACTTCTAATCTCTTTTTTTTTTGTAAAATGATCCATAAGACGAATGGAAATGCGACCTAGCTGCGATTCTGTGATCGCAAAAATAATATTTGCCGTTTTCACCTGGGGCATGTATCTCGCATTCACCACGACGCAAGGGTCAACGAAGTGCTCGTGCTGTTGGTCTACATACTCGATAAGACGGTCCTGCATAGTGCCCGACACGCTCACATAATCGAAGAACTGCAAGTGTTGTACCATCTCGCAAAGACCTACGCCTCCGGCGTGTGGACAAACTTTCACTGACAAAAAAAGAATTACAGTTTATCAATTGACAATATCATTGTGTTGACGGATTAAGAATTGAGAGTAATACTAAATTCATCCCGCGGGTATCGTAAGAGTCGACTACGGGAGCGAACTTGAAACAGATCCTATACCAACCCGTCTGGCCAGCGTGGTATAGTAGGCCAAAACCTTTCTAAGGAGAGGTCTATGTCCAGCAGTCGTTTAGTAAAGGTTTTTATATGATGATTTTCTTTTAAAAAAGAAATGACAGAATACTCTTGAGGTATGAAAGGATAGAAGTGGAAAACTCAATTTCAAATGAAATTGCGTTTTACTCAACCTTTTTAGCCAGTGTTGAATAATAACTTCTATTGAAGGACTTTAATACAAGGATTGTATATATGGTAAAATGTATTAAACATTCCAATAGAATCGTCACCCAAGTTAATTCCGTTTGTACAACTTCCTGAAGTTTGTCGTGCATTTTGCGTCGGACAATTAGAATTACTTAAGGAATTGAAATGACTTGTTAAACTAGTTTCACCTTTATCTATTTTTATAAGATATCAACAATAGCTGACGCTATCGGGCTATAAATAACTATTAGTTTTGTAGAGTAATAGAGGTTCAAGACACTAGACAGGAATATATTTTTACTCCGTGTTTTATATACCTACGTAGTGAAAGTCGTTGTTTGCTAATACTTAAACATTTTAACAAGAGAAAAAACAGGTTTGCGTTTTGTACGGAATACGAATTAAAGTAAAAATTGTAACGTGGATGCTAATACCATTTTTTAATTCATTCCCATGTCCTGAATCACTTGTAAATACATGACTGTATTGAATCCAGCGCCGTACCTTTTTTCACTTACGAGTTATTAGTAATAATAATAATAATACATTTACACATCTCAAACACCACAGTCTGATCCCAAACTAGGCAGAGCCTGTACTATGGTACCTGGTTCTCGGCTAGACTAAGTTAAATCTTCTGTGAAAATAAATATTATTTTATTTTTTATAAATATCAAAATACCTTTAAGCTTTTCAGCCATCAGATATACGGCGATTATTTCGTTGATGCCACCGATGCGTGCTGAATCTATCTGACAGTATTGCATGGCACCACTCTGTAGGAACTGCTTGAACATAACTCGGTTAGCGCACATCTCGCCTGTGGCTACACCTATTTCGTATGGCCTAAAGGTAGATGATTATTTGTAATGAGACAAAAGTATCAATAAGCTATGTTTTTTGGATCAGAGATGGTATCTTTAAAAAAGAGTTTCAGTAGGTTTGTGGGTAGACATGATGTAACAGATGTCAGCTCAACAAAACACGGGATCTGTTTTCGAATAAAAGCTGGAATCACAAGGCTCAGAAAATAAGTTTTTTTGTTAAAGACTGCTCGTGAATGGCACAAGCGGTCGTTGCTATTACTCACTTTGATTATCTACTGGATTTAATTTTGATGTATATATAAGTAGCAGTGTCTCGGATTCAAAAATGGCTTTATTTATGTATTTTCAACTTTATGCGCTTTTGTACATCCGCGGACTTAATGCCAGTCAAATTTAGTCAGTTTTGAGTGAATAGCTTGCGGGTTGACGCCTTGGTCAAGATTAAGTTCGTTTTGCGATGCATGCGATTAATTAGAGTGAGATCGTGGTACTATCTAAGTTATGCAATTAGATTCAACTAAAAAAAAATTAGATGAATTAAAAAAAACGATGTTATGGATTCTATGATATAATTTGAAACGATCGAAGAAAACTTACGCCAGAGCCTTCGATATTGCAGCGTGTCCAAGGATGTCATCTGGCGAGGTTGGCTCCTCGATCCACATCGGTTTCAAGGGTGCCAATTTCTTCATCCACTCTATAGCTTCATTAACGCTCCATGCCTGGTTTGCGTCGACCATCTATAAAGTACATCGTTATAGATATACAAATTTGAACATTAGATAGTTTATTACCGACTACAAAAAACGAGAGGGTTTCTAAATTAACCTGTTTATTTCAGCGACCATTCTTCTTTTTTAACCACACCGATTACACTTTGTGTTAAATAAATATTAATTCCAAAGTAACCTCTTTGTTGTCGTTATACCGCAAGCAAAAGATTCTTACCAAGAAATTATTAGGACCAATGCATTCGCGAACCGCGCTGCATCGCCTATAATCGTCTTCGAAGTTGACTCCAACTTTTACTTTGAAATACTTAAATCCCAGTTTTAAATATTTCTCACATAGTGAATGCACCAGCTCATCGCTGTATCCCATCCAACCTGCAGGCATATTTGCAAGATTTTATTTATTTTTCTAACTTCAGGCATTGTTTACAGTAATATGTTGTTTAACACTCTTGAAATAACAAAATTTATTAAGGAATTACTACTAGGTGTCTCTACGTAATGATTCAACTATAAAGTTAAACGGCTATCCAGTGTTTAAGGCTGGGTCATAAAACAGGAGGTGATGCGGAGAGAGCAGAACGCCAATTCTCGTAATAAAAGTTCGGTCCCAATTCAGTTCCGATCAACTTTCGATCTCACGATTGTCATAAAAGGTATTTGCGTATAGTAAAGTATTAAACATCCAACGTTGACTGTAACGTGATTATATCGAGGATTAAATCGGTAATCTGCTAGTATTAGTAATACTTTATTATTTTACTACGAAAATACCTTAGATGACAGTTGTGAGATCGAAATTTTATTGGCAGAGAAGTAGACTTTTTTTTTCATAAGACTGTTTACAGGACACAGAAGGTGACTATTCATGTACATAAATAATTTTGTTAACAATTCTTACCAACTTGTGTGGTGTAAGCAGGGTAGCCGTGCTCCTCTAAATACTTAATTCTGTCAGCTTTGCCAATTTGTTTATCTTTCAGCATTTGAATGGCTTCCTCTTTAGTGACGACATCCGTTATATATCGGAAATCTATGGTTGATACTAACACCTGAAAATGATGTGACGTGATCAGCAGAGTCTGATTTATCTTAAACTCGCGACCCGCCCCGGTTTCGCAAGGGTGCAATTTATGACATCACATTACAAATCTTTGGAATTCTTGGCTTTTCTCTACTACTTATAATATAATGTACAAATTTCCAACCCCGTTTAATCACTTATAGTTTTAAAAAGTAAAAAAATTGGTGTCTAGTTATTATTATTTCTTATAGAGAATAAAATTATACTGAGAGTTAAGAAGCAATAACTTAAAAAAAATAGCCCCCCATCCAAAATACAATAACAATAAGTTTCTAATCTGTTAAGATCTGCTTGTAACTTTTCAATATCGAGTTCATTCCGTATCATTTTATGAATCTTCATGTCTTCGGCATTTAGTAAAATATGTTGAGTGTTGAAAACTTTTGCTTATATCACAGACTAGCTGACCCGCGCAACTTCGTCTGCGTCTCTCAATAGTAATAAATTTTCTCCGTTTTTGAAACATTCTTCATTGGTGCTCCGCTCCTATTGCTCTTAGCGTGATGATATATAGCCTATAGCCTTCCTCGATAAATGGGCTATCTAACACTGAAAGAATTTTTCAAATCAGACCAGTAGTTCCTGAGATTAGCGCGTTCAAACAAACAAACAAACTCTTCAGCTTTATAATATTAGTATAGATGAACAATGTGAAGAGCAACGGCCCGAGAATCGAACGTTGATGCACACCGGTAGGACCTTATATGGTCTAGAGCAGTACCCTTGTAATATCACTGCCTGGGTGCGATTCTCAATATAAGAGTCAATACGGTCGAAACATTTACTGTAGTCGGTATAAACTACGTCTACCTGACCATGCTTCTCCATACCCTGCGTTATAAAATCAAGTGACAGGATAAAGTTGGAAGTGGTGGAGCGTCCCTTTAAAAAACCATGTTGTTCTTCACTAATATTACTCCTCAAGGCTGAGTAAACCTGTGTATATAAAATTCTTAACGATTTTTTTGAAAATAAACATATTTTGAAAATAGGTCGGTAGTTGCCTATATTCGACCGATATCCTTTTTAAAAAATAGGCGTAACAAACGCAGACTTCCAGATCTGTGGGATTGTGAATTCTGAGATGGATCTAGACATGAGCATCAGTTTTCCTCATACGATATTTTAAGTTCTAGAACTTTCTTTAAATATACATTTTACATTCTGTATTGTTCTACAGAAATGTAACGTTTAGTATGCACAGTGATACGTGTGCCCTCGTGTACAAGCACATACCTCTGGTTCCAAGTCCACAAGAAGTTTCCACAGCGGTTTGTTCTCAAGACGAGCCCATAAATCCCACAACGAATTTAGAATTGCAGCGGCGGCTAAATGCGCTACACCCTTTTCAGGTCCAATCTGACAAAATATATACATATTTATGTACACACATACAATAAGTAGTAGTTAGTAGTAGCTATAATGTATCACAACAGCCTACACAATTAGCGCAGTTGTCAAAAATTGCTGGTTATGGTAGGATATGGAACGCGACAACGGGATGTTCTAGGATTGATTCCTGTGTCACGGGGATTTTTAAACAGACACTGAGAACACCCAGACTCAGATTAACTATTTTGGATTACACTTTGTACCATGTGGGAATCGATCCCACAATATTGGTGGTACTTAATACCAAGGCATAAACATTTTGTAGGTAGTGCGTGTAGATAGACTAAAATTAAGGGATGTTCATTGCATAAATTTTATATACCTAACTAATATATTATATACCAAATAATGTTAGCGTTCACAAAACGACCACATTAGACGACCATATTAACACCTTACCCATCTCATTTGCGAGTCATTAGTGATAGTTCTCCAAAAACCCGCGAATTCTGAGAATATATCCCCAGCATTTTTCCCAATGATGAATTTCTTCAAGGACCTGATGGTCAGGACCACGATCTCCGTGCCTCGGCCGCAAGTGAAGGTGAGACCGAATCCTTGTGTGCCATTCTTGGTGGTTGTTGTTACGTAGGCACACGAGTAGTCTGGGTCAACGTGCTAGGAATATTGAAAGTAGAGACTGTAAAATTTATTCATCAAGATTATTATACATCAAGAAAAATGGCTTAAATATTATTGAAACGAAGTTCCTTATCGCGCGTTACGCGTTGAGTGGATGGGAGCGAGACCGAGAAAATATGTAACAAGACTTTCTTTCCGACCCGTCTTGCTAGAGTACGCTTAGATCTTTTAAACTAAGCAACGGATTTTTATGCATTTTTCAGAGAGTGATTCAAGAGGAAGGTTTATATGTATAATACATGCATATTATATTAGAAAATATCCGAGAATTTCAAGGATATGTAGTAAAAAACATGTTTTTGTCCGCTTACGTTGGCTAAACCTTACGAGATAGACCAAAATAATGTACTACGGAATTGTATATTTTAAAAAGGTCTACAAAAAAGTCCGCGATGATATATGTACACGTAACCATGTTTATCTTCTAAATATTACAAGAAAAAAATGGGTTATCTACGAAGCTATTTTAAACAATATTCTATTATTCCTTATCCAATTAAATACGTTATATACGTTGTGCATTAAAATTGCAATTAAAAAAATTAAAATATTCATTTTAATGATATGCTGTACAGAACAGCATATCATTAAAATGAATATTTTAGAAGATAAGCATTTTAAATGCAGGGGTAAGAATCCCATTGCGCTAAAAAAACTGCAATGTTGTAATATATGTATTATAATCTAATATATATAGAACTTCGATGGCCGCATCGTACATTGTGATCTAAATTGGTCATTTGATCTTTTAAAACTAGCCTGTTATTTTTGTCGAATATAATATAAGTAAAATAATAACACTCCAATAATAGAGAAGAAGATATGTAGATACCTACATCTAAAAGGTACATTCACGCGCATGATGTGAAACCAAATGACAACAGAGATGATAACAAAAAACATGCCAGTTACTGATAAACCGGTACATAAATTACTTCGTCGTCGTTGTTAGTAATATTTGTTGATGTTTCATTATCAATTCTTTTATTTACCTACCTATAGTTCTTTTACTCGCCAACTGGTATGACTTGTTTCTGTAAGGTTCTCTTACGGATGTTCGGATTTCAAATTTTAGTGTAGGTATACGGCGACATTATTGAAATCGCTAAAAGAATAAACACTAGTTCGATATTTTATAACGTACACATATTTTTGACAAACATGTTTTTGCAATGTACCTACCATTCAAAGATATTTTGAAGTTAGTGATGAGTAAATAAGTTATTATGTGAATAATTACTTTTAGAGCAGTAGGTATTCTATGTGTGATGTGGTAGTTTTATCAATGTCCTATACAAAAGTCAAATTGATAATTTAATTAGTAGGTAGTAAATAATCAAGTAAGTAAATAGATACGTACGCCAGTGCCACCAGATGTTTTAAAATAAGTGTCATTAGTTGAGACTGATAATACCTATGTCAAACTACAAGTAAGTACTCTACCTATTATATATGGACCTCTTCGACACTGATGAGGTCACTAAATAAAAGAAGTGCCATTCAGTAAAAAATATTGAATATCAGACTCAGGGGCCACAAGTTCAATATAATTTTGTACCTAGCGTGATTCTCAGTAGTATTTTTTATGCATGAGTAGGTTTGTAACATTAAACAAAAATATTATTTGCAAATGAATAATAAAAAAACAAGTTTACAATAAGTATTTATGTGTGACCTTACCAATGCGTCCGACCCGTGTGCACCAAGCGATGTAGGGAACCTGACGTCTTTTACGTCAATCTTCACAATTTCGAGTCCGCTATTATTTGTCGACATTTCAGAATGTGTACAACCGTCGGCACCGTCGATCTTACACTGTCCTCACGTAACCCGTCTGTCACGAAGTTTTCAACTATTGTTATCATTTACTTTTGTGATTTAAGCTCCATTGAATTATTTTGTTATTGTTTTAAACTTCATTTTAGTAGCTGTAGACTGCTAGGTTTGTAATTTGTTTAAGTATTAGTAAAACATGATAGAAAAAAATTTGTTCAGTTCAGTTTGAGTAATGGCATGGATATGGACTTTTTCTTTTGACTAAATTTAAAATTACTGCATTCGTCTACTGTTAATGTCCAATTTTGTTAAACTCAATAATAGTATAACAAGATAATATTGACGCTCTCGCGTCTGCTGGCTTTTTCCCCGGCGCAGGCGTAGGATAGGTTGGCTTTCACCGCGCAGACGTGTGTCAATAGTGACAAAGGTAGTTCTCATTGAGCCTAAATTAGTCATCAAGTCAAATCAGACATCATCTCACAGAAGGAGCGGCGGAGAGGGTCCGGGAGGATGACCTCCACTTAGACCCAATTCACCGCCGATGAACCGCTAGCGGAGGCGCGCTTACCAGCGCCTCATGCCGCCCGAGTGTGGCTGCGGGTGAACGGGACGGGTTTTTCCTTCCATCCGCTATAGTGGCCAGGACGGACATAACCTAAATAGAGAATTCATCCGAAGGTGGTGCCCGCGTTATTGTGGGCAGGCGCTGGGAAAGGTCCGCATGTAAGCCGTTCCCGGATCCCTCCTATCAAAAACGCGTAGACCGCGTAGTGGCACACCGCGTGGTTTTACTCGGTTCGATTCCGACACACCGGCCAGCACAAAATAAAATGGCTAAAATAGAGAATAAAATGTGATGTTTCTTGGATGTGATATAGTCTTAAGTCTCATTATTGTTATAAGACTGCTTCGCCTTCGCTTATGAGTGAGAGCCCTACGCAGGCGGTTCATTCAAGACTTTGGCGGCTCGACCAAAAAAGGAGCTGTCAAAACATATAGGCTATTTATTTTGTATTGGTTGGAAAAACTTCATTCGTGTAACTTCGAAAATGTAGTCCTAGTCCCCAATACTAAAGTCCAAGTACCCAATAATAACTTAGTGTCATATTCAATAGTGTTGCCATAGTTTTGTGACGTTTGGACTAAAGCTGGCAATACGTATTCAAAGGCAAGTTCAAAGCGTTCAAAGACACCGGCAAACGCTTACCATCAAACGAGATGTGTTTCTCTGTAGCAATATATCTGAATAGTTAATAAGCATTGTAAACTACAATACTAATAAAATAAAAGACGTATTATAATATCGAAATAATTTATATATTTATTTGTATATAGTAGGCATCAATTACATACGTCATTATGAAAAATTATTTTTGTTAATTTTGACTAGAACTAATTATATTAGTGTATTGTATTTATAAAATAAACGTATTTAAACAATTTCATTTTCTTTTAGAGTTTAAGGCACGGTCTCAGTTAAAATCTTGTTGTAAAAGCATATAAATGAGAAAATTACATAAATAACAACAAAAAACATTACTCATTTATAAATGTAAAGGTCATGTGCATGGTATAAAAAATAAAAAATAAGACTAAGTAACAGGCATTTGAAGTTTAAAAATTTAAAAATAAATATCACCAAATAGGATAATATACGTACAGTGATACCGATCTCTGTGACTACTTCATTGTCACTACTACTAAGTCAGTACTTAGTAGGTACATCCAAAGAAGTAGTAGTAAGTAGGAAAAACTTAAATAGACCCCAGACTCCTCGCAAAAATTTGCTAAAATTAATACCTCAGATATTTTTTTCTTAATACTATGTATTATGTGTAATGTTATTTACTTTCCTGGTTTTGCTATACTCTAAAGCTTGGGTTTTACCTAGTGAGGGGTTCATAAGTCAGGTTATCTTTTGTGATGAAAGTTGTTGCTAAAAAAACTATAACACTTGTAAAAATATAAATTAAGTAAGTTAATATACATAAGGGCAGGCATGTATGAGAATTTTGTACCACCTTGCGTATCTCATGGTAGGGATTATTGTTGTATTTATTCGGCTGGTATGGTGGCTTCGCTCATTAACAATTACAGTTTTAATTATCAGTTCTTTAGAACTTTGCTTTCAAAAGTTATTTCAGTTTTTTAGTTTACATATAGGCAGGCTGTACTTAGTCGATACTAATGGCAGCTGGCTGTCACAAATGAGTTGTCATTGCTGTCAACAAGTTAATTACATTTTTTACTATGTTCAACTAATCTAATCAATTTGAATAAAAAATATAACTTTTCTTTCCTTAACTGAATTGATTTAAAATAATCATTCCTCTATAACTTCGCCTAATCTGACCAGACATTAGTAATAAAAAAAAACTGCTCAATACACTAGTAATCCTATTTTCATATCATTATAATATTTTTAGAACTTTGCTAGAAGTAAATAAATTATTTTTAAAGAATTGTTACAACTGCTATAACTAAACGTTCAAGTGTTGTTAACAAACCGCATTCCTACGTTTTCTAAACTTGGCATACATAAAATATTAAGTACATAAAAAACCATATATTTACATCGAGATTAATGAATGAGCTCATTAGTGTATTTAGCAGTTAAAAACAAACAATTATTTATGAATAATATTGGCTGACCAGATTAGACGAAATAATAAAGGAATTATTATTTTAAATTACTTAATTTAAGGAAAGGTACTAATAACTTTTATTCAAATCAATAAGATTAATCAAGAAAAATAAAAATTATGTGAAAAAGTAATTAAACTGATTGCTTGAAACGAACTGGCAGGGCCTCATTTTATAGACGGTTCAAGAAAATCATATACGAATGATTTTAAAAAGATATCTATAGTCCATCAACGTCGTGCGCGACCGTCCTGCGGGGTGACAGACGGTGGCGGGGACGAGGTACTCAAGATGTCAGCGGGTAGCGGTGGTGTAGCGGGGAAGGGAAACGCGTAGCCGCGTAAAGGGAAATATGTAGCCGTGTGCTAGAATGACGCGCTACCTCGCCCCCGCCACTGTCTGTCACCACGCGGGACGGTCGCGCCCGAGATTGCCGGGTTATAGGTTAATTTTTTGACTTCAATGACAACTCATTTGTGACAGGCAGTTGTCATTGGTATCGACTTCAGTAGAGCATATATGCAAACTACAAATTAAAATAACTTTTGAACGCAAAGTTCTAAAAATCTGGTAATTAAAACTGTAATTGTTGATGATATTACCAGCCAAATAAATACAACAATAACCCCTACCATGAAATACGCAAAGCGGTACAAAAGTCCCATACATGCCTGCTATTGTCCTTTAATTAAAACTAAGAATCTAAATTATTATGCATAAAATATTATACCTGTTGTTATGCTAGCAATATAAACCTATTGCATTACTTTTTAACTGCAATTGTGACAGAACCAGAAAGCTTAATTTATGTTTTAATATTATGCAATATTAAACGGCATAAACTAATTTTATTTAAATTTAATTCAATATACTTTTGTCTAGTAACTAATTTATTGACATTGGTCTAGAAATAATGATAATATGACGAAGTGATTATCATTTCTGTTACTATTTCTTCATAATATGGCTTAAAGATTATAAAAGAAAGTTCTAAATTTGATTGATTATTACTCTTATTTGTGTATGTACTATATTTTAACTGTGGGTGAGCCAATTTCCGTAATTACTTTTTTAATTGAATTGGTTATACTCAAATTAATGCCCAATGTCAATTAGACATACAATATATTAACATCCTGTCCAACAATTGTGTCTTACAATTAAGTACTTTTTGACGACAGTAAAAACAAAGACATTGGAGAGTGGGTTGAGAAAGTTTGCTATGGTTTTACATTATTGTGTTAGATTTGAGTGCCTAAACGTGACGTGCTTTTTAATGATAATTGTTAATAATTTAACATTTGTCTTAGTTTTGTAGTCACAGGATTACTAGAGGTAGTGTGTTCTTTATGAAGTCGATTTCTTCTATTATTTTTTAGTATTCAATTGTAAAACCATTAATAATATAATAAAAAATATACTACCACATTCACACAACGCCATCTAGTCCCAAACTAAGCAGAGCTTGTACTATGGGTACTTTTTTGTAAATACATACATATCATACATAGCACACCCAGACCAAATCAAACGTTAAATGTTCATGCACACAAACTGCAACCAAAACTGCAACCTTTAGGATTGGAATCCGTTACACAAACCACTACGACATACGGTCGTCCTTTACCATTTCATTAACGATAGATAAAAAAGATATTCATTTTAAACATCTACGGAAGACTTTTCTAAAGTGTGCAGTAGTATAATCGCTCTACAATTTCCAAAAGTAACATAACAGTTTTCGTTCTGACTCCTAACTTTTTTAAGTTACTAGCTTAGTTTTGTACTTGCATATATTAACATAGAAGGATTTCCTATTTTTTTTCTTAGCAATTAAATATTTTTATTTCTTAACTACAATATAGTATTCATTATAAAAAAATCCCTTGCTTAAATCACTATAAACTTACATTATATGTATTCCTTAAACCTTTAGTATATAGATATGTATAATTCTTAAAAAATATTTCAAAAATCAATGGTAATGAGGTTTGCAGATTACTAAAATCCTCATGTGGTCCCTAAATGGTATTTTTTTTACTAAACAGCAAAAAGGTACAACTGTACACGCATTATACAAATATCACAATAAGTCTTAATGGTATAGAGTAAAACAGTTCAACAGCTCGAAAAATTTTAAGCTGTACAGTTCATTAATTTTTTAAATATTAGCAAAATTTGGCCATTTTATATTTTCTGAATTACACAAAACTAGACAAAAACCATTTTATTTAAAACCATATTTTTCTTAAATATTGCTAACAAGACAACTTAATAAAATTCTGTTTATACACACTTTATTCTCCAATGTTGCTAGCATTGGACTACTTATTAAACCTTTTTGTTGACGCCCTGCTGTATTATGTTGGCCAAATTGGATAAAATAATATTACATACATAATCATTAAGTTTTGTCCAATATTCTAGTATTTCAACTATTAGTTACAGTACAATATACTTCCTGGTCATAAAGTGTTAGGTTCCATTGAATATCACAACTTAAGGGTTACTTTTTACTTTTCTTGTACATAGCAGAGAGTGCCTTGACAGTGCTTCTTTCGCCCTCCTCCCACAGCTTTTTTGTTAAACCACCGAGAGTGCCATCATCATCATTGTTCACCCAGTCTAGTAGCAGTTTGTAGCGAGCCTGTTGCAGAAACAAAATTTTGTTTATTATACAGCCTTGGCTAAAAGTATTAGGCACCCTACATTTTACTTAAAATAAAGGAAGAAAAAAACTTATACTTTTTGAATTGATTTATTACCATTAAATTACACAAAAAAGAATGAAAAAAACTTAAAATCTAGTCGGTCCACCTTTGGATTTAATTATTGCACTAATTCTAGCAGGCATGCTGCGTACAAGCTTAGTACAATCCTCCCTGGTAATGGCATGCCATTCTTGTACTAACGCGTTTTTTAATGCCGTTTTCGATGTGATACTATGCTCTTTAATCTTGCGCTTCAAAATGCTCCAAAGATGTTCAATTGGGTTCAAATCTGGTGACTGCGCGCAGGCCAATCAAACAAGTCAATGTTGTTTTCAATAAACCAACGCATCGTAGTCGCTGACTTATGACAAGGTGCATTGTATTGCTGGAATAAAACTCCCTCTAAGTTGGTATCGCCGAAAATACTCGTTAGCGAAGGCATAAGCGCAGTTTTAAGCACTTTTATGTTCTTTTCGCTGTTCATACGACCTTCGCAAACAAACATTTAGCCAACCCCATCAGTAGCCATGCAACCCCAGATCGTTACGCTGCCTCCTCCATGCTTTACTGTCGGTACGACGCAATCTGGATGGTATTCTTCGCCCACACGTCGCCTCACGAAGGTCACAACTAGCGTTCCAAATATCTGTTGAAAAAAGAAAAAAAAACACCTTTTTTTTAAACTGCCTTAACTTTTATTATTTTAGTTAAATAAATAACTGACCATGATTATTAATAACAAAAGCAGTAAAATTTACTTACCTCAAAGTTAGATTCGTCAGACCATACCACATTGGCCTAATCTTCCTCAGTAAAATGTTGATGCCTTAGAGCCCATTCAAGTCGTTTTCTTTTGTTAGCTTCTGAAAGCCAGGGCATCTTCCTGGCTTTGCATCCTTTTAAGTCTGCTTCTTTAAGTCTTCTTCTGGTGGTCCGAGCACTTATTGGCTTTCCAGCCTCTTCGGACAAAGTAGCAGCAAGCTCTGATGATGTTTTCTACCGATTTTTCATAGATTCACGTATTAATTTTCTGTCCTCGCGCTTCGAAGTCACACGTTTTCTGCCTGTTCTTGGTTTATTAGCGAGACTGCCAGTCTCAGCAAACCGTTTGATAGCAGATTGCACAGCGCAACGCGAAAATTTCAATAACTTAGCAATTTCTTTTTGCGACTTCGGTTTTCCAAACTAATTTCACTTCTTTTCGGCATTTTTAAATAAATTACGCGTCAATTTAATCACTATGTTAGAAATAAAAGCTTGTTTACTCGTTAGAGTCCTGAACACGAGTGACCAAACATTGACTGATAAGAACGCATAAAAACCAATCCTTTGTTTTCGGTCACCAGGTGTTTTATGACCATAACAGATAACTGATTGCTTTCCTAGGAAGTTATTTGTGACTCCGACATGCCATCTAAAATAAGCATTTATTCATTGTTCAATCAGTAAACATGAATTGTGCATTTTTCTGGGGTGCCTTTTTTTTTTTTTTTTTCTGGGGTGCCTAATACTTTTGACCAAGGCTGTATGTAGTAATCCTGCATAAGTAATGCCTATTATGGATTATAGAGTCCTTTGCTTGTAATAGTCCAAGATAACCTTGACATAAAAATATTTAGTGGTATGCCACCATTTGAGTAATATCAAAATCAACATAGACGAAATATCTGACGAGCCTGTTGGTCTAGATCGGTCGGAAGTCGTGGGTTCGATTCCCACCCAGGACAAATATTGTATGATAAGCGTGATCATTTGTTCTGTGTCTAGGTGTATATGTATATCTATCTATAATATGTATGTTTTTAGAAATATTAGCACCACAATGTATTTAGAAATGTCACCATTTTTATTTCTTTTTTTTTTAACGTTTGGAAACCCCCTCGGGCCGTCACCCCACCCGGGGTTTGCGGCGGACCCCTTCTAGTGCCTGCCCGCAACGGCGCAGGCACCACCTTCGGGTACATTCTCTATTTAGGTGACGTCCGGCACACGCGGACGTCGCCTCCTCGCGGTTGGTCGTTATGGCGGGTGGAGGGGAAAACCCGCCTCGTCCACAAACGGTCACACTCACCACCTACTTCTGCGAGATGACGTCTTTGCAAGAGGATGCGAAGCGTATGACGGCCGGTAGCAAGTGGTGCCCTCCGACGACTGCAATGAGGACCCGGTGGTGAGACGCCCAAGCTGGGCAAATAGCCAGCGTGTGCTAAGCCGAGTCCTCACTCCAATCGCAGTGGTGACAGGCGGTACTGAATTCCTTCCTAGAGACCGAAGGCGGCACTTCTCGAAGCAGCCGTTCCCGGAAAGCACCTGTGTTAGTCGGAAAGGGTCCCATGCTGCCGCCCTGCCCAGCAGTCTGGTCACCATAGCACAGGCTCTGGCTTGTTTGGGATCAGAAAGCCGTGTGTGAGACGTATGAAGTTATTATAGATAGCGGAAGTTGAAACAAATTGATAAACACTTTACTGCCCATCTCACCAACGAGACTATAAAGCACACCAGATATGTTTTTTAAAGATAAACGATTTTACTGAAATGTGTATTTCTGGGATGCCTGACTGGTTTCGGACCTAACCGAGGTGTATTTTCAAAGAGTAAAACATTCTACTGCGACGGTGTTAGCGTTACACTCCCGTATTACGGAGGTGTAACACAAGTGTTTGACAGGAGTTTGAAAACCGTTTATTTGTTATAAATATGAACATCACTTACTAAAGTTTTTATTCTAATATACGAGTACCACAATATGTACCCACAAAAGTGGTGAAATACAGAACCTGTTCTTGCAATCACCTGTTTTCTTATTTGTCTGTATGCAAAAATAATATAAGGGTACATAAAATCTTCTTTTACATTTGTATGTATTTTTAATACATTATGTATACTTACCAAATACATCTCAACCTTTTTTAGCATTTATCTTGGTATCTTGGCCAAATATTATAGTTATACTATAATATTTGGCATGAATAATTAATAAAAAAGGAAATAATTGTTTATATACTCGTAGTACCACATACCTCACATATCCCATAAGCACCAGCATCGATTTCAGCTGTTTCAATTCTGCCCTGAGAGAAGCCAAGTGTTCTAAAGAATGTGTGCCAGTTCCTTCCCAGGTTCTTAGAAATGTAGTCAATGTAATCATGATCAGGCTGAAATAATAAAATGTAAATTAAACATGCTGTCACTTCTATTTCAAATGTAAGTTGTTTTAATTTGATGTGTTATGGTGAGTACACACCCTAATCTCTGTAAAAAAAATGACAGATTTAATAAAGACTAGCAATCCGAACCGGCTTTGCATGGGTGCAGTGTAGATACTACTAATGTGGTGTCAGTGTGGAGTAATTAATTATACTATTATTATGATAGGACTATACTACAGGACATCTTAATATTAGGCAATATTTTTAGGCCTGCTCAGAATTTACAGGCCGCTGCCACCCGCGACGGTCGTACGGCCGAAGCGACCACTGCCACTTTGCTCCCGCATTTTAAACCTCTAATATCTTCTAAATTATTCATTTTAATGATATGCTGTAAAGAGCAATTGCAATCTTAATTAAATGCACAACATATCTAACGTATTTAATTGGATCAGGAATAATATTGTATTGTTTGAAATAGCTTCGTAAATAGTAGTATTAGTATTGAAAGAGCGTACTCCTTCTTCAAGGGCCAGCAATGCGCTTGTGACTCCTGAGTTGCAAGCATTCATTGGAGGCGGTAGTCACTTTCCATTAAAATAAAGTATGTGTGTGTGTGTGTAAAGTGAGAAGAAATCATAACAGGGCAGTGATAATGGCAATTTTCACATTGTCATTAAGGCTGTAAGCGGCGGTAGCCTAGTGGTTAAGGCATTGGACTTGCGATCATGAGGTTGTGGATTCGAATCCTGACCAGTACACTACCGACGTGAACCCACTCCTAACACAAGCAATTTGGCTTAATGGGAGGTGTTAACGAGAATACTAGTAAATGCGGTTGCTCTAAACCTATAAAAAAAACTTTAACCCTCAATATATGGTTAATAATTCTGTGCATATTCTCGCACAGAATTATTAACCATATATTGAGCATATGACAAATTGTAATTGTACCTTTATGGTAGCTTCCATGAGGAGTGTGATGAGATTATCTTTTTCAATATGCTCTTCAGATTGACTTTGGTTGGTAGTTTTACTTGGTGGTGATAAATAGTAGTCATTACCAAATCTTACTTTTGAAGAATTTACTATATTGTATACATTTCCAGTGGCTGCAATCAAAATATGATTTAATTTAATTTACGTAAATACAAATTTTCGTTTTTTGAAGTGTGCTATTTCAACCTTTTGTAATCTTTTGTGGTGCATTCAAGCTTTATAAATTATTGCTGTGAGAAACCTTCACATCCTATGAGCAACGCACAACCTCACATTATTAATGGATATAGTTAAATATAAAAAAAAATTTGAATGTATATTATTATTACTATAGTATTAATTATATACCAATTGCTTTTTCTTTTTCCCAGTCTCTTTGTTCACATGCAAATTTACAGTACGCATTTCCCACAAATAGGGAACCATTACAATATATGTATATAAAAAATTACCTTGAACATTCACAGAACTAGAGGTGTCTTTCGTTTTACTTGGCTTTATTACCTCTTCATCATCATCAGTGGTCTTTTTAAAATTAAAAAACTTTTTCTTAGGTTTCTTTTTAATATCATCTTCTGGCTCTATAACTATTTCTTCTTCTTCAACATCCTCAATATCGACATGGACCTCCGGTTGTTCTGGGACTTCCTCAGTGTAACTTGTTGGACGTGGTGGCCTTGGCATAGCGTCTGGTTTCAGACTTTTAAATAATTCCAAGATTTTAGAGAGGCTAAAGCTATTGGATGTCATTTTAAGATTATTTTTGTTTAATCCCTGTAATCAGTTAACTGGAACACAAAGAAATAGAACATAACATTTTTGTCGTTTATACCAATTAAACGTGTAAAACTAATTATTGCAGAGATAAATCATGACTTTTACAAAGTAATACATACTTATAAATACGTAAGTTTCATAAACTGCTTAAAAATAAACAAAAAGTTAATTTGTAAAACTTTTACAATCAGAGAAATATGACACATTACACATTGGGATATCCTAATTTAATTGTCAAACAAAACGCAAATGTCACTAACGACAGGCAATATGCATTTATTCTGCTATTCAATCTATTCCTCATGTAAACGAAAGAAACAATATGTATATTAGATGCTATAGGTGTCGGTATCAGTAAATAAACGAAACGCAACAGTTTTTCCCCTTGAAAGAGTTAAAACTTGTGTGACAACTGACATCACTAAAATTTGTGAAACAGAGAGAGATAGATAAATGAATTGTATTATATATATAAAAAAAAATGGAGGCAAATCCGACGACATAACATTGAACCGAGCGACGTTTTAATCACAGATTACTACAATGTAACAACTGTCGACTTTTCGCAATCAATAACATAGTAAAGGTTAAATTTATTTCATTAATAAATACTACCTGATTCTTGCCTAAAATAGAAACATACCAGTTATTTTTGGACACATTAAAATTATTGATAAATTTACGATTACACAAGGTTATGTCATCATCATCATCTATGAAAGGTTCTCAATAAAACACGAGATAGAATATTATCTTTGTTTATGGGTACGTTTGAGGTATAAAAATTTGTATATATTTTTTTGCTATGAATTTATAATAAATAGCCAAAAAATACTTCATTTGTTCAAAAATACTCAGCTTCATCAAATATGTTTTTTTACATCAGCCTATCGCAGTCCACTGCTGGACATAGGTCTCTCCTATTTCACGCCACTTTAATCGATTTTGAGCTTCTCGCATCCAGCTACTGCCAGCCATTTTGCGATAATTGTTACTCCACCTGGCCTGTGGGCGTCCTACTCTACGTTTACCGAGACGCGGTCACCACACAAGAACTCGTTTATCCCATCGGTTGTCGGTTCTGTGGCTAATGTGGCCAGCCAAACTAAACTGCCACTGCAGCTTGCTGACCCTGTGGGCTATGTCGATTACCTTGGTTTTTTGCCGGATCACCCTTTCCATGGCACGTTGAGCTACGTTGAGTTTGTGACCCAGCCGTATCGTAAGTGTCCAATTTTGGGCTCCGTATGTCATAACAGGTAGGAGTTAGGACGCACTCATTGAAGACTTTCGTCTTAAGGCACTGTGGGATCGACGATGAGAAGATCCAAACGCTGCCCAACCCAGCCAAATTCTCGTATTCACTTCTTCCTCGAAGTCGTTTCTACCTAACTGCAAGGTTAAGGTTATATTAATGGTATATAAACCTAGGGATAAGATGAATCGATCATCTTAAATCTATAATTTGATTATTTTATTTATCTCAATTGATACACCTAAACGGCAAATACGCATTTTTAGGAAAAAAAAACACAAGAATTACCGAAATAAATTTTGTAAAATAAAAAAAGGTTCCTTACCTGCAGATACAATTAAAATAGGCTTTATACTATCATAATGAATATCACTCCTTACCATTCAGTACAAAAACATAAAGGTTCAACAACTAAAAACAAAATGTTAGACTAGAATGGTTGCTAACATTATTAGTAACGTCAGAAGTCTGGAAATTATTCAGAAGGTAAATTCTCGTAATAAAAGTTAGGTCACAATTCAGTTCCTATCAACTTTCGATCTCATAACTGTCATAAAAGGTATTTTCGCAGTAAAGTAGTAAACTATAACTACGACTAATAGATTACTGCTACAGTTGTCAGTTACAATACGATATAATCACATTACGGTCAACGTGGAACTGAATTGAGACCAAACTTTTGTCACGAGAATAGGCCTTTAGAACTCAGAACTGAATTTTGGAAGAACTTTTATTACGAGAGTTGACCCTCAGGAAGACTGGGATGAGAAGTAAAGTTTGATATAGTTTGTGATCAAGAACATAAATTAATCTGCCGGAGTGTACCAGCAACGACGACTGAAGAAGATGATTTGGTTTGTATGATTTCTAAAAAATAATCCTAAAGTACTTATTTGTTATTTTATTATAAATCTATAACTTAAACAAAATATCATCAAAACGATTACAGTCAATGCATTGATAGCCAGTTATGTCATATCATTGTTTTATGACATTGTTGCACATCACTGTGAACTAATTACGTAGTATCACTAGTATTACTATCATGACAGTACAACACTATCGGCTGTCAATTTTGCGTCTATTGGATTCACAGATTAAGATATATGTGATGAAATTCATTTTCTTAGCTTGCTACGAATGGATACTGTAACGAATTGTGCTTGTACATAAAGTAAAATATATATCTTGAGATACATACGGCAGTTTTATTGACAACAACACACAAACAAACTGGTGGACTGGCCATCGTGATCTCGGGCCTTATTACACAAAAACATCTGTCAGCCGTATCAAGCTAAATTTAATTAAGTTTATAGACCAAAAATAATAATAATTTTTTTTTTGACAACTTGAAAGTTTTATTTTATAATTTTCAAATGTGCATAAGTTACATAAATTTGTCTATTTAACAATTAAGTATATTTATTGATGTGCACTATTTAATACCTAAAAACTAAATGCATTGTTTTTTTTTAAATTAAAGTTCACTTTTTACTCATTTAAAAGAGTTACGTTCTGTTTAAGTTGTCTAGACAATTAAAACAGAACGTAACTCTTTAAGAAAAGTTTTTTTAAACCAGGACAAAATGTATTCTTGATTTATGTAATATTCATATGACTGATAAAGAACTACCACCGCCCATGGACACGTTACTCAAGAGATATACATAATTATGTGTGTTACCGTTACATGGGGCGGGGGACATTGTTGGTTTGCGAGTCTGATTCTCTAATCCATTCCAATATGCAATAGCTAACTAAATGCTTTGTGTTTATCTTGAAACACAAAGCATTTTATTAGTTAGTCTTTTTATTTATTACCTTTCTGACATAACTTAATGTTTCTGTATTATTTGAATTTATTATTAAGTATATCTTAAATTCATGCGCAGTACCTACCGATGAATGAGGCTTTAGGGACTTCTCACTTGTTACCAGCTTAAGCTAGCCAGCTTTAGCTTTTGAGCGTTATCCCAACATTATGTGCAGTGAAAATGAGTGCCGATTTGGTCTGTTGATGTTTCGTTAATTGAGGTTTTACAGTTCAAAATATCCAATGTTCTAAAAACCTTTAAATTCGTTCTTAGGTCTAATGAAGCTTTATGTTTGTTTGTTTTTATTTGTTATGTGTAACTTTAAATTTCACATTAGCTACTGTTTTTGCCCGAAATGTAAATAATTACATAATAAATAATATCAAATGGATGATACTGCTTTGAAAACAAGAAGAGAAGAACATTTAAAGAACCTTTGTGACCAGACGGCTGACAAACATATTTATATATTTCTAAACACACACAGCACAGAACAAACGTTAGTGACCAAACCCACGATCTCTTGTTCTCACTAAACCAACTGCCACACTAATACAAAAGAATCTTCCCAAAAAATACAAAACGTTCTCCTAAAAACCGGCACTGCCAATTCACGAGAATTGGCGGAACTATATTTGACAGTAGTTACACCCTAGATATATCAACGTTTGATATTGGAAGAGATTCAGTTTTTCTAAAGTGCACAAAGCTGCCCCTGGGGGGAGAATTTGCGAAACTGAAGCTAAAAATTTAATTAGTATTAAGTATTTTGTTTATGAGATATCTGTACACAATATCAGTCAGTAAAGTAGGTATCCTATTAAAGATGTAAATGATAAGCTAAGTTTAGATATAGAAGATAAAGAGGAGTGAACAGCGATTTGGTCAAATGCTCGGCGATTATCAGTAAAGCAAGCATGGTGAAAACTCTTCGCTTTAGTACTTCAAATGATAAAATTACTAGCGGGACCGACAGACGTTGTCCTGTACACACGTATAAAAAATAGGTCCAGCCGTTTAGGAGGAGCTCAGTCACATACACACGCACAGATCTCAGGACCAGGGCAGTGTTATATTTTAAACAAAGCAAAAAATGGAACGTAATATACAATAAATGTACAATATAATAACATTACAAATTACAATAATTTTATAATTTCTAAATCTACATAAAATTAGTACCTACATACGTCCCAAAACTCCAATTTATTTATTTATTAGTTAAAACTTACTAGAAATACATTGCATAAGGTGAAATTAATGACATAGGCATATAGTTCTTCTAGTCTAAAAGACATGCTTTTGATAAGTATATTATATGGGTCTAGTATAAAACAAAAAGCTGCACTGGTTTTATCTCAGAATAAAATACACCTGTGAGAAATTTTATGATCTTATGGCAAATACCTATATTGTGAATTCTTCGTTTCCGTTCTATTTACCTAATGGAAATTGAATTAACTAACGAAACGAATTGAATTAACTGAACCGCTCACTGCTGCTCTACAGACTATGTTCAAATGAATATACCTACCATAAAATTTTAAGAACATGCTACAAAATGCAGCGATACTTTAGTCCTATTATTGTCTTTCCCGATAACGTATAATGTTGGCATACGATCTCGACATGTCGACAAAGTATGTAGTTGATAACCTACAAATAAACGTCTATGGAGATATTCTAATTTTAAAGTCCTACTGAGTCCCACATTTGACATATTTCAATGACATTTCTACTTAGAAATTTTCTTTACCAAGTTTTTTTAATTTAAATACAATTTCCCAAAAATGGAGCCATCAAAAGGTCCTAAGAAGTCTTCCTTGTCGTTTTCAAATTTATTTAAACTAAGCCTTTTTAATACTATATTTGCAAAAGATGAACCGGATTCCGGATTTCCGGTGCAAGTAGAAGCGAGTGCACCACCTACACCGAAAACAGAATGTGATTGTAAAGTAACCGAACCTCCAAAAGGAAAATGCACTGTTGGCGATCGAGGAAAGACAGGAGCCGGAGTGACAGGCTCTCGTGCTGGACGAGTATGTGAAAAGAAATCAGATGACCTGCCGGAGGGAGCAAATAATCCGGGTCTTTTACGGTACATACACAACGCAGCCCGGTACCGACTACCTCAATGTTTTGAAGGTGGTTGTGTATCTGTAAAACAAAGTGCGAAAAACAATTGGATATTTGGCCATTCTCTATCATTCAGCTCAGTGTCGCCAGGCGGGTATAAGTTATTAATATCTTACGCAGACAAAACTAAGCATACAGCGATGCCCTACTTTGTGATGGAAGCAGCGCCTGGTGGCCAGATGAGCTGCGAGATGCGCGTAGGCCCCACTCGAGGTACTCGGGCTACGGTGGTAGCTCAAATAGCGGATGCAGATTTTTATAGTTTCGAAAGCATTTTAGATGTGTATTTTAACACATTTACTGCGTCTATTATAGCTGTAAATCGGGATTTTATTGCAGTACATTATTTGCAGGTATGTAAATAAACATTTTTAGAAGTAGGTGTTAAGTTCTTAGTTAAATAATAAGACTGTAGTATGGTGTCTTGGCTAAGTCTACTTCTACATGCATGGATTTATCAAATCAATTGATTTAATTACTTAAAGAAATATGAAGAATAACATCGAAGCGTTAAGTTTTGTTATAATTTAGTTAGATTCCTTATGCTCCTTTCTTAATGAATCTTACCCCAGGTGTGAGATAGGAGTACACGTTCACCCTTATGTTGAAGTAACTGACCAACCATATATTGAATTGTTTTAAGTCTTTTATTGAAATAAATACTTAAACGTATATATATATATAGTTAAAGTTTACATATTTGCCAATGTATCTACATGAATTCTACCACTATATAGTTAACGTTTACATATTTGCCAATGTATCTACAAGAATTCTACCACTCTATTTGTTTTTAATGAAGAAACTGAGAAACTCAAGAGGTGTAACTAGAGAATGACAAATACCTTTAATAACTCTGTATGACGGAAGAGGTTGGAGAAAGAGATTTCCTCTTGAGATGTCTTTTTATTTATGATTAATTTCGGTAACTTTAAAAAAAATACTTGTATCTTCGAATTGGGAAGTGACTATCGCCTTTCATGGACACTCGTAACAAGTGCGGTAGTCGCTCTTTGAGGGCTTCCTCCTCCCCGGGATTCCTAAATTAATATTCGTAATCTTTAATTGTAAAAATATAATTTATTCAGGCCTTAACGGAAAAACTGTCACTTGGAGCAGAAATAGTAGCTAGAGGACATGTCGCCGAACTCAGTTCGGCATCGGGCGCGGCCCGGTGGGTCAATAGTGATCATTCCCTGAGCGCCACACTTGGTAACAGAGGACTTGATTTGTGCTATGCGAAAGTCATCAGGCCTTACCTAACGGTGGCAGCCATGCTTGAGGTAAGGATTTAATCTTCACTCAAATATTGTTTACTAAAAGGAATTAATAGAACGAATATTTTAGAAGGAAGTAGTTATAAGCTATGAGGCATATCTTTGTGAATATATAATTTATGCATTTAAGGTGGGATTCGCTATCCGGCGGGCGGTAGCGACTCTGGCTTATGAGTGGCATACTGACGAATGGACAGCGAGAGGTTCAGTAGACTCTGACGGTCTGGTGGGAGCGACGTTGCAGCGTGCTCTGGGAGGGAAGAACACGAACCTTGCCTGTGCCATCTCGGCACTCCTCAATCACCCTAACGATAAGTTCAGACTCGGGTTTGGAGTTACTGCCTCTATTCTATAGATAAAATCAAATTAAACGGCAAAGAAACAATTTGTAAGTATTTTAATTTAATACGCCGCATTTTAGATGCGTGTGGCAAAAAATCTTGAAAGTGCTTTAAATCAATAACATCGATTTCTAGTGCCACTGCAAAATACCTTGCAAGACATGTTTAAAAGTATACTTTGACGCTCTCTATGCCCTTGATTTCTCATGGGCCTAAAATATAGATATAATGTTATTAGGTTATAGTAATATTAAAAAGTATTTAATTTATTTTTTAGTAAATAGGTATTATTCGAAATCAAGTGCTATTTTGATTGTGAATATTTACCTAGATTTAGATATAATTATACCTACGCTTTTTTAGTAAACTTCATTAAGGGTTTCGTAACTTAATGTGTATGTAATTATAAATATATTTATTTTTTTCTCAACTAGGCATTTTTAATACACAACCACTAAATAAATCCTTTGATAAATCTTAAATCACCTACCTTGTTTTGGAAAATAAACAGAGTTGTTACAAATCGTTCATTCGTTTTAAAGTCGAGTAACGTTTAAGATCGTTGTCTTCACACCGGAATAATGCACACAAACACTAGAAAATAGTATTAAATATTCATTTTTAATGTAACGATAATGTAGGCGTGTATAATCCGCCGTCGGGTACGTCTGTGCACCGACGATGCGTTGACGCTGGGCGGGCGCGTGCGCGAACTTAGGGCGGGGTTTATGACACCGCCCTAACGCACCCTACCCTCAAAAGTAGCTTTTATATCACTGGTGTAGGATAGAAATTGTAGTAGTCATGGGTATAGTGTGGCAGTGTGGGCGTACGAGGTGTCAGTGCTGCAGTGTGTATCTGGTAGAGCGTGGCGCGCGGCGTGGCGTGTTCGCGGCAGTAATGGTGATGGAGCGACTGGCGGACTTCGTCAGCAAGTCGCTGGAGGGTGGTGAAGCGCCAGCGCCGCCGCCGGAGCCGGGCGAGGCTGATGATGCTGATGATGTAGAAGTAGACATTACGGAGCTCGAGGACAAGGCGCCGCCACCTAAGAGGCCGCGCAACTGGCTCCTGTCGCCTGTGCCATTGCAACATTGCAAGAGGGAGACGAGTCATGACGACGATGACGAGCACAGGCATGGTGAGCTGACTGTGAATATAATTTACTATAGTGGTGTATAACAGGCAAACGGGTGTAGGCTGTAGAGCCTAATCACGTAAAAGCGAGCTTTAGAACACACCGGTTGAAATCAGTGATTTACTTCACAGTTACGTGTTAAGTACTAGGTATTTAAGTACAATTATTCTTAAAACTATCTTCAAATATTACTCAAATTGGTATTGACATCGTATAACCGCGCTCGTGGTGTACCTTATATACTCATAAATCTACATCACTTCCTCAACTAAGGAAATATTGCGTATATTATGAGTGTTGGTTAGTATAAACATTGTCATTTAGCTATAACATAAACTGCTTTGAAAAGACCTTAAACTTGTAAAAAATTCGAAGAATTCTCGAGGAAGCAATAAATATAATATCTCAGTCGTCAACATCATCACACATCAACAGCCTTCAATAGTCCATTGCTGGACATAGGCCTCTCCTTAGGAAGGGGGGTTTTGGCTCTTACTACACCCACGGCATGAATTGGGGTAGTGACATTCCGTATTCTTAATCCGTCACTACACGGATATAGGTATCTCAATCATAATCAATCAATCTCAATCAATATCTCAGTATTCTGCGTAGATCATAGGGTTTGGTTATTATTATAATAATAGTATAATAATCAATGTTTATTAAAATCTATTTGAGTAGTTACAATATATTGGTCGGGCTACATTTAGTTAATAATAGTCTTCACATGTAGTGATTGGTGCTTAAAAAAAGGAAACTCAGAGCTGTAAGCACTAGTTACCTTTCAGTTTCACAAGATATGCTATTTTCACTCTAATAAGTTGATGGCCTGATGTTCTTTTTATCTGATGATATATAAATTATGATACTTTAATAGTCAAGAATTTAATAATTAATGTACGTGTAGGAGAGTGTGTGTATGAACTTTTAACGAAGGGAATGTAGAAGAGCTTCTATCACTTCGTAAGAGATGGTTTGAAGATAGTATGTTACTGTTTTCTTAAACTCGTACTTAGTTTGTATCAAGAATTTTATTAAGTTATATAAATAGCGCCCAAGAAAGGAATATAATTTTTGACCAAAGGATGTTTTGCAAGTTGTGGTTTGAAGAATCTTGAATCTGAGCTTGTTGTGTGTTTGCGCTAGTGTGTTTGTGGTATCGGAGAAGGTATGTTGTTTTAGAAGAATATGGAGTATGAAAATTTGACGCACCGTTAGGACCTTACAATATTCGTAAAGGCTTTTGGTACCGACCTTCGGTACAGCTCTTGGGGATCGATCGAGATGAAGCAAATGATTCTTTGCTGCTCCATCCCAATTGAAATAGGTACAATATCCTATTATGGATTTGCATAGCGCATATTAAACCATTTTTATTATATTAAGGTCAAGTGTTTAAATACGTAAATAAATTTACGTACTCAACCACACATTTTGTCGACATGCGGATGGAATGATGCCTAAGATGCCTAAGATGGGACAGTCGTGATCACCATGACAGTAATGTTAAACGAATATTTATTTAGAGGAGAGTTCTTGATTTTAAAGGTCATAATAAAAGTTTAATCAATAATTAGGGTAAGTTTATTCTGTGATAGCCACTGTGTATCTCTATTACAACTTCTTTGAGCTGTATGGTAAGTTTCACTCCAAGATTGACTTTGAATTTCAATAGGGGTATCGTCCACAAAAGCTACAATTTTACCGGTTTCCAACATTAAGTCGTACATATCATTTACATACACCAAGAAATGCGTAGGCCCAAGAATACTACCTTTCGAAATACCGTACATTACTGAAAGTGCCGCGCTTATTGTAATCGCCCACTTCGGTATATTGTATTCGGTTGCTTAAATAGCTCTGAAACTGGTTCCCTCGGATGCCCATTTTTTCAAGCTTCATGCACAGTCTTGATAGGGTCGATCGCCTTCGCCAGGTTAAGAAAAATAGCTAAAGGTTTTTCTCTCTTATCAAGTGATTCACCTATTTAATTTTGTAAGATCGTAAACATACATGTGTGTATAGACTGCCTGTCTGACAAGAGATTATTTGACTCGAGGTAGCCTTTAAGTCTGTTGTTCATAATACGTTCCAGTATTCAATTAAAAAAAGGCAAAAATTAACATTGATTCACTTTACTTTTTTTTTTCGAAATTCCGAAAACAAATGAGTAACGTTTATTGGCATTTATATTTATATTGGTAAATAATCAAACAAGTTCATGCAAGATTGCAAGCACACACACCACAAGTCGTATTTCGTCCCTTTGCACGTTTGAACAAGCGTTGCGGACGGCGCGGCAGCGGCGGCGATTTGCAATTCTCGACACGTTCTACTGAATATGAAATATGCAAGTTTTTACAAGTAACAGTCGCTGAACTTCTTAAAATACGAATTGCTTACGAATTGTGAACCCCCAATTTGACCCAGAGGACCTGTAATCACATGGCCCGGCTTCTTCCCAGAGCGCCTAAGGTTGGCCGTGGAGGTGGTTTATAGTGGAAACACCACATACTCCTATATCCCCAAAGAACCGGAGATCCGAAAGGATTTCCCACCCCACCAAGAAAATCTTTTAAAAATAATAAGGGATGGAAAGACAATATTTTGTTTAAGGTATCAGTTTGTGAGATAGTAAACCTTAAAGCGCTGACTTTTGTTACAGTCAAGTGTCCCCTCCCTCCCAGTCAAGTTCCTAAGCCAAACGGCAATATTGGAGATCCGAAAAACTTCACGGTGCTATCATAACGATAATGAATTTAAAAGGAAAACTAGTCGTAACCAAGCTAAGTAGGTAGGCTTTATTTGTTTACGCGTAATAGTCGATCAACTAATTTATTAGCTTGGTATGTATGTATGACGGAATCTCCGCACGTGATTTTGACCCACTTCAAAACGTCGAATTACATTGAAACTTCGCAAACATCTCAAGGACTAATAAAAATACACTAATTTGATAAATTTGATGAGGATCTTTACGATTCACGGTTTTTACCACGCTCAGAAATACGGTAGTGTCTTTTGCTACATACTAAGCTGCTGAAGCATAGGTATGTGACTTACTTACAAGGTACTTTTTCAGTTTTAATGAGACAACAATCATAATTAATGACTAAAAGAGCAAAAATAAATCTTCTTTCAAGTGCGGCTAGTTACAAAAGCGTGTTTTTTAGTTTTCTTTTAATATAATTTCTTTCAAAAGAGGTATTTTAAAGGTAGTGTCGTAATATTCTATATAAATAATGAATCTGTAGTAGTAAAGTTTATATGTTCGGTTGTACACGTATCACGCCTCACTTAAAAATTACAAATTACCGTGGTATCTTTTTATGCGCAAGTATTGTAAATATTTATTTAGTGTAACATCTACCTAGTACGTAAAATATTTCTAGAAAACCACTTGAAATTACAACGCGTAATCACATCTGTTGGTCTTGATAGGTACTAACTGTACAATAATGACGTTCCTTTAAAATTTTTACTATTAGAACACTTAGTTATACATTTTTAAATAATTAAATTGTATGTTTAGATGTATATCTGTAGTGCAATATTCATCATCTATACATTGTGGAAGATGTGTCATGTCCCTCAAACACAAAGGGAGGATCCTCCGACCAGGCGAGGTGATCATGCCTGGCGGGCTGCGGCCCAACGGTTGGGAAGTTGTATATATGCTAAGAGAATTCTTCATATCGCGATACAGGCTTAGCGTAGTTCGGTGTTCGTTAGATGGTACTGTAGTATGTTTCTGTTTCTTTGTATGTGGGAATCGACACAACATATAAAATTACTTGCTTTGACTGACTGACTGACTGATTCATCAACGCAGAGCCTAAACCGCTGTCGCTGCATACTTGAAATTTTGGTAGCTGATGCTTTTTATGTTGTAAACACCTTATTAAAAAAGGAGTTTTAGAAATAAGGTGGTAAAATGAGGAAATATTGTTTAAAAGTTTGTCATTTTTAAAGTAGTTATTTCTAATAACATAATTATATAAAAAAATAAAAAATAACCACGAGGGAACCGTGGGCAATACCTTTACTTTAGTATTAATACCTTCAGATCTATAGGTATCGGTAAGTGTCGGTGTAAGTGATACAAATGAGGCCTACCTTTAGCAAACATTTCTTATCCTGATAAATATTTTAAGAAGGTGATGAATAAATGCATTAGCAGGTATTATTGTGTGGTTTATCATAATTTATGTATACAAAATAGAATTAACAAATCAACACATCTTCTCAAAATATTACAAAACGTTTAAAATTCAATAAACGTTGATAAGCCTTACTTAAACACGGTAACTTAATAAAGCCTTAAAACATAATAGAATCACCATTAACTGCCGCTCTCAAGCTTAGCACATAGCACACCTTGGTCTTGGAAGAGACATAATCAGATTCTGATAATCAATCTATAAATAAGCATTATGAAGTTAAAATTTCTTTAAGAGACAAATATGGCCTGTTATAAAAACTTTTTTAGCCTTATTTAGAACTTGATGCTTCAGAAATATTTTTGTTATTATTCTAAAAATTATAATTTAGAGGCATAGTTACCCTCTAAATGAGCTATGTTGTGATTTGTATTCATTGCTTGAGACAAAACTTTATAATGCAACGCATTAAAATTCGATAGAAATCACGTTAAATTAATAACTCGCTACAAACGCTCGACTGAGTTTTTGGAATGGATCTTATTTGAGCATAGGCCTTATTTATATCAAGTACCTTATACATTCCGTTATTGACCCAAATTAATATTAAATTAAAGATTTACAAAATAAACGAAACAAAAGTGTTAACCAAAATACATTCTGAAAGTACACACAATCAACAAGATATTGTGTAAATGTGCTCTATAATGATTATTTCTTTAAACTGTGGTCTAGTACTATTACCAATTCTGTGCCGTGGTGATAAGTTTCTTGATGAGAATTACCTTTGTGCATTTACTTCCATATTCGACGTATTCTCTATGCTAAAATTCAATTATT